TTTTCTCGGCAATTTGTGCCTTGTAAGAAACTCAATGTGCAAATATTGCCTATTGTTGAATATTTCTTCCTATCTATGGTGGAAGAAGTTAATCGACGGTTTTCTCTAATCCATTTGTTTGTCGCAAGCTATGCGGTGAACAATGCTATTGAAAAATAGTTGATGAAAAAGGACAAGAAGTGCTTTTTGAAAGATTTATTACGCAAAATGTGCTCATGATCGAAATGTTTTCATTGGCAATAATAATGTCTTGAAACGGAAAGAGAATCCCTTAGGAAGAAAATTCATTAAAGACTTTATTTGTGATAGCGTGATTTTGCTGTCGTCAGGGTAAATTTCCTTGAAACGGTCCAAAACATGATCCAAATCAAGCATCTCTGCACGTTTCGCATGAATTCCAAGCAGCAACAGGGATTTCAACCGAGAGGAGCACCATGGTATTGTGGGTCATGCAAGGGAGCACCATGAAATTAAGTCACAGCTTTCACGGAAGCGACAGGATGTAATGCCACTATGATAATAGAATTGCCGAAGGAAAGCCATTGAGAAAACCATAAACCATCCAGTGCAGTTTTCTCCTCGATTATTTATGTCATTCAAACAACATGTGACATCCATCAAGTGCCGACGGTATTGAGAAAGCAAAAATTGATTGGCTGCCGACGGGGAGGCTAACAAATATCTAGGGGGGGCTAAAGCCCCCCTTGCCCCCCCCCCATGCCACCACTCCTGTTGGTGGTTAAGTAAAATGAGGCTCATCAAGGGATTTTGGGGAGGAGGGGAGCACGTCCTAAAATTGAAGGGGGGACATGGAACAAATAGTTTTCTGTGCGGGTAATGGATGACGTCCATACGCAACTTTGATATTGCGAAACAACTTCTCTGCATATTCCTGGGTCAACTGAAATTTTGAAGCACTCTTCGCCAACAGTTATATTCTTCAGTTTATTCTAAAATCTCTACTGTACTTTTTTCTGAACGCAATCATATTCCTGCACTTCCATCATAAAAACCACGTTTTCAGATGTTCAAAAAGCAATTTTACTTAGGAAGGAGGCCGTGATCGCTGGCATTCTTGTCTATCTGCTTTCCATAAAAAATCTTTCAATTCCATGATCGCCGAGATAGAATATTTTCTATACCAAACACAGGGATCACTGGCAACACACTGGTTGCTATTAAAATTGAATAGACAACTTCTATTGCGACGTAACGTTGCTGGTCACAAATATTTGCGATCCTTGCGTCATCAGCAATTTTGGCAATAAAATTGAAACCAGGCTTTTTCAACAGACCCTGCAGCCGCTTTTAAAAATGAGTGAATTAAATCGCGTCAAAATTTCAAAAAGCTCATCTACTATTAATAGCAGGGGCATCAAAAAGCCAGATACATCGTTAATAAGTTATGATCTACCATTTATCTTCCATCTAAAGGGAAGGCCTCGCTAAAGTGTGTGAACGCTAGAGCGGCGCTCGCAGGCAAACCATGCCAATCAAATTACGTCTGCAGGCACATCTGAAAGGGCGGTATTTTTCAAAGTTTCCAATCGTTTAAGAATTTAGAGAAACAACTAAGCTACAAGTTTCACCATGGTAGTATTATTAAATTTATTTTTCCTTGGAATAAAATGATTGAGAAGCCCAGAAGCACATACCATGGCATCATCTGTAAAACCAGTCAAACCTTAAGGTTTCTGAAATGCGACAAGGTAAAGAGAGGTTGAAATGAATCCGACTTATGAACACAAGGACACAGTAAATTTCGAAAACCATGCAGTTTTGACAAAATTTGTGAAAAGACCCAGAGATGATTTATCATACATTGTGTACAATGAGAAGAACAAGAAAACTTTGAAGATCATGATGCCTTTAGTCAATTTCCAATCAGGTTCACTGAAAGTAAAGGAAAGCAATGCTTCCCATGTTGCAGTTGCAGCCCTTAAAGGATATTCAATTGTCTAAGATTTTAAACAAATTGCGTTGATTATGTCAAATGTATCTGGTAATGTATCTTGCTTCAAATTCAGAGAATATTAAGACCTCTGCAAAAGTAAGCTTTACCCCTTTGTGAAGTTGATTTATGTAGCAAAGAGAGAAGCATATATTTTCCTAACAGCAAGAACAAGATGTCCAAAGATCTTGATATGATCATTTCTTCTGTTTGCGTTGCTGCGGCAAGCTATCGGTTGAATCGGTCATTTATTGAAGGCTTCCGTGTAAAAAAATTCAGAACAATCTACCAATCTGGGTGGAGCGTGCAAGAGATGGAAATTGTGATTGCTGTTAATGGCCCAAATATTAAAAATGCTGAAAGTATCGTTAACTATAGTATCAACAAATATCAAGCAATAAAACCGACTGCCACTTCGTTCGTTGCTTGAATAAAATTAAGGATTCAATCCCTTCAAATGTTTTGGAACAGATGAAAAAATGCCAAGATCTTTTTTTTTTGTGAGCTAAAGTTTGTTTAAAATCTTTCCTGCCATTTTTGTTGAAAAAACTATCGTCACTCTAAAGTATTTTTCTGTTAAAGTAGTTCGTTGAAAATTTACTGATCTTTCAACAATAAAAGTGACTCATGAAAAAGAAATTCCAAACAGAAATCAGTTTGCCTACAGGATCTGTTTTTTACATTCGTGTACGATGCGTCATTAAACCTTCATTTATGTCTTTTATATTAAACAATTTTATGTTCTACGCATTAAATATGAAAAAGTCTTGCAGACAGCCAGGGGCGGACTGGCTAATTTTTTTGGCCCGGGCAAATTTTGATCAAACCGGCCCACAAAAACAGCAATTAAAAAACTCCTCGGAAAATGCAAGTAAATGTTAGTCTGTAAGGGAAACAAGTTTTTGAATTCAGTAGTTTTGTGCATGGGTAAATGCTGGTTAACAGAACATGTTAAATATGTCATTTTCTGACTAAATGGTAAATGAACAAAAATTATAACTCATTGGTTTGACTTTCTTTCTAAATACAGTAACTTATATGTTGATAATGTGATCGTTCTAGATGTCATCTGAAAGGTGTTTTTTTAAGAACATTAACATGAAGGACTCCAGGTTTGGCTGCGAAAAATTACCACGTAATATGTTCATTATATATTTAAAGTGGATAAGCTTCTATCACACTCAACTTGTGACAAATAATTTTCTAATCCTCCGGAAAACCACAATGATTTTCAGCAGCCCAAAAATATCGATTTGTCAATTTCTGACCCCAAAAAGAAAACATGGGCAACCCTGTTGAAATGATATCGTGTAGCACCATACCCCTGTTGGGCGGGGGTTCCATTTGACTTATGATAGTATATGCCTAATAAATTTACCATAACATTGTCCAGTTCGCGCACGCGCAATTATTTCCCATTTTCACATCTTCAACAAACTTTCCTAGTCAACACCGCGAACGAAATGGAAACAACGTGAAAATTCAATTCGACCAATAGCAGAAAAAGGCATTGCATTAGTAACGACGAGTCTTCTGATCAGATTAGCTTTAGTTCCGATTAGGAAAGCGATGTCAGAGAGCACGAGGACGGTGATTTTGATGAACCTAGCAGTCCTAGCCACTTTTCAATAATACACTCTAATACACCAATTCGACTTACGACCTCGTTTTGGAAATTTCTCCAAACTTAATTATACGACTTTCTTAAGCTCAGATTTGGTTTTATCGTCATAATTTTAGGCGGGATACCATTTTTATATTGTTTGAGCTTGTATTTTAGATTTAACCGAGAAATGAAGTTTGGAAACTTATAAGGGATTTGACCGCAAAAATCGTTCCGGGGGAAACTTTACCCCCCTAGTCGCCAATCACGGTCAAATCCCTTATAAAGTTTTTATCTTTATGTCGTCATAAAATCAATATCGTGAGCAATTTCATAATGAAAACTCACAAGTAGACTAAAATCATTGCTGTCAATCCGAATCTGAGGTAAAAATTTTGTACAAAAGAATTTGAAGAATTTTTCAAAATGAGGCCGTAGGTCGAATTGATGTATTCATACGATAACACGGTTAGGGCTATGAAAAGTGTATTTTCAAAGGTAAAGAGATGCCCTGTTGCCAGTTTTCCCACCCGCATTCTTCAACAGGGAAAAAGTTCACTGGACAATGTTCAGTCGTTTTGCCACCACCAATATTTTCTTGATGTCCATACTCTGAACAAGTGAGCAATGTCCAGTGTGTGACCAGTGCAAATGTCCAGTCGTTTTGCCGGGGCTTTATTTATCGCATTGAAACAGGGATGTTACAGTATAATGAGTCGCCAAAAAGGAAATACCGTCAAGAGAAAATATAACAAAATGTCAATAACATGTTCCCTGAAGAAGTGTGTTTGGGCTGCGGTGACAATAATGAATTCATAATTTCCATGGTTTTGGAGTACCCGCGTGTATATTTATTCTTTCCAACAAAGTCTCTGAAAATTCAAGGCAAACAGATCAACGCGTGGGTATACTTTTTGCCTCGCATTCACTTTTTAAGCTAATTTATTTTTTTGCACTTTTATCAACCGGCCCTCAAACCGACCGGCCCTTCGGGCGATCGCCCGAATAGCCCGACCAGCCAGTCCGCCCCTGGCAGGCACCTTTTGCAAAACAGTTTGTCTTTGGAGGAGCGAGGTCTGCTAAAGAGGCACAATTACTGTCGGGGTGTATGGCAAGAGACTTCCAAATCGTTGCCAAACACCATTTTGTCAGGAAAAATGCCTATATTAGAAAGTTCTTCGTTGATGATGTAAAGTCTTAAAAATACACGTTTGTTGATCGTGAAAGTTTCATATCAGCATGACAGTATTAATGGTTAGGAGAAGGCCAGCATCAATTTCTTTTTAACATTTTATGAAAATGAAAATTCAATCCAAATTCTATCCTTCCAATTATAAAGACACCATGTTAAACCACATTTACAAACTTGCTAAACCATGAAAATGTAAATAAATTACATAACCATAACATATCAAACTTACAGTGAATGTCAAACAAATTGGTTACCTGGTGGACTCTTCTCGTTCTTCTGGACACAAAATCTATCACATTAACCAGAGCCTAAAACAAGTACAAATCTGTATCAATTATGTGGATTTGATAATGAAAATTGTTGATTTTCTTGCATCCAAAGATGGCACAAGAGAAGAAGTGCTGAGGGGGGCAAATGTTGAGGAAAAAAAGAAAAGTTTTATGGACAACACCCTTTTCAGATTTGCTTCAATTTCAATAAAAACACAAAAATAAGTTTGAAACTGAAAACAAAATGCATCATGCAAGCAACATTATACATTTTAGAAATTAACAGTTAAAAATTTTGATGCTTGTATCTAAATTCATAAAGTCATTGTATTTCAGGAGAAGTTAACTAATTCGCTGAAATATCAATGCAACAAATTCTGTAAATTTAAAAATATAAGTGCATATAGAAACGCTAATAAATAAAATTGCAGGAAGGGCTCTTGCCTCCTATGTCCTTCTGATGGAACCATCCTTGTTTTCATCCAGAATAATTCAATTATTTTAAGGCGATTTCTCTTTTGCAATTTGTTACATCACGAAAGACATTTAAACAATTAGGTATCCTTATGATTTGTTTCTTAAAAGCAAGGACAGAAACCTCAAGATATAGCACATACCGAAAGGCTTTCAAATAATTATAAAGTAATTATTGCAAAGTAATTATAGAAATTCTTATCTAATAGCAGAGCTAGCCCTGTTTTTCGTTCAAGGATGAAACTCAAAGCTTGAACTATAACTCAGTAGATATTTCTAAAAGATATCATTCACAGTGGATTTTTGAGGATGCTTGTGGAAAAGTGAAATGTACAAGCATCTTTTCAATTTTGCATGAAAATTCCACATTGTGTATATACAATGCAAACAAACATGTAATTGCATTTGTGTGTCCTTGATGAAATTGTTTTTCATCTAGCTACTTATTTTGAGGTTTTGTGTGTATTGTGTATTCTTTCAAAATAGAAGTAAAGACATGATACATTCACTAGTTTGATCAAAGTGAGCGCACGGCACTGCTCATACCTAGTCTCGGGGAAGATCAAGCAAATTTGGTATGGGACAATCTTGTTTTTGTTTACAATGTCTAAAAGCGGTTGAAGGGTGGACCAGTTCTTGAAGAACAGATGAAAAAATCTGCATTCTGAAATATCTTTGGATATGTGTAGACAAAGCCTTAAGAACAATGGCAAAGACAAATTCTTACTAAGCACTAATGCATGGAACACAAAAGTTACAGAATCCAGGTGATAAAGATGGTGACAAATACCATTTAACTCTAGATGCAAAAAACTATGGTAACTCACTAAAATGAACTCTGTTTAAAGGAGATCTCCTTGAAACATATTTTTTGTGAAATTTTGTCAGACGCTCATCAACATGGTACAGGGCAGGTTCATAAATGAATTTTTGTCAGATGCTCATCAACATGGCACAGGGCAGGCTCATAAATGTGAAATTTTGTGACACAATTCAAGTAATTAGATAAACTGGTGCAAAAATTGTAATATCATTCCTCTGAACATTACACAGTTTTTTTTGGTTATCAGTTTCAATTGCCAACGAAAATAAAATAATTCCTCAAATAGTTATTAAAGGCAGATCTTTTAGCTTCTTTGTGTCTATCAAACTCCAAACATCTAAAAAACCACAAATCAAGTATTGCCTTTCGGGCCTATTATAGAGGTCCAGAAGCTGCAAAACCATGCAGAAATCAGCCAAATTTGCAATTAAATGAAATGGATAGACATGGCAGCAATGTCAAAATGTACACTGACACAAAAGTCAACTCCTTGCTTACAAGAAAAGGACAAAATGGCTAGGGGTTACTAAATGACAAGTTCTTATGGTTCTTACACCCTTTCTTATGGTCCTAACCTAGTCAGCATCAATTGATGGCCAGTATGGAAAAGTACAGCAGTTTTCAATGAGATCTTGGGTGTGCTCAAACAAAAATTTAATTGTGCAGTGTACATTAGCAAGCAAGTGTACACTTCAAGTGTACACATCCTTAAGATGTCAATATTTTCTATGGTAATTTTTTGTTCTCCAATACAACATCAGGGTATGCAGAAGCAGAGAAGTCAGGTGCACACTTCATTATAGACTCTAGGTCAGGATTTTGGACTCTAGTTCAATAACTTTGCTCTTCATATGCACACTACGAACCTATGGAAGCCCTATAGTTAATCGTTTGTAACTGCCTGTGTTTGCTGAATTTCCTTACTACAAAACCAGAATTTTCTTACATTTCCTTAAATCTGATTGATGGGTTTTCAAAATTTCCACAGAATTTCTTCACTCAATGTATATGCATTTGACAAACAAAAAAGCTAGAATCCAAAGTAGCTACTGCTGCTATAAGCTATCATTGTTGGCAGTACAAAAAATTTTGCTTCTATGACATTCTATCGATAGCCAGAAAATGGGGCTGGAATATTTACGACATCGTATGGGGGCCAAGGATCCTAGGCACAACAGACAAACATTTCATCATAATTATGCCCCACAGCTCTATTTGGTTTGATTATGACATTAAGATAAGAAAGCTTTAATTAAAAGCCCAAGAAGTTGAGCACAGTTTGAAGTTGAGCACAGTTTGAATGAAGGCAGGAATTAAAGAACAAAATTTTATGGTTAGCTCTGGTTGTCTTCCAAAGAGTGGCTTCAAGTCAAGCAAAGCACAGTTCATCTTTAGAATAAATGAGTTAACTTTGAGGTGATCCTTGAAGTAAATTAACTTATACTTATAGGTCCCAGAAATTTGGGACCCAGAAAGTGGTGCATAATTTCAAAAAAGGGGCACCAGACTTGCTTTATTTTGGCAAGTGGGACAACTGCCTCCAGTGTTTATTCATGAAACAGTGTGTATTTTTCTAAATTTACTACTATTGATTTCGATTGTCCTCGAATTATACTTACAACCGCCCCCAGTCTGTTTGAGACACACCCAATATATCAAGCGTGCACTGATGATTTCTAAGAAATATCGCGGGTGTGTAGCTGCCATACTTTCCATACTGGATTGATGCCATATTTTGTGACAACGTTTCCACATCCTTAAAGCTGTTAACCGTTGCCAATCTACACCGAAAGACGCAATCCGCGAAAAGTCCATTGCCAAGTCCGTAGGCTGCAACTATAAATTGGGCTACGAAGCCGTGATATTGAGGCCATGTAGCCGCAAACCTATAGTAGGCCCTCCTTTTAGCAAAAAACGGGCCTTCAGCTCTATATCAATTAAATTGCTATTAAATGTTGTCTTTCACCTTTGTCATCTTCTGTTATTTGCAAACTAACCGCAGCCCCAACCTCGTGTGCTGTTTCCCGCCAGTTTGATTTGACGTGATGAGTGGGCAATTGAAATTGGAATCGAGGCTTCATTTCAACATGTTCAACTTGCCTCGTGCGCCCCCACACATTGTACGCAGTGGCATAGCTTGACATTCCAGACTAAGGGTGGGGGTGATGGAGAATCAATTCATCCATAGTAAAACTTACCGACAAAGAAAAGGTGATTTTACCGATCAATTAAAGTTTTGGTGGACCAAATAAAGCTTCACCAACCCCATACACCCCCTGCTAGAGAAGCCCTCTGGCTGCGAGTAATTAAACTGTCCTAAAAGATGTGTTACCAATTGATCACATATAAGAAGCAGAAACTTCCAGGTATAACTGCATAAAAGTGTTCTAGCTGAAACAGTTATCTGTTTTCTCATGTGACAGGTTTTACCTATCTAACCAAGCAAAAATTCGAATGGTAGTCGTTTGGTTTCAAGACAGTTTTTGAACCTACAATCCTTGACAAAAGTCCTTGGAACACCCTGCGACCAATGAAAGATTTTGAAGAAATAAAGGTTTCCGGCTGTAAGATACAGAAATATCCCCCCTCCTCCCAAAAACAATGTTGGCTGAAAAGCCTATTACTTACCCTAGCTAATAAACTGACATTGGACGAATTTGAAACTGTTGTTATTCAGCATTGTTTCAAGGGGGAGAGGGGGAGGCTACTGGAGTTATGCAAAATTTTAGCTTGGTGTACCAAGACTTTTGGCAAGGATTGTAGATTGTTGACCGTTCATAGTCTTTCTTTCAGCTCTGTTATGACAGAACCGGCATTTAATTTTCTTAAATATTCAGCATATCAAGTCGAGTAAAATAAAAGACATGTTACGGATAGATGTTCTTGCTAAGAGGAACATAATAGGAACCTTTTGCATTTATCTTCAACAAATTCTATATCCTCTCTTTTAACTAAAATCTGGTTAACAAACATCCAGATATCATTATTTAACAAAACAACAAAACCAACAAAACATTATATCATCCATTTTTTGCTTATCTGTCAAGGGATGCTGTGACAGGGTTTGCTTAGCAAAATTTTGCTAAGCAACAATGATTGGGGGGCTAGACACCAATTTTGGTGCCACACCCTTCAGGTCACTTGTAAATAATAGAAACGCCCATTTTTAAAATTTTGTTTTTAATTTTCAGGTAAAGACAATAAAAAGCAATGGCGTAGCTAGGGTTGAAAGATTGGTGAGGCAAAGAGGATAAAATTTTCGCTGACCAGACCCCTAAGAATTTAGGAAAAGACCCGTCTTGTAAATGCGTATGGAAAAGCTATGAAATTTTTACGTGACAATTTCCCTTTATACAATGTCATATGTAGCGTTTTGTGGCTGGCCATATTCTACAACTGTTTGTTTCCTTCACCATTCCACTAACGTTTTTGGACGCTGAACAAGATAAGATGCAGACTCCAACTAGGAAATGGCCCCAAAAGCAGTTTTCCTACTACAACTAGCAGCTAGCAGTTTTTCTACTACATGAAGATTGGTAGAGATGGGCAGTTTGATATGGTCAAAAAGATAGAATGCAGACTCTAGCTGAAAAATGCCCCCAAGTGCTATTTTTAGACTGCTGTGATATGTCCCAGGCCCCAAAAGCTGTTTTTCTACTACAACTAGCAGCTGCTAGTTGCGATACCAGCATGAAGATTGGATATGCTCAGTTTGATATGCTCAAAAGGATAACATGCAGGCCCCAACTGATAAATGCCCAAAATGCTATTTATAGACTGCTGTGCTAGGTCCCAGGCCCCAAAAGCTGTACTGTGATTACAGTCAAACTCGCGGTACAAGATAATCAGAATCTTGCAAGTTGGCTCTACCAAATGTGAACGCACCTTAAAACGGCTCAAGTATGTAAAAAACAGACTGCGATCAACATAGGACCAAAATAGGCTAAGTTCTCTAATGATGATAAACTTTAGTATGCCATGTTTTCGCTATTTCGTGCCATCTTCAAATGATAATGAATGTTAAGCGTGTCTCGGCTGTTACCATTAGTTATGATACATTAATCGACAATTTAGCTGACATAACATTGCTAAGGAGACTACTCGTGCACTGAAAATCATCCAGTTTATTTCTTTAGATTTTTACGATATTAATAGTCTGTCTTACTGCTAATTACAATTACCGTTTACTGATAATTACTGATAATCAAACAAAGTTTGAATACGGATGTTGCATTTTCTCTGAATGACTTACTGAAACCAACAATTTGGAGAAAATGCGAGTAAAATTAGCGTTGCAAAAGATACATTTTTGTTTTTCAGCATTTGAAGTAACTGTGCATGTCCATGATGACCACGTTGATTGTAATGTAAACCTATTGTTGGCAAATTTGCAGTCTGTGCCAAACCTGAAAATCGCTATCCACGATGCCCCTGCTCAGTACATTCAAGACTAGTACATTATTTCCATTTGCATCTTGAAGAGCAATACCTCTTAAGGCTGCATTTTAAAAGGTCGTAGCATGCTTGTAAAGCCTCAACTAAGTTTATCCACGGGTAAAGCCAATCTTCCAGTAAAGCTAATTCATTAGAACTCGGTAAAGCTAATCTTTCACCAATCGAATGTTGCAGAACCGTGAAGAATATTTAGACATGCTCAATAGAAAATACCTCAAGAAGACATTTGTTCCATCTGGGTTAGCCTGCGCGCAGTCTTTTGCTGTGCATAAAAATAAGATAGTTTGTAGAATACTGATAGAGCCATATCGATTACATAAGTATCAACTATTCATATGCAGATTTTCAGATGGCCCGAGCTAGTGGTGTCTAGGTCTGCATCCTTTCCATCTTGGTTACAAACCAAAACGCTTATCGGGGTCCCTAGTTTGTTAAATAAATGCAATAAAGATAGCATTGAGGAAAATAAAGAGAGCAACCCTAACAAAGGGAAACAACGATTGAGCAGCTTCGGCAGAAAACATTGAATTTTTAATAGAAACTTTTGAAAAAACTGGGGAGGGGCAAAACAAGGGGCTAAGAAAATTTGGGGGGGGGCAATGGCCCCCCTTGGCCCCCCATAGAATCGCCACTGGTTGCATCTTGTCCCTGCAGTAAGGTCAATTTATAAGTAAAGATGTGTCTTCAAGTTCGCTTTGAGAAAAAAAACAGAACAATTATAGCCTTCTAGACTGGAATTTTTTTCTATGTTGAACCTCAAGGAGAATGACCTTTGAAATTACATCTTTCATTGCACAATGTGTATTTTCATTTGCTTGCAAAGACAGGAAAGGTTCAAATGAACATAATCAATCCTGGGGAGTCCCTTGACAGGTCTGACAAACACAATGAAGGGGTAGCACTTTCATGATCATATCGAGCTACAATGATTGTTTTTAGCCCTAAATGTAAAGCATCGATACAATGCCCCAGCATCAACCATTTCCTATATGGCATGCTTTGAAGCCATGTTTTGACCGTGTTATACTTTGAAAAGAGAATACCATACTTATAAAAACTGATTGTGGTTTTTAGTGAGCTTGTATACCTTTATTTCTGTTATGTATCTTTTGAAAAAAGTTATGAAACCTTTTTTTTAGAATTTTTTAATGAAGATTATGTCCGCCTCTATCTATATAAGCGAACACTGCTCTTTGTTGATAAAATATAGGCTTTATTTCAATTCGGCACTGCCTTGACTTAAAAGCAGAGAAAACGCAATAAGCACCAGGCTAAAAAGGGTGTTAGGGATGGTGGAAGTACTGACCCACTACTTATTTGACAGTGATCAAGGAAAGCGTTTCTTCGTTGTTTATTCGAAACATAAAAAAATGCAGCTTAGATTAAATTAACAAATCTTATAAATAGCAGCTTTATGGCAAAATGTGCGAAAATAGCTTAGAACTCTTAGAAAGCACTGAATACAAATATACATGTTTTTTATAAGAAAATACTTTGAAGGAAAGTTGCGCTTGACTATTCTAAAAGTTAAAAAAGTTCAGGGCTGGATCTCTAAATCCTAAGAAAGTTGAAAATTTAGAAATTCAAATTTCCAAAGGAAATTGCCGTGTAAAGTGTGCAATATTTCGTTTTGTGACAATAATGTGCTGAGAATAAATTCTTATGATGCAAAGAAGTATCAGTATAGAAATTGATTTATTCGATAATTCTACGTAGAAGAAATCGATTTCTATACAGACTATGACGATAGTAGAGGCTATGATGTTGAGGGTTTTTTAGAGAAATACAGAAATATTGATAACATTTCATCTTCCCCATCAAGGGGCATGCTCAGTAACGCAAAACTTTGCAATTAAGACAGTATTAGTGCTGAAATTAGGAAATAGCTAAGAAAGTCTGAAGGCTGGGCTGAATGAAAAAATTTTTATTAAAAAACATGTAGCGACAGAGATACATTGAAGATGACAAATATTGAGATCTGAGCTTTGTTCGTTGACACAAACGTTTTGTATAGGGACATATAAACATTTAAATAAGTATTTCAGGGACGTTTCTTTCTCTGTGGTTTTTTTTAGTTAAGACATATTTACCCTCCTTGTTCTCAATTTTCTCCTTGTTTTTCTTTGGATTATGTTAACATGGTACAAGTCGCAGAATGTCGCAAACGGAAGTATCGCTTAAAAGTTTCGAATAGAGACAGGAACAATTGAAAAGAATGATCTCTCTAAATACGGGACTTTTGTGGTCAAACTTCCATACGTCAATAATACAGATAACGCTCTACATAGAAAGGTCAACTTCATTTTCGAATGAGAGATGGCTGGGTATGTGTTTCTCATAACAAGCATATACGCTGTTTGCAATTCTGTTATTGTAGGCAAGTAGATATGGAGCTTTTTTATGCTTTATTTTTCAACTTTTTCGTTTATCATTTTATTTACACCTGGTTTCATCTATAACAATTCGTATCTTTCCAAAAAGAGAAAGCCATAGTGTAAAAAGTACAATTCATTAAAAGTTAGTACCTGCCAATCTTTTATTACAAGATTTCAAATCTTCTATATAATGTCTGACCTTCGGACTTAGTGCGTGGAACTCTTCAAGTCTTTGACTACGTTAGAAAATAAAATATGAATCTTGTTTATTCTAGGGCGTAACCCTCATCTCTTGTTGGACGTCCAATCTTGCATTGAAGTCAGCTTTATATAACTAGGCCATAATATTTGTTAGCTTAATATTACATTGCTTTATCTTATGGTACTAGAGAAATGGGTATGTAAGAAAGTAACAAAACTCGATCAGGATGCTTAAAATGCCGAACCACAAAATCCCAAACAAGAACAGCCTTGTCAGGTGACTTTGACATACAACAGTCTTTGAGTACACACTCGCTTTCTATAAGAAACCCGACCTAAAAAATTCTAAACCAACTTTTAGCAGACACGAAGATGTATCTTTGATAAAAGCTCGTATTTTTCCAGCCATATTTTTCCTAGCGTGATAATTATTTCATTTAAAAGACAGCATCATTTATTCGACGGTGCCAATAATGCTAGTTTCACTTTCTGAATCGCATATTTTAGTTGTAGTTTTAGATCTGCAAGACCTAGATGGCTGTTCTCTTCTGGGATGAATTTTGCTTCTAATACTAGAAGGAACATGCTGTTTTACTCTATCCTCCAATCTAGCAGTTTTGGAATCTATTCATATAAGCACAAAAAACCGCTATTGTGTAGACAGTTCTTTTTTACCTATAAAATTGGTAATATTCTCAATAGGCAAGCGGCACTGATAAGGCCACCTCAACAGTCGACCTATTTTCTGACGTTTTAGACTCTGAAGAGTGTCAGACGAAAAGCTTTAGCATAATCAAATGTTTTCTTATTTAAAAGCTATTTTTAATTTTTGTACCACCAAAAGATTGTTTAAATCAGAATCCATAATCTTTTTTCTTTCGATGTTTTTATGTAAGCTCAGGCCAACGAGCTGAACCAGAGCCTACAAAACATGGCGGTAACAGGCAGTGAGGAAGGACATTGACGAACAATGCGTTTTGTAAATTTTGCTTTCGTTCATTCAAAAGTGCTTTTTGGTTCGTTAAAAAGTCGGTCTTAACAAGTGATGATAAGGGCCTTTTTAACATACTAACTAGGGGGGAGAGCAATTGCCCCTCAAGCCCAAATGACTCTCCTTTGTTTAAAACAATAGGCTATTGTCCTCCTCTTCATATAAACAAAGGGTTGCCCTCGTAGCTAATCCCCTTGGAATAGGCTATGGATGAAACGTGATGCCTTCTTTATTTCTGACTGACTTTTGAAATTTGGAGTTTCAGTTATTTTCCATTCATCTGAAGGGTATTGCACAAAATCCACTCATTACCCAACCAGTGGCGGAAATTATTGGGGTATGGGGGGCTCGGGCCCGTCAATCAGTGACCTCGTCGAGAATTTCGGGATTTTGTCGGATAATTGACAACCGTTTAACTGAAATTACTGCAAGAAATTGTTCCGAAATGTATTTCAAGCTAATCTAAAGGACATGTTTGCCAAATTTTCTGCTCGCTTCGCTCGCAGGCGATCTGCATTTCCCCTGTTTGCCCATAGGGCTTCTATAACTTCTGTGCCTTTTTTGCAAAATTTGAACATAGCATAGCTGATGAAATATTAGCCAGTACTAAATAATCAATCAAATAATATATGACCAAAATCAAAACTGCTTGTGAGCTGTTAATTTCAATTCCGTAAAGATAAGCTATCGGATTCTTCCAAATAAAAGTTATTTTCAAACGTCTTTCCCACTGAAGAAAAAAAGATAAAATTCAGAAAATGAGCACTGCAATTACAATCATGTTGTTACCATGAATAGTGTAACTGGTCGACCTCGCGTATCATCGATTGCCTTAGGTGCGATATCGATCTTGACATCAAAAATCATAAATGGATTGCTCTTCTTGCTACTTAATTATGGCGTGGTCAATAAAGATTTCTAAAAGGCGCTGCCAAAAAATCACCTATTTTCATCAAAATGTACAGTTTCCTTAAAACATTTCATGATCAAAGATATTGTCTTGGCGGAAAATCGTAGACCTAGGTACTCCCAAATAAAAGCTTGAAATTCCACCACTGTACCTTACACCACCCCCCTCCCCCGCCCCCTCTTTCCCGCTGGAATCCGTCCCTGGACAGAGAGGAAGATTGAATTCGCTATATAACTTGGCATTACGATTCTTTTTTAAAGGTACAACCGCAACCAAATGGACTTGTTGTATATTTTAGAGCTTAATTTTATTGTATTGATGCCTAAAGCCTCCAGGATATTTTATTTATAAGAAACTAAGGTCCGGTACTGGTAGGCAGTTTCTTAAATATTCTGGCCACTTTGCTATCAAAAGTTTTTTATATGTTTCTTAGATTTCCTAGGCAATGAAATTTTCAAATGTGCTTCCTAGATAAAGTTAATAGTTCACTCACATTCAGAGATAAACTAATGTAATGTGCTCATTCGAAGAATGATTAACGATTGTGTATTGAGTCCCTCAACAACCCTGCTCTACACAACTTGCAAACAATGTTTCCCTACTCCACTCCACTTACATAAAAATACCTCAAACGGGCAAATATGTTCAATGTCAAGACTGTTTCGAGTATCAACTTGGAAAATTAAAACTGCAAACTATAAAAGATTCTTAGCTTTTTTCAATTTGGGTAGAGTTGTTTTTTAACTTTCGAAAAATTAAGCCTACCGTTTCTTATAACCTGATTTTTATAAAAAGTGCATGTAGTGTGTTAAAGTTGAAAGTTTATCGTAAAATTTGGGTTATTAGTTTATAAATCAAGAGGCAGCACCGAAAATTTGTTGGTACCTTTGGTAACAGAGTCTCAGCAGGTTTAAGAAAGTAAAAGTATTTGCCTTTCCATTTCTTGTTGACAACCTTCTTTTCCAATTATTCCTTTCGTTGACTCTCTGAGGCTCTGTTCCACAGGTTACAGTTTTGCATCGCTCTGCTTCCCTCTACCCGCCTTCTAACTTATACTCACGAACTCATGTATTCAAACAAAGTAGAGTAAACATTATATCAACTTAAGTCATTTGATTTTTTAGCTGGTCGTATAGATAGCTAAAATGCTTACAAAACTGTGTTTAGATTTCTTGACTGAAGAAAACAAATTTCGGTAGGCCATTTGCTAGATTCGCGGAAAACTTGATAAAAAATGAGATAGGCAGTGAGAGGAGACAACGTCAACCAGTGAAGTAGTATGAAATAGTGGGACTTTTATCATTCACGATTCCCTGTATCACGGGGCAATTTTTTGTTAAAATTAAATGATTGGCTCTCGATACAAATTGATGGGCCACTTCCATCAATCTTTCATATCCAAAAATATGATAAATCTTAACGTTATAAAATTTTCTTTAAATTTTCTATCCCATTTCAATTAAATGTTGCAAATGCGAATTTATATTTAATTCTTAAGCCGTTCGCTAAATAGCAGTGTTTATATTTTTACCACAGCTGCTGCTGCACCACAAGCATGCAATGACAGGCACTACCATTGCTCCTATTGGGCGTCTACGCGCCAGTGCACATTGAACAGAGCCTACATGCAGATGAATTGCAGGAAAAGTTGTCAATTGTGTGGTTCGTCTGCCAAAAGTGAGATTCTATTTTCTAATTGATTGGCTGTATTATTTAAACACAATCGTTATCCATGACTACAACTAGGATGTAGTGAACATACTTCAAATTATTTCTACGTGGCTTATTGTATTTTGCGAAAATTTTCGCATAATGCGAAAATGCGAAATTTCGCAAAATACAAGTTTCGAGGTGGTATTTTGTAAAATGCGAAAACTTATTCTAAAAACTTTATTTGCCCATATCAACGACCGAAAACAAGCAATTCATATTCAGGGCGACTCTGTTCATGCAAATAGCCTAGTTCATGTCCCATTTAACGTTAGATAACTCATGGACACATTTTGGAAAATGGTTCAAAAACCAACCACACTAAGGCCATGAACGGCCTAATTGTGAATTGCCCATTCCAGCGAAAGACGATAACAGTAAGTATCCCGGTGCTTGCTAATTGGTAATTGGTAAATACCCAACATTCTGCGTGTTCTGTGTTGTTTTAGGAGTAATTTACGCCTTTATCCACAAGGCCTATTTTCCTGTTTCCTTCCCGGTGAAACCCGCGTGGCTGGAAAAGGACGGGGGTGATGTCAAAAGATTTTCGCAAAATACAAAATGGCTGGGGGTTTTTGTATTTTGCGAAAACTCGCCAAACATTGTCGAAATGTTAGTTTTTATTTGAGAAAATGTACGGAAAGGCTTTGGACTGTATTTAAAATTTTGTTTTTTGAGTAGGCATCAAAAGATTCGATCCAATTAAAGAATTTTCGCAAAATACAAAATGGCTAGGGGCTTTTGTATTTTGCGAAAACTCGCCCAACATTGTCGAAATGCTAGTTTTTATTTGAATAAATGTACGGTAAGGCTTTAGAAAGAGGCTTTGGGTTTTTTTGATAGTGTAGCAGGAACCTACAACAAAAAGGTGCATGCATTTTCTTTGGCGCCAGACAATGACTCACTTCTTAAAAGAAATTAGCAGGACGCCCATTATTTGTGTCATCAACGTGTGAAGACTTCCCTCTTCTCATTCATAATGACATTTTTTCTTTTGTTCTACTTCCTGGGTGCCTATTTGTGCCAATCTGGTGACATTCCATGTGATTGAATTTTATCGGTTGGGCGAGTTTTCGCAAAATACAAAAACCCCCAGCCATTTTGTATTTTGCGAAAAATCTTTAACTGGATCGAATCTTTTGATGCCTACTCAATTGACAAGATTTTAAATACAGTCCAAAGCCTTTCCGTACATTTTCTCAAATAGAAACTAACATTTCGACAATATTTGGCTAGTTTTCGCAAAATACAAAAACCCCCAGCCATTTTGTATTTTGCGAAAATTCTTTAATTTGATCGAATCTTTTGATGCCTCCTCAATTGACAAGATTTTAAATACAGTCCAAAGCCTTTCCGTACATTTTCTGAAATAAAAACTAACATTTCGACAATATTTGGCTAATTTTTGGCAAAATACAAAAACCCCAGCCATTTTGTATTTTGCGAAAATTCTTTAATTTGATCGAATCTTTAGATGCCTACTCAATTGACAAGATTTTAAATACAGTCCAAAGCCTTTCCGTACATTTTCTGAAATAAAAACTAACATTTCGAGAATGTCTGGCGAGTTTTCGCAAAATACAAAAACCCCCAGCCATTTTGTATTTTGCGAAAATTCTTTAATTTGATCGAATCTTTTGATGCCTACTCAAAAAAACAAAATTTTAAATACAGTCCAAAGCCTTTCCGTACATTTTCTGAAATAAAAACTAACATTTCGAGAATGTCTGGCGAGTTTTCGCAAAATACAAAAACCCCCAGCCATTTTGTATTTTGCGAAAATTCTTTAATTTGATCGAATCTTTTGATGCCTACTCAAAAAACAAAATTTTAAATACAGTCCAAAGCCTTTCCGTACATTTTCTCAAATAAAAACTAACATTTCGACAATGTTTGGCGAGTTTTCGCAAAATACAAAAAACCCCAGCCATTTTGTATTTTGCGAAAATCTTTTGACATCACCCCCGTCCTTTTCCAGCCACGCGGGTTTCACCGGGAAGGAAACAGGAAAATAGGCCTTGTGGATAAAGGCGTAAATTACCCCTAAAACAACACAGAACACGCAGAATGTTGGGTATTTACCAATTACCAATTAGCAAGCACCGGGATGCTTACTGTTATCGTATTTCGCTGGAATGGGCAATTCACAATTAGGCCGTTCATGGCCTTGGTGTGGTTGGTTTTTGAACCATTTTCCAAAATGTGTCCATGAGCTATCTAACGTTAAATGGGACATGAACTAGGCTATTTGCATGAACAGAGTCGCCCTGAATATGAATTGCTTGTTTTCGGTCGTTGATCTGGGCAAATAAAGTTTTTAGAATCAGTTTTCGCATTTTACAAAATACCACCTCGAAACTTGTATTTTGCGAAATTTCGCATTTTCGCATTATGCGAAAATTTTCGCAAAATACAATAAGCCTTTCTACGTCCCTGTTTATGTTCAAATCTTGTCCACGTTTCTTAACCTGCTTTTAGCTTTGAGGGTCTCAGTTTCCACTTAGACTCTTGCAAGCACTTAGGAAGGAAGGGCACCTTATAGCCACAAAACAAATACGTCTAAGGATGCAAGCCCCCTTTATTTGCTATTTTATAAATATCATAAAAAGAGGGCTTTGTTGCAAACAGAACTAAGCATGCACCGTTCATAAAAGAAAAAGCGATAGTGATTACTGTGAAATTCAGCGATGAAATCGAGACAACTACCACACAGCCTTCCAGAGAAGATACAAATGTCAGGGACCGCGGAGGCAGGGGGGAGGCTTTAGGGCTACAGGGGCTTTAGCCCTCCAAAATGTACTTAAAATCATACCAAAAATCGCCCTACTCTTCGGTTTCTATCATGTTTACCCCCACCCAACCCCTCCCCCGCGGTCCCCGACAAATGTATCTTCTATTCACAAAATAATTTACTATTCTGAAATATATATGCTTTCAAGAAGCAAAGGCTGATGCTTTATAACGCTTCATTTGTGTCGCTTTTAGTGGTTTAGATGGTTCTGTTGTGTATGGCGGCAAGAATGCCTAGGCCCTATTTAACAGTGAAAACAAAGGATCCAAAAATGTAAATAGTGGCGATGATACTTTAGTTTATAGTTAATTTCGAGCACTCACATTTGTTTCGTCACTCATTAAGTTGATAGCCTATATTTATATGAGAAAAGAAGGCGTCATAATCTACTAACCTTCGATACAGCTTGCTTTGCTTGTACACAATATCTGTGTATTCGCTTCAGCCTGTCTCTCTCTGTTGTCCATCCAAATGTTTGTAATGTACAATTCTTTATAATGAAACAATGATACGGTCTACTTCTAGTTACATGCAAAGACAATAATCAGTTGTGTGGATATTGGGCAAAAACTGGTCAATGTTCTAAAAACCCTGCCTACATGCAATTAAATTGCAAGAAAAGCTGCAAACTATGCCCACGTGAGTATTTTACATTTGAAATTCCTATGGGACCGATAGAAGAATGGTCTTTTTTATGAAAGTGACTTTTTCCCCCAACTTCCTTAGATGCATTTGCATGTACTACTAAAACATGGAACGTCCAAAACACGAACATCTTTAAGCTTCTAAGTTCATGGTAGGCTCCGACCAAAAAGCCTATTTTTGAGTTCTGTACAAAAAAGCTCTGTTCGGTTAAGCGTCTAGCTCTATGACTGACCCAAAACGCTTCGTCTGGAATGAAATAAAAAGGATAGGCAAATGAAGTAGGATATTATTGGATGCAAATTTGATAGGAACACTGCAGGGTAAACTTATGGCGTAATTAGAGACAGGTCGGTGGAGGAGAAACCCCCACTGTAAGGCTAAATTGCTAATTTGTCGGAAAACGTCTGATTCTGTCGAAAATAAATTAAGAGTTGTCTATGTTGATATCAAAATGTTACATTTTGAGAGGAAGACTTTCAGGCTAGCTGGCTGGCTAGAGGAAGACTGGATGGCTAGAAGTAACTTGAGCCTAGGATTGAGTCTTAGTTCTCATTTCATTGCTGTTTTTGAAGAAATAAGTACCGCTCTAAATGCTCACTTAACTTCCTTAATAGTGAGAAAAGAAGATTAAAGCATGAATATTAGCAAACGGTGGGCGGTCATCAATTTTTTACTGCAGTGACGGTTATTGCAATGCTAGTTTCAAATTTGAAACATGCTTTGCAGGTTCAAAAAAGCCAACTTTTTCCATATCTCATGTAAAAACCATTCAAATTTAGAAAAGTCATCTTAAATATTTCTACTTACTTGGGGACGCAAAAGGTGCTTGTCGATACATATAACCCTTCAGCCACTAAATTCTTTTTTTGCTCAAGAAGTATTTATCCAGAACAGAGTTTTTTGCAGTTATTCGTACAGCCCCAGTTATATAGCAACAGACAATAGCAACGTCTTCAATAGGGATACTTGAGGACAATCCATGCTTTTTATCTAACAGTGGCAGGATGACCAATTACAATATCTCTTTTAATTAAAATATAGGATATTGTATCTATTAATTTGGAGGAAATTTTTCAAATTGGCTGTGCTTTGTGCAGAACCGTCAAATACGTCTCCAGTTTCAGAAAAAATTCGATGCTAATTTTTTAAATTAATTCCTTGTCGATAAAATCAGCACGAATCTAAGAAAAAGCAGGAATTTTAATTCAGAAGTGCATCGAATTTCAAATTTTGTCCAACATTGCAGAGTTGACTTATTCTTGGTATTGATTTCATAAGTTGGAATAAGCACATCTCAGTGGTCCTTTTGATGGCTCACTTCACTTTAAAGGAATCGCCAGCAGCAAGATTAAAGCCCGTCCTATCAAGTCGAAAAAGCAAAAACCAAAAACAGTAGTCAAGAAAGTTGTGAGTAAAGTAATTAATGAACAAGTTTGCGGTATCAGAGCCAGAAGTCGTGTTGTTGGAGGCACCCATGCAAAGTACGGTGAATGGCCTTGGCAAGTCGGGATTGTCAACCAGAAGAAATTTGGAGGAGACCGCAGATATGTTATATGTGGGGGAAGTTTGATCAATAACCAGTGGGTTCTCACGGCCGCTCATTGCTTTGGGAGACCCAGAAGCACTCCACTACAGAATGATTTCATTGTGAGGATTGCTGAGCACGACCTGAAAACTGATGAAGGTAAATAGTTCAAGATTCATATTTTAACTTCCATCTACTCAATCTCATGGGCATCAAAACATCAAAACATGAACGCCTTAAATATTTTAAAAAATATCTTTAGAGCCTTTAGGCGGTTAAAAGCTATTCGTATAATTGTTTTTTTCGATTAAAAGCATTTGAGTAGAATATAAGATTAGACAGGTAATAAGCGTTTAACTGAAATATCTTTAAAGTATGTTTGATATGATAATGAACGTCTATTTTAATATATGCAAAGTCTTTAAACACCAAGCAGGGACGCCGGAGAGGAGGGGCGGTGAGTTAACCGCCCCTGTTGCCTTGTGGTGGGAGGTACATGGGGGCCAAAGTGTCCTTTTCATAGCAGTGCCCTAAACATCAGCTGTTTAAAATTATCAAAAGTCTCATAGGAAATTCTGACTGCACTGCTTTATGCATGACGACATTTCTCAAAACTTTTGAGAAAATTCCTTATGTAAAAAGTTAGCCAGTTTTCATGATACCTACCCCTTAGGTAGATGTACTAATACAGATATGAATATGCAGGTCTTGCATTTCCCTAAAAGATCATTTCTTCACAAATAGGCGTGGAAATGGAAATGAACGTAACAAAGATTCTCAAGCATAATGGATACAAGATCTGATCATATGATAATGACATCGCTCTATTGAAGCTTGCTAAAAGAGTCAAATACACTCAATTGATCAAGCCTGTGTGTCTTCCAGAAGCAAACAAGAAAGAAAGGGCAGGGCAGAGTTGTACTGTCATCGGCTGGGGGAGAGTACAGGAATTTGGTCCTACTTCAAAAATACTCAAAAAAGCTCAGGTAAATTGCATGTGTTTACAAATTGCTAAGGGCAGGAGGCCCTAAAGAAAGCCAGGTTGTCGGAAAATCTGGAAAATTTTACTACTCAGTTGGAATCTTTGCAAAAAAATTGCCTTTAGCCCCCAAAAAATTTAACTCCCATTGCGTCCCTGTCTATAGTGGACACCTCGGTTTACAATAAGTAGCCTCGCTTTTATATTTCTTTGAATTCAGCTTCAAAATTGTTTTTGGCATTTTCTTGATTGTTTGTACCTTGAACAGAAAATTGATCTATTCGCACAGAAGTGCCAAGTTAGGTGCAACTTTCGACTCTAAGTATAGCATTTAAGTAATAAGTAGCTTTCTGTACCCACCCAATAAAGCCAAGAAGAGGTTGAAGACCTTTTCAAATTTAAGATAGGGGAAGTAAAGTTTTGTGCTGTCATTTGCCAATTTCCAAAGTCAAATTTTAATATCAGAAAAGAATTCCTGTTGCAATCGTGGCACCCGGTAAACATTATATGAAAACAATGTTATTTCTAGGATGCAATCTGGCACAGAGTAATCTGGTAATGATTCTAATGGGTCTTGCTTACAATTCTTGATGCCATAGACATTTTTTCGATTTACGAAAAAATCAAAGTTTCTGTATACAATCTATCTACTTTCTAGCATCTATTGGTAAATAAATGATCTTCGCGCTTCTTGACTAGTTAGAATTGTTCTGATGTTCTATATTATCAGAGACAAGGTACTAAAGATCACTGCAAGTAAAGTATGACAATGTTTGAAATTTTCTCCTGTCATTATGAACTCTTCTCGACAAATTCGTATAGATAATACGACTTTTTATCGAAATTCTATTTGAAGTTCTTTCATTAGATTCCAATCGTACAGAGAAAAAAATGCAAGGAAACGCTTCAGAAACATGGATTTTTCACTGACAATATGCTGTGCGCTGGGTATAAAGATGGAAAAGTGGATGCCTGTTCGGTATGTTTCATTGACACACTATTAGGGTTAACGATGTTCTTTTACTCCATGCTATGAAATTAGCAGCCGTGATGCTAGAGAAGGCTTGGATAACTATAGCTCTGTTAGCTTTCAAGCAGAAGATTGACAAAAATCCTGAGGGGTGCTCCCATTATGGCCTATCATGGGGGTCCAGTCAAGGTCAAAGATGGCCAAAACTAAAATCTCAAAAAATTACCCTCAAATTGTAGTCTCTTCTAAAATAACCTTAAAATGGTAGCATAAGGATGGAAATTATTTCTTTGGTAGCATCCATTTCTTTGTGCACGTCTGGTCCTTCTGTGACAAATGTCTTCGCCATTGACTGTTGTTGATTCGGGAAAGATAAAATTATGTTCATTATCTATAATAAAACGTAAGCTAAACTAAGCCGTTGTGTTATTATCGATTCTAGGCCATTTGGCAGCCATTTATAAGACCATCAAATAGACTGGACCACCCTGTCAGGCTTTAATTGGAATACCCCCTGAGCAGAAATCTAAGTTTAGAATGAGAAAACCTGGGACGTAAATTTATAGATATTTTTGGGAGGGTAAAGGTTACAAAATTTCCGAATGACGGTAATTTTATACTAAATTTGTAATAAGAGTTTACTTACAAAACCTTAACTTTACAATGTGTGGCCGTTTCCTTTCTGAATTGAGAAAATGCTCGGAATTACCTTTATGTTTTACAATTCTCTAACGTAAATAAGCATGGGAAATTATGACTTATATTTCCCGATCATTTTCATATTGCCCTCAAAGATTGGATTTCAAAGGATTTTAAAGACACGCCTACCTCCAAGTCTTTTATGTGCCTGAAGGACGACATTATCTTTGCTTCCTCTTTGCTTCGAGCGGCTCGACGAAGAATCGTAAAACCAATTTCTTAGTATTTACCTAGTCACATGTTTAACTGTCTTTATCTTGATGATATACAGGGAGACAGTGGTGGACCCTTGCTTTGCCGAGAAAATCATCGATTCGAATTGACGGGTATTGTTAGTTGGGGTACTGGATGTGGAAGACCAAACGCTTATGGAGCCTACACAAAAGTCAGCAATTACATCAACTGGATTATAAGGAACATCAAGAACAATCGATGAAGCATAAAAGTACACTGTTTTTAACTGAGAATAGCAGGTGCATAAGTGTTAAGTTTAAAAATATAACAAATGATACAGGATTTGCTTTAACACAAAGAGCCTCCACGACCTTATTTTGGCATTTAATGCTCGGCCATCAGGGTCCACGCAACAGAGGGGGCAAGGGGACCTAGGAGCCTAGGGGCCATGGCCTTCCCACTTTTTCAATAAATGAAAGACTAAAATAAGCCTGAAGTATTTATAGAGACAAACGTTTAGATTACAACAAATCCATTGCAATGATATCCACAAGTAAAACTGCGTAAGCAAAATGTTTGCCTCAATGGGAATTGACAGGGTAAAAGGTAACAGGAAACTTGTTTTTACATTGAGGGACCGTTCAGTTTTGGATCAGTGGCGTGGGCCCTTGATGTCTCTGAAGGATGGCCAGTAATTTAATTAATATTTTCTATTATTCTCCATACGATATCTCCGCTGCAAGTCCTCTAGCGACTTAAACTCTGTCAATTGTTGTTCCCAAACTTTCACTTGCTAATCGAATAGTCAGGTAACTTGATCATTGTTGCATTCTTTAACTTGAAAATTTGACAATTACTTAAGTATTGATAGTAATAATGAAAACTTTTCAATTCAAATCAATTAAACTACAATGACAAACTTCTCTATTACATAGGTAGTTTGCAACTGGCTAGCCTGAGTTAACATTATAAGACTATTACAATTGTAGCTGCAAAAAGGGAAAACTGAGAAAAAAAGAAAGCAACCAAAATTAAAAAGGATGTAATTCCGGGTTTTTCAATGGTTTATGTTTGCAACAAAATATGTAGCATGAGTACAAATGACAATTTGAAAAGTTTAGAAATGAGATACCATTTTTGATGTTGATCAATGGAAAGAGAGTCACAAATTTTGATGAATGTGTTGCAGGAATTGCCGACGATGCCAAAAGAGCTTAAAGGAATTTATCATAAGGTTAAAAACATAAAGTGCGATATCTAAACAGTAACTGTCAAACTCTTTGACCTTATATCATTTATGTTGCCTGTCTATGTTACAAGCCCGCATTGGACTGGTGCAATAAAGCTTCTTATATTCACAAAAGATTAGAAAAAGTCTGACAAAGACCAATTTTGGAATTTCTTTTCAATGCATCTGTGTTAGTACCCTGGGTACCAAAGCAACAAAATCTCGAACATGTAAACAGGATGCCGAGCAGTGGAGCAAAGAACGCCAGTGTGTTCTCAATCCTTAAAATCGTTGTCTTTTGGGTTTTACAATTTAAAATTGTTGAAAAACTGAGAAATAATCATATTTAAGATACCTCTTTTAATATTCTAGACACATTATGTATTATTTAAATCACAATAGCTTCCTTTACATTTCAACGAACATAAACTTTCCATAAATCTCCTTGAAATACGGCATTATCAGGCCAGTCCAATGTAGAATCAGATAAACCAACTTTGTCTAAACAAGCAAACTGTGAGTAGGCAATATTCCAAAAGGCAGCAATTCCAGTGTTTTCTTTAAAGAAAAATGGAACAATAATGGTAGTGCTAGGGAGAAGTTCTGAGCATTTTTCAATAAAATTTGATGAATCACCTGGAAGGGATGCGAATGCCCCACACAACTCGACCGACGGATGATTAATCATCGCATATCTTTGAGCGATAATTGTTCCATTTTTGGATCCTCGAAGTGTTTTGATGTGAAAAGATGTATTAAAATGGGGAGATCTGCAATAGAACCTTATTTCTCGGTAGTCAGAGACTCTTTTGAAGTGCGCCATTCCAAAGTCGTTAAAATAGTAATTGCCAGTTGGCTCGAAATCATCCAGGCTGCTGCTTGAACTGCTTCCAACAACCGGGAACCTCTCAAATGCGCCAATATCATTCGCATTGGATCTAGCTCGCATAACTTGCGTCCAACCACCTAGAAATAAGAATACGAATAACAGCAAGACCTGTAATATTGAATCGATGGGTCTGGGATCGATGGGCTGGGTCTTTGTTAAGAAATCTGTGCTCAACAAAGAAGAGAACGCATAAAACAGAGAACATGGGTTCAAGATAAATCACGACTATCCATCTCATTCATTCATTAAATCATTCTTGCTTCTAAATTTTTGAAGCTACGGTGTCCAGACTCGAGCTCCAATAAAATTTCATTATTCTCTACATAAAATTTGTGTTGAAAATTAAGAACTTTCATGAGGCAAAAGAGGTAAAAAGGGTGGGAGTTTTCGACAAAATTGGATTATGTTTGGGTTTTTTACCCCGGCTGAGAGATAGTGATTTTCAATTCGTTTCTTGAATTAAAAGAGATTTAGGAATTCAAAAAACGGAGGCAAGCAGGAGTCTTTCGAACGAGTCCGGGGTTCTTCGGCAGAAAAGAGTACCTGGAACATATTAAAGGGTTGGTGGCAACCAGTAGTCTCTCGAGGATATCCAAGGAACAGAGACAACTAAGAGTCCCTCAAACCAACCCGGGGTTCTTGAGCAGCCTAGAGCATTGCATTTTTTTGTGTTATGTAAATTATTTTGTGTTAGTTTTTATAATAGTGAGCGCACACATATTCAGACTAGCATAAAGCATCAAGAATTGCCAAAGACAGATTGCTTACTGCAAAAAGAACATGCGCATTCGTTTTTAAGGAACAAAGTATTAAACAAATTCTAGAAGTGTGTAGTACTCTGGGCTCTCTTTATTGATTCTGGGATTAAAGTCCAGATTTTAGGACCTTGAAAACTTAATGTTTTGATGCCATTGTTGGTAGTTCTGACTTTTTGAATAGGGTATTGGGTCGAAGATTGTGAGCTGTTGTTTTAGGAACAAATCAGTCTTTTGCAAAATAGGATTGAGTTTTATAAACCTCAAGAGCTAAAAATTCTAACTGGTTGGACATGTACAGAAAATTCTTTCATGTTAGCAAATGGGTCTCTATACGAAGATGAATAGTCCGAGTAGGCTATATTTATTATTTCTTTACTTAGGGCCTGTTTATATGGAAGAGGGATAACCCTCCTAGAGAGCTTGCCTTCTTTGCCGAGATCTCACCTTATAAAAATCGTTTTGTTTTATATGACGGGAGGGCTGGCCCTCCTAGCCGAGATCTCGGTGTTGAGAACCCGAGATCTCCCCCAGGAGGGCTGGAAATTTCCCATATAAACAAAATTAGGAGGGCTGGCTCTCCTAGGCGAGATGCAAAGTAACGACGTGCGCACGCGCAACTGAGTCATTTGCACTTTAAAATGGCTATCGTTTGAGATAACATCAACAGAAAACATTTTCGGTCAGCCATGTTGATGAAACCAACAAAAAGGCGCGAAATTGCAACTCTTTGACAAACGCTGCGCAGGACCTTAATGTAAACCTTAAAGAAATCTCATGTAAATGCATGGTGAAATTCAGCCCTAAGAAGGCTAGCCGTCTTCATATAAACAGGCCCTTAGGGTTGGTTTATTTTGCAGCTAATCTTTATTAACGCCAACCACAATCAAAAAACATGTTTATAATTCGATAAAATGTAGCTAGCAAAAATAAGATAAAACTAAATAGACTCTTAATTTGCTAACTTAGTTTTCTACATTTTGCTGACATAATTTACAGTTTCTGTTATAATCGTGGGTTTTATTCTTAACATGAAAATATGCAATGTCTTTGGATAATGGTCGCTGGTCGCTTTTGTGGAAAATGATCGATTTTGTTTAGATAAACTCATAGATACGGGTGTTTTAAGAATTTTCATATTCTTACGAAAAATCTGAAAGTTGAAAATCAAACATCGAAAAGAAAACTTAAGCTCATGAGGGAATATCCGAGATTTGACAATTCTAGCAAGAAATAATTTTGCTGGGCACTTAAAATCAGCATGCGGTGTACAGAAGCTACTTCCAGATGTAAATGTATTGCTAAATCACGTGTGAAAGCAAATCAGCAAATGCTAAATTTGTATATACCAATGGAAAGAGCACTTTGAGACACTGCATGTCAAGCAAGTTTTACCATCATATATCGAATAACAATCAAGTTATGACTATTTGAACACTGAAATTACACCATAAATGACGTCACCGATAACTTAAAGGAGAACTGACACGCAAAAATAAGTTTGGCTAAAACGGTAGTTTGTGACAAGCAAATTCCGGGATCGAAAAAATTTTTTAAATCACAGTTACCGTTTTTGAAATACGGGCGTTTTAAGTTGAGAAACGACAATTGTTCCGACAACTTGAGACTCGAGGCGAAAATCGTCACGAGTAGGCGATCATCTTTGACGTCACAAGTGACATGTTCTCAGCACGTGTTGTGTTTCTCTATAGAAACCTTTAAGAAAATGCTGCGGACAAATGTTTTTTTTGTGCATCTGAAAGAAGCTAATTTTGCATTTTTGACACATAATTAACTTTTTCAATGGTTTGGGACTCTGAATCCGAGTTTTATTACACTGATTTCGAAACAAATGGAAAATTTCAGCTGTCTGAGTTTTTGCTACCAACCAGCGCTGCCGCTTGGGCAGACAGTCGTTCCATGGCTCAACAGTGACGATATTATGAACAAAGAACAAACTGGAAGTACAAACTGATATGGAGTTTCTATTAAAAACATTGCTATTGCTACAACCTAAATGGGATCAGGTATCGTAAAACTAGAATTTCATTACAGATTGAGGGGTCTTTGTCCAGACTGTTTTGTCTGTATGGCCTAATTCGCTGAAATGCCTATGATGCTCTAAACGGAACTGCAAGTTATTCATTATCAATATAGCATTCTATGATTGTTTTTCCATGTTTCAAACGCGTTAACTGTATAGTGATATTAAATAGTAAAGGCGGGTTGAAAGTCGCACTTGTGCGGATAATATGCCATTTTCACCGGGTGTGAAGGGTTTCGGGAATTACCTTTAAGGCTGTTGAAAAATCTGGATCTACGAAATAGGCTCTTAGCTCTTAGTCACAGAACTTGATTTCTTAGTCGAAGAAAATGCTTTTTAGTTGTCATAGGAATATCAACTGGCGCATTATCTTCTTTTGCAAACAATTTTGACTTGGGTAGGGGATGGTCTTTTTCAAGACGATAATCAAGTTCAGTCACACTCGCAGCTCCCGTCAACCAAGGTTTTTTCTTGAATTCATATTTCTGCACCCAAAGCAGGTTGCAGGATCGCTTTTACCGCCGTCTCCACTAGATTTCGTTTGTCTTTTGGCTATTGCTTCAACCCCCCCCCCTCCCCCATATACAAGTAAAAACTTTGAAGAAACGGTATCATCAGTTTTTAATCAAAGTCGACTCCTTTTTTGATAAGCTTAGAGGTTCTTTCAATGTTTCAAAGCATCGAAGATATCATGGCATAAAAATAAATTTTATGTAGATATTAGCGTCCTAGCAGACATGTAGCTAAGATTTTCTAGCTTTTTTATACTTATAAATGAAATGCCTGACAATTTTTTGTCTTTTCACCGCGGACTATTTTCAATAAAACACGAAACTTCATTTGTACTTTCAAAGTTGCGGTAAAAGCCTTTACAACGGCATTGTTAACATGTCACTTGTGACGTCAACCGAGCGGGAAATTCCCGAGTCCTCGCTGTGACGTAATTGGCAGATAAAAGTGCAAATATCAGAAAAACGGTGAATCTAAGAAGAAAACTTTTTCCAGATTTGAAGTCAGCGACAAATTTTGCATAGAATAAGCTAAAGTTATTTTTGCGTGTCAGTTCTCCTTTAAGAACGAAGGATCCACTAATCGGTGCAAATCGAAATTTTCATCTTTAAATCTTAGTCTAATGGGATCTATTGAGAAAACGAAAGTTAGCATGTTTGTAAGATTGTTAGAGTATATGCCCTGTCTATAATGTTATTGTAAAAAGTCAAGAACTACGGTACTGTGGCATTTGTAAAGGAATTTTTCAGAAATACTCAAGCTATCGTTCAAGATCAACTCCAATATCAAAGTTGAAAGACAATATATCAGTACAGTAAAGAAGTCTCTTCTCTAGATAATATGTAATACCTTACCTTTGTCCGTATCCATATCGCAATAAACTGTCATTTTAGCAGTCATCATGGTAGAGGAGTAAATCTTATATAAACCAGATTTTGTAGTCGGATATTTCATCTTTATCGCATAACAGCTCCGCTCTGATGCTACAAAATGCAATATCATTTTGTCAAAGATTAGCTCCGATTTTTCTTAAGACCTGAGGTATATTAAGGGGTTTATTACAAGGGATATAATAATTAGGGGTATATTACAATGAAAGAAACGGCTATGGTTAAAATAACTTGAGCAAGATGTGGAAATCAGTTACTTATGGCATAATGAAGGGCCCCCACTACCCCTCACTGCACTATATCCTTAATCAATCATGATTTGTGAAAATCGTCAGGGTAACAACAATAAATCTCATAAGAACGAAGATCAATCATTTTGGGTTTCTCTATGTTTTTTAAATTGTGGGAAAGAAACTTTGCTCATTCTTTCTATTTAATTAATACCACAGTAATAGTTTTACCTGCACTATGGTGCGAATGGTGCAGGTTCCCACTGCGATAGGTATTAACAACTCTACCATTTAAGATCCAAATTAGAAATTTCAATCAGTTCTGTGAATCATTGACTTCACATGGAACAAATAAAAGTATCCTAAAGTCGTCCAGTCTTATTTGTGAAAGAAATCGTCGCACATTATCCTTATTTCAAGCAGTGTTGAAGAAAGAAAATCGGAATAAAGATTTGATTCATTCAACCCAGGAATTTCAGCCAGCTGGTCGAAGAGAGCAGTGCGGGAGAAAATGCTCAATTATCTCTTCAAATTGGACCCAGGCAGTCAAAATAAATCTATGTTAATATAATGCACAAAATCTTACCAGTAGCTTTGTTAAATTCCTTACACCAAGAATGTCATCAATATTAAAAGTCAAATATTCTGGTGGACTAATAATGGCAAGTAGTTTACGTTTGAACTCCGAACAGGTGCGCAACCAGAAATTTCAGAGGGCAGGAGTCAAAGACACAGAAAGGACACAAAAGAAATTTTATTCATTTATAGCTTTGTTCATATGTTCATGCTTAGAAACATAAGAGTTATTATAAGAATTTTCCAATTTTTTTCACTACCTCCAAGTCTAAAGATAGTAAACATTTCTACTAGAAGAAATAGAATAAACAGCCTCATTGCAATTCAATGCAGATTGACAGTACTACAGGGACTACTTCTGTTCTAACTGATCAAAATGCAACCAAAATGAAACTGAAGCTACATAATTATGTATATCAGATGATTGTTAATGCTCAATAAAATTCAAAGAGGATTGTGAAAACATTTTCCTGAGCTGCTACTTTAAGAATGCGTCTACAACAGCACTACATGTTGGCAGCAAATAGGGCCGCATTTGTATAAGATTCCAGTCTCTTTCACGTTGTGACGTCATTGTACTGCGATAGGCTGTCTTCAACCGTCTTACTTCAGAAGCTGCTATCTCTGCTTCGCAAGAACCTATAGGTGAAATGCAGCCCATCACAAGCAATCTTCATATTTAAGGGAAAATGTCCTGGTCAGCAACATGAAGACCGTCCAAAAGACTGTCTGGTTGCTCGTTAACAAGATCAGCCTGTTCGCCGTCTTATCTCAACCGTGATTTCTCTGGATTTCTTCTTTCATCTCATGTATACATTGCAACGCTTTTCTTTGCTCTTCGTATCGTCTTTCGGTCTTTCTTCTTTGCGGACTTTTCTTCTCTGTCCGCCATCTTCTTTTTCCAGTGCCTTTTTCATCTTAGGAGCTTACTTTTGAAATGCAACCCTTAACAACATGGAGTTCTTTGCTTAGACTTACAGATGGTAGTAGATTGAACAGTTCCACCTGATTTCTGCCTGCGAACTTTGACTTAAGCTTGCTTGTTATACTGCCAAAGAATGGAACAGCTACCGAGGAATGAAACTTTCCACGTTATCACATTTCTTCATCGCTCCAGGTTGATTATATGACAATGCTGCTTATGTCCTGAAAATTTTCGGGGATGCAGGCAAGAACTAACAAATGTTCACCCTACGCCGCAAGTGCCGCGAATTCGCTCGATTTGATTGGTAATACAGCAGAAGGATGCTGCCTCTTAAGTTATGAATTCTTGGCACTGGCAGAAAACCTGCAAGTCTGTTTCTCAGCTTCCACATATCTAGAAACGAGGCTTGAACACCTGCTTACAGCGCATTAGCTAGAAATTGATTGCTAACACCCTAAAAATTTAAGAACAATCCAGTCTCGCAATTTCGAAAAAATTAAAAACAACCAGCCTGAACTTCAATTTACTGGCTCTTATAAAAAAGAGTGTGGTGGTAAATTTTATTTTATTAAATGCACCGCAATGGGGAGGCCGTTTGCCCCAAACAATGCCAACATATTCATGACAACAAAAGAACAACATATCTTGAGCAATGCCCGATGGGATGAGTTCAATATTTTCGGAAGATTTATCGATGATATAATTGGTATTATACCATTTTTTCTTAGTTTTTGACAAGCTGTGCTTGCCTCATTGTGTGGTTTTCAGAAAGACACTAACTTCGACCACACTCAGATCCGGAGTGAAAGGAAATCAGAATCAATTTAGGAATCTATTCCCCTCAAATGACGCCCCTGCGCAGGATGACGCTCATCCCAACGACTGCGTGCAAGTTTGAATATATCGGTTTTCTGTTTTTCTGTGAGGCCTTTCATTTCGCCGGAATGTATCATTTATGATCCTCCTTCTTAGGTTGATAACAAAAATATTTAAGTATTCATTTCTAAACGGAAGCTTAAGCAATTTTCCAAGGAAAGGGCACTTTTCCCCTTTTGAGAAAAAGGACGGGGGTCTGGACCCCAGGACAACCTTTTCCCCTATCCGTAGTTGCGTGCCTGCCGAAATACAGTTTGCACGTTTTCTCAATTGAGTTAGGAAAGCAAGTTGTCTGTCCAGAATATTGTTGATAGGTGGGTGGATACCTAAGACTGTATGTTAATGTTACTACTTCCTCAGAAGGATTTAATTCAATTAAACATGCTGGGGATGCAGATTTTTTCAAGTTATAAAAGTAATCTGTACCACAAAACGCAACCTTTCTAAATTTCTATTCAGCTCGTCAGCAGGCTTAATTCAATCTCTATTGATTCATTTAAAACCCTTGAAGTTAAGAGTCTGAAAAACAGCCACGAGAGTCCCATCATTTCTTACCCTTATCCCTAATCATTAAGCAGTAACAGTTACTTTATTATCATTACTCTCTATTGCAAACCATTTGCTAGAGATATGTAGCATATCACAAGGAAGCCCATTATTTAAGTAAAAGAAGCATGTTGCAATAGATTAGCAATAAAATGAAAGAAAGATTAAAAAACTTGCAGTCGATTTTGTTCATGTCACAGTAGGCTTCGGTCAGCTCGCCATTTCCTTCAGCAGCCTGAAGCTTGTAGGTGCCTGAGATGTTTGTATTATACACTGCGTGGATGTGCAAACAGCTGTCTCCAGTCACTAGAATAGTACAACGCGAATATATCGTTTCGAGCTTAACGGCAGGGTGCTAGCCCCTTTTTGCATTAAACCTTACAGAGACCAAAGTCATTAATTTTTGGTTATGTTCTATTATTTTTCTTGACATTCTAGCAAAGAAGGTAAGGACATTCTAAAACATCATAAGTTAAAAAGAAACTGAAAACCAGTTCATTTGTGAAAATTATGTTGCTCTTTTTAAACCAAGGGCGACGTTCGACTCTTGTACCAGGGTTGAAATTGAAGATTTTTCAAGAGATGTTGTTTTCAAGAGAATGGTAATACCCTATAAGAACATACAGAAGGAGGTATTCTAAAAGTCTTTAAGAAGTTTTAAGTTACAGTGAATAAGTCAGTCATTTGATAGCTATATATAAAGTAATGCCGGTGAGACTTATACCACGAACGTTCTATACCAATTATAGCCAATCTAGCACTATAGATCCACATTGAGCCACGAAAGCCCCATCTTTTCTTCACCCCACCCCCAAACATTTTATCCATGTCACTATGATGTCTTAATATTCTTCTATCAGCTCGACATTCTTTCAGCAAACTGAAGCTTGGAGGTGCCTGGACATGTGCGCAGCTATCCAGTCACTAGAACAGTACAGCGCAAATAAATTTTTTCTTCTAAAGTTAACTACTTTTCAAGCAAGATAATTTGGGGTAAAAAGAAGTAACAGAACATTACCAAAATATAGTGTGAGGGTACGAAACGCATTGCTGAACTGGTTGATTGCATCGTTTCTGCGAGATCTGCCCAATTTTTTTACTTGCTTTTGCTTTACACTAGATTTTAGGCTACTGCCCTTCATCAATCTGTAGAATCTTATGTTTTTCTGTAAGATGGTCTACCTTTATCTACAATGTGAGAACACAAATTGCCCGTCTCATCTCGAACAACACTGTGATGTCACTGCTTACCTTCACTTTCACAGAACTCCCCTGTCACATTATAACTGCATTGGCATTTGAAGTCCAGCGAATGTTTGCTCCCAATACACACTCCTCCTCCTAAGCATGGCTTCGCAGAGCATGGATTCTAAAAAAGAAGTAATGTTATGTTAATAATAATAATAATGGTAATAATAGATCTCGCAAAATCTCCGTTTCGGAGCAGTTACTATAGCACAAACACAAAATTGCCATGAGTCATGATCGCTTGATCACTGCTGAACTATGATCAAACACTGCTCGACCTGTGATCGAGCACGGATTCAATATCAGCTTCCAACTTTATTTCAGGTAGAGATAAACCGTATAAAAGAGGCTTTACTGGAAGTTTATTACTTAATATTTGGCATTTTGTGCAAAAAGTGGGGGGAGGCTAAAGCCCCCTAAGCTCCCCTCCTGCTCCGCGGTGCCTGAAGTAGCATTTCAAAACCAAATAAAAACGAGTCTCAGATGCTGATTCTGTAAATTACAAAGAAAATTCTAATAAGTATGTTTTATGTCTTTCCCTTGTTTTTAAAGCAACCATGCAACTCATCTTAGCATACAACTCAGCAACCAGTGAAAGACTACTGTTGGTAGCTCTAGGCAACACTTCATTGTCAATGGAAAAAATTAAACCGCTGTTTTCATTACCATTAAAAGTGAAATGACGACATCCGTCTGACCATTGCTTTCCTCCAGGTCCTTATGCGACAGTCCAGATGGGTATTTCCATAGCAGAGAGCACTTGCTGTTAGTCTTGTAAAAAATTGTAGCTATGCACCTTTCTCTCCTTAGACAACTGAAAGCACACTTTGTCACGGACACTGACATGTGGCTTTCAAGCCGTGCTGAAAAAATTGTATCCATTGACAGCCAATAAGGAGAAAAGAACGTTTGAAACATTGTAGAGCTGACCACATCGATGACACATATCAAAATTAAAATATCCCTTGATTGTAGAGGCATCTTCTCGGCACTTGAGAGCAAGGTGTTAGTCAGCATCTATATTCTCATAGAAAGGCACTTGTTACTAAAGAACGAGCTACCTCTGTCTGCTGCAGTCAAAGAGCACGTGCAAGAGTATTATACTGTTGAGGTCAAGCTTTGGGGCTAAAAAACGAGGGTGAAGCATTCAATAGAACAGTTTCATTTCTTCGCTTCGTGAAACACTAGTTGCATACATACATGATGCATGACATGGAATATCAAACAAGCTACGTGAGTTTTAAAAATGAATAATTCTACGAACAGTTAGATTAAAATATCTCACTGCTGCTGGGCGCTGTTAGAATGCATAGAGATATAGCCATTCACAGAGCATTGACGACTTTCATTTGAAGCAACTTCGTAAGAAAACTAGAAGGAATACAGCATGCCATGTTATTGCACCATCTTTCTTCCTATTTCTGACCTTCATGATTTCAATGCAATTGCAATTGCTTTTACCGATGCGATGCTAGATTAACAGTTAAATTTGACATGTTGAAAATTTTTTTATACGACTTTACCGAAATTCTACTTGAATGTCTTTTATTATATTCCAATTTAATTGAACAGAGAAGAATTTGCAGAGCAACGCTAGCTGTTGGCAACGCTAGGGGTCAAATAGGGAACAGGGTCAAACAGGTGAATCCAGGTCAAATATGAAAATCGGGGTCGTGTAGGAAAATCGTTAATAACTCAAAAAATGGAATGATATCTTAAACCAGACCTCAGCTTCGGCATGCTTCAATCTACTTTTTTGATGATATTTTAACTCAGCTACGGTAATTTTAGCAGAACGAATCGCAATGTTTCTATTCTACGTAGCTACGGGAGCAAATAGACAAAACTCGTTAAAAAGGATCGATTTAACCCAAAATGAATAGAAGAAGGTAGAAATCACAAAGAGAAATACAGATTTTCTTCATATCTATCCCAATTTTAAACCTCCCGCACCGAGGCTGCAAGATTTCTCAAAACGAATCAGCTGAGTAATCGACGCGCTTGGGGTCAAATAGGGAAAACACCATTGGGGCCAAATAGGGAAATCTGTAAAAGCAGCAAGGAAAAAGCGTAAAAAAAGGGAACTAATCTCATGCCGCCAGCAGGTAAAATCATCCAGTCTATTGTTCAGATCCTTTTGCTTGTTAGAAATCAAGGTATATTAGTAGCTAAATTCATATCAGAAAATGAATCATACAAATTTAGGCTTTTGTTTACAGAAAGATTTGTCAACTTTATTTAATTTGCAGCGAAACATTTCAATAACATAGATACGATTCAGATACAAGCGCATGCGCCTTTAAAAATGAAAATTTTTAACAATGAAACTACATGAGTAATGTTCCAACAGTACATTCTCGGATATTTTAACAGCTATTCAACGTCAACTCCCTTAGGATCCAAATCGTTTTCAATGATCATTAATTCTCCATTCAGCTGTTCTTCATCAAGGTTGTCTTTGTCATCATGTCAATTTTTACTCATAGGACAATTTTTCAAAGGGAAAATAGATAGCCATATTGCTGTTTTAGTTTCTTTATCTTTCTCACAAAAACCGTAAAATGAAGATCAACTTATAAGCAAACTGTGCCTATATCCGGATATAAGCGCCTGCGCCCTTAAATGAGATGTGCCTTTAAGCGGGGGTAATGGCTATAAATATGAAAAAGTTGATGCCCCTGTGGTAAGTGTCATTTATGTACGTTATAAGGATTTAGTATCTCCCATTGCTGCTATATCTCATTAAACAAAGCAGAAGGTGTGTAAGAAAAGGGTTAGGGAATCCCTCTTTAGAGTAAATTGGCTTCCCATTAGAATATCAAAAATCAAACTTATTTTTAAACCTTGAATTAGGCAGATATTCTAGTGCCACAGTTGGATTAGTCAGTCTCTGCAGAGAAAAAATCCATTCGAATTGATGGGTATTGCTGGTTGGGTTGAGGGCCTGGGTTGGGGGCCCTGGGTTGGGGGCCCTGGGTTGGGGGCCCTGGGTTGGGGGCCCTGGGTTGGGGGCCCTGGGTTGGGGGCCCTGGGTGTGTAAGACCAAACACAAACGTCAGCAGCTTCATCGACTAAATTATAAAGAACATAAAGAACAGTTGAAGAAGCATGATCACCAACAACGAAAAATAAACAAAAACTGCACACTCTTTTCATTGAAAATAGCGGGTACGCAAGTACTAAGTCTGTAGCTACAGCAAATAAAAGGCGTTTCAAATTAATTAGACAGTTTCAATTATCCATAGATTTTGCTTTTCTAAGCATACACAAAAGAAGACTACGACAGTGAACATTCAACTTACTTTCTTTGAAAAGACGGGGTGTAGAAACATTGGACAATGCATCCACCTCAGTTTCTACAACGTATCCAACACGTAAGTGCATACAGGGGCGCCTACACAAGGGGGGCTGGAGGGGCAGCTGCCCCTCTTGCCCTCTTCGAAGAGGGGCAGAGGGGGCAAGAAGTGCCCTGGAATATGATGACCACTTTGACTACTCTCGTTATGTTAATATCTATTAGAAAATACCAGAAATATGATGATACCAGCACAAAAAAGCAGAGAATGAAAAGATTGTCTGTGACAAGGTCGGCCACAAGAGAGAGAGCGGCAAAGATAATAAATGATAAACAAAAGATGTGTACCCTCGAGCGGCAAAGATAATAAATGATAAACAAAAGATGTGTACCCTCAGAAGTACTCCAGGAACCTAAGGAGGATAAATCGGTATAAAAACTTGGCGGGCAATTAAAATTTTACAACCAGCCCATTTATAACAGCCACGATTTTTATAAAACCAAGTATTGTGAATAGTGAGTGACAAGGCCATTTAATAACCATTTTCATATATTGACAATTTCGTCAACATTTTCTTTATGTTTAGAATCTTTGATGGTAAAAAACCCAGCTGTATGGGTGGCACATATTCAAGTTAATATTTTATTTTGTTACCCTACCCTCGCCCCCCTCCCACCTAGGAATGCTCGATTATATTAATAGAAAAATTCAACGATTTGCCTTTGGCACCAACACTGCCCCTCCTGCCCTAATCTTGTGCAGGCGTCCCTGAGTGCATACAGTACCAACTTTCAGTAAAAGTGCCAAATCATTATTCTTCCTCTAGTGTGTTCTCAACCAAAACTAGCGTTGTTGTGTTTAACAGTTGGAAATTGTTGAATAACTAAAGAGATAACATAAACAAGAAACCTCTTCTCGATCACCCAGTTACATCAAGCACGGAGTCTAAGAATTGAATCACAATCTTTCTTTTTACATTTCAACGAATATAAACTTCCCATAAATCTCCATCAAATATGACATTTTTAGGCATAAACATTACAGAATCAGATAAACCCACTTTGTCAAAACAAGCAAACTTTGGGTAGGCCGTATTCCAGAAGGCAGCATATCCGTTGAAGTAAAATGGAGAATAAATGGTTGTGGCAGTGATGAGTTCTGTGCATTTTTCAATAAAATTGGATGAGTCACCAGAAAGTGATGTGAATGCCCCACACACATCGACCAACGGATTGTTAACCATCGAATATCTTTGGGCGATAATTGTTCCATTTTTGGATCCTCGAAGTGTTTTGATGTGGAAAGATGTGTTTAATTGCTTAGATCTGCAATAGAACCTTATTTCTTGGCTATCAGTGACACTGTGGATATAATACATGCCAAAGTGGTTGAGGTAGTAGTTGCCAGCTGGCTCGAAACCATCCAGGCAGCTGCTTGAAATCCCTCCAACAGTGCGCGGTGCACTGCTCTCAAAAGAGCTAAAATCACTCGTATTGGATTTGATTCGCATAACCTGAGTCCAGCCACCTAGAAAGTAGATTGCAGATGACAGCACGGCCCGAGGGGCAAATCAATGCTTAAAATCACGTATGCTCTCGAAAATAATCACACTTTAATCACAAATTAATTACATTAATCACAAAAAATCATATTAATCGCATAAATTTCATATTAATCACAAAAAACCACCAGTCGCATCAAGCACAAATATTTGAATCTTTTATCACGTTTATTCGCCTGTGTTATTGAAAAATTAAATGTCTCTTTTACGGTTTTCCATACGTTTATGAACACATTCCAACAACTGCAAACACGCTCGAGAACATGAGCAAACATGAAGGATTCGTTCTCACGCCGGGTCGATTGAACAACCCCTGATTTTGTTGTTACCCAATGCCAACACTGAATGGCAAGTGCAATCCAACGTGCAACCCAATTCTGACCGAAAACCACGCGTCTGATCCACCTGTCTGATTGCAGACATTTTTTACTCGTTTCCCGTTGATTACTGACGTAACAAACAAAAATCTCTGCCAAACTGGCATTATAGGTTGTCACAGTAGCGGCGCCAGGGGGGACTGGGGGGGACACGTCCTCCCCCAGTTCTCGGCAGGATCAATTTTTCATTTCGTCTAAATCCGATGAGAAAATGTTGAGAGAGGGGTAATATTTTTGTTATGTAATCCTATGATTTTCAAACTGCCTTTACATAGCCGAAAGTGAGTAATGTGCGTTCCCTTCATGTAAAAATTGCGTTCCTTGTTAGTAAAAGGGCGTTTTCTGGTGCTAAAAGGGGCGTGGTCTAAAATCTTTTGTTTTGTTCCCCCCCCCCCCCCCCAGAGCGTAGTGGCTGGCGCCGCCACTGGGTTGTCACTTGATTCACGAAATACTGAGGTTTAATTTGATATATGACTTGGTTTACGATTATGTATTTTCGTTTTGTTTCTGTAACTTGCCCTGTGTCACCTCTTCAAACGGGTTTTATTGCACAGAAACCTATTTCAAAGTACTTTCAAATGTGTGATTAATTTTTAAAAAGTCACGAATAAATCACAAATTAATCACTTCAATCACTAAAAAATCAAATTAATCACACATTAATCACTCGTGATTCTCAATCTCGTACACCATTTTTAGTGATTCGCCCCTCTTCACTTCTTGTAAAATTGGATGAATGGATCGTGGATTGATGGGCTAGTACTTGGTTAAGAAACTTGTGCTAAACTAAGGAGCCTAGGCGCAGACTTAACTCCAGGTGTTGAGCCCCTCCTGAAGAAAATTTCGGGGGCCAGGGCTTGAGCGGCCCCTGAGAAATAAGTTGGCTATCGATCTGCTGGAATAATTTCTCATATTCTTGGTTTCACGCATAAAAGTCATCTCAAGAGATTTAATCAAGATTAAATAATAACGATAATGAAAAACGAAAAAACAGCTACTCTAAACCTCCGGCCCGTGGGCCGACTCCGGCCCTCACCAAGATTTTATCCGGCCCGCCGACTACTTTTACCTCACAGGCAAGTGCTCTAGATTCAAATGTTAGAAACAAGCACTAGTCGTTTGGTCCGATTCTGGGTTCTAAGGTGACCAAAGGTCCCTCGCAAAGAGAGTTTACAATGATAATTTATATCTTGTTAAAGTCAAAAGTGAAAGAAGGTTGCATAGGAAAAAATAACTTCATAGCTCAATAACTCAATAGAATTTTTCACCGATTAATTTTGATGCTTAGTTTGTTGTGCATCGGGTTGGCAAGGCTCAAATTTTGTAAAAGAGCTACGGTACTTTGTCATCGGTAAAGGACTTTTAGAAAATGCTCAAGCTACTGTTTAAGATAGACCTTGACTTAACGGCTGTCAGAGGATTTACCCAAATTCAGAGCCTTCTAAAAATAGTAAAAGTTATCTTCTTATACTGTATGTTCTCAATACGTAATACCTTACCTTTGTCCGTATCCATATCACAATAAACCGTCATTTTAGCAGTCATCGTGGTAGAGGAGTAAATCTTATATAAACCAGATTTTGCAGTCGGATATTTCATCTTTATCGCATAACAGCTCCGCTCTGATGCTACAAGATGCAATATCATTTCGTCAAAGATTAGCTCTGATTTGTCTCGAAACCTGAGACAAATTTAGGGGTAAATTACAACGAGTTTAATCATTAGGAATGTATTACAAAGAATGGAGCTATGATAGAATAACTTTTGAGATGTAGAAATCAGTTACTTACGGCAACATCAAAGGAGGACCCACCTACCCCCACTCGCACTATACCCCTTACAATTATTCTAGTAAGCGAGAAACGGTTGGTCAAAATCCCCTTCCGTTTATTCTGTGTTTGTTTTATTTAATTTATAATTGACATTGTAGAAAAGAAGTTTAGTTTATTTTGAAATCTTTGGAAGTGAAAATTCAGAAAACAGCCCATAATGGATGGATGGAAATTACATTTATACCACAACTGTTTGATAACGAATGTGGCAATCTTTGTAATACGTATGTACATTGGCCACGAGAGCCCAATCTATTCTATTAGCATTTACAGTTTCCACTTCATACGTTGACCTTATAACAAACAATGTGCTCTGACTTTTAATCTTGCTTTAACAATAAAAAGAAGAGAAAGATTTAAAAAACTTGCAGTCGATTTTGTTCATGTCACAGTAGGCTTGGGTCAGCTCGCCATTTCCTTCAGCAGCCTGAAGCTTGTAGGTGCCTGAGAAGTTTGTATTATACACTGCGTGGATGTGCAAACAGCTGTCTCCAGTCACTAGACGAATATAGCAAGCAGAAAAGGGGGAATGAATTTAGTATAGAAAGAAGCAAACAAAAAATTTATAGACCTAAAGTGTGAGGTTACAGAGCACAGTGCCGAATAGGTCGATCGCACCGGTTCAGTTAGAAAAAGTCAGCTAGATTTCAGGATACTCCCGGGGGGGGGGTACTCCCATTATGGCCTGACAAGGGGTCCGGTCAGGGTCAAAGAAGGCCAATGCTGAAATTTTGGAAAATTACTCTCAAATGGTAGTACTTTTTGACAAAACCCCTCAAACGGTAGCATAAAAACCGAAATTATTTCCTTGGAAGCATCCATTTCTTTGCGTTTCATGGTCCTTATTTGACAAATTTCTTCATAAATGATTGTTGTTGTTTCGGGAAAGATAAATCTTGTTCATTATCTATAACAAATCGCAAGCTAAACTGAGCAGTTCAGTTATTATCGAAAATGGGCCATTTGGTAAGACCCTCAAACGGACTGGACCCCCCTGTCAGGCCTTAATGGGAGTAGCCCCCCCCCGGGAGGCTACTACCCTTCATCATTCTTATATTAATCCAAAGTGTAACTTATAAAGGGTTGTATATTCTTATCCTATTTGAAGGGATGTAAAGTAAATCTTTATAATGAAAAGGAACGTAAAATGTACCTGATGAAGTGGTCTATATCGTCCATTCTATAGGATACCTTTAACATTATCGTTCGATTAAAGCGACACTGACATGAGTCACGTCCATTTTGTCGAAGACTTGTCGATTTTGTAATTTAGAAGAGACTTCAAGGCAAAAGAATTTACCTTTTAGAACACCTTGGTTCGTCTAATATCTTGCAAAAGTAAGATGTCACCACTTACCTTCATTTTCACAAAATTGCCCTGTCAGATTGTACCTGCATTTGCACTTGAATTCCAGAGAATGTTCTTTTCCGATGCACTCTCCTTCCCCCAAGCATGGCTTCGCAGAGCATGGATTCTGAAAAAGAAGCATTGTCACTTAACTAACTAAATTTTTATCGCTTGTCACAATCGGGTCACATACAAAATCTAGAGGTGCAGTAGAACACTTCTCGACCAGGTTCATAATGAGCTTCCCTCTTAATTTCAGGTCAATGTGAAAGTAAATACTTACTGATAATGGATACAAAATTCATGGACCTGACTCAACAAAAAAAGGTCCTGAGAGTCAAGAAGTATTTCAAAGCCAAATGAAATCAAGTCAAGGATGTTATTGATACTTGAAAGTTATTTTGAGCGATAAAAGAGAATATTACTACATTATATTACATTTTCCTTGTTTTTGAACGTGACCATACAACTCAAAAACATATCAAAGTTAACTGACGACAAACGCGCTGTCAATGGAAATATTTGCTGTTGTTTTCATTACCAATAAAAGTGAAATGACGACATCCGTTGGGCCATTGCTTTCCTCCAGGTCCTTATGCTGCAGTCCAGATGGATATTTCCACAACAGAGAGCACTTGTTGTTTGTCTTGTTAAACATTGTAACTATGCACCTTTCTCTCTTTAAACATATAAAAGCACATTGCATTACGGACACTGACGTGTGGCTTTCAAGCCCTGCTGGAGAATTTGTATCCATTGACAGCCAATAAGGGAAATGTGACATTTGAAACAATTCAGAGCTGACCAAATTGATCACAGATATCAGAATCAAAGCAGCACGTGACTGTACAGGCATCTTCACGAAACTCGAGGGAACGGTCTTACATCGGTATCTATATTTCAAGAAGAGGTACTTGTTGCTTGAAAATGAGCATGTCCTGTCCTTTGCATTTAATGAGTATTGGCAAAATAGCAGACAGCGTTGTGCAACATTTTGCACTAGATTTCATTTTATAACTATTGCGTTTTTTCATTTCATGAAACAATAGATGCAAACATACCTGATGCATGACATGGAATACCAAACAAGGCATCTGAGTTTTTTTACAAAAACAATGCGACCAGAAAGTCAGTTTGCTTTTAATGATTCTCATTGCTGCTGGACGCTGTTAGAATGCATTGAGCTCTGACCGTTCACAAAGCATTGATGACCTTCATTTTAGCAATACTGTAAAGAAACTAGAATGATGACACCATATTGCACTATCTTGACCTTTAATGATTCTTTCAAACTTCTGACTTTCGTGATTTTAAAACTTTATCAAAACAACTGCAAAATGTTTTTCACCTATGCAATGCCTTTTCCCTTTTTCAATTTATTCGAATAGAAACTAGAGAAAATAATTGCATGTCATGACTATGCACTATCTAGCCATGTAATGATTCCTTCTAGCTTTTGACCTTCAAGACATTATCAAAACAATTGCAAAATTTGTTTGCAAAGATAAGTTGCTTAATTTCACTCTAATATTTAACACATCGAACAAATGTTGATTCAACACTAGAGTGCCCACGTGGATTCTTTTCCCATCTCAAAACGAAGAGTGCTTTCCTAAGGTAAATCTGACTTATTTTCACACAACTTATATGTTGGCTTTGACAGGATGTTAAAGTCAAAGCAATATATAGCCTTGAAAACAATAACCGCTCTTTAAAAAAGCTTTTAATTTGTTACGCTAAAAAATTGTTGCAGAGTTGTTTCAGTTGCAAAAAATGAAGGTGCGTGCTAACTCAAAACTAGAGACTGGGTAATTATACGTGAAGGATAGCATTTGCTTATGCAAACTCCAAACTGATAGTTCGCCGAAACAAAAACAAAAACGCCGGCTTAAATCCGTATGCTTACATTTTGTCCCGACACATAAAGGGATCCGATCAGTTGTACGTATGAGCTGCTCATTATTTATTGTGGATGACTTATGGATATGGTAAATGTTTAATTTGCAAGATGATTTAAATGTAGATAGGCCAAAATGGCGGTTTGAGGGAATAGGCAGTTACCGAAAGCTTGAGTGTTGTTTTAAACGTATTATTCAAAAAAGCATTTTTCTTCTAAGACAATACGCGTAATCTTCATTTCATTTGTTGAATACTACAACACCACGAATTCCACATTTACAGTTGTTTCTGGCAAATCGTTGCACTACCCTGGGTATAAGATTAATCAAAGGAAGTAAGAACTGGGGAGGTAAAAACAGCCCCATACTTTAGCTAATTACATTTTATGGGTATTGCAAATGCTAATGACATCTTTTCAAACATTTCAAACAATTCAAAACATGACTGCAAACGCAAACGTCAGTTTGTGAAACTCTAGATTTCTTCTCCACTGAAAGGCTCATACAAAATGTATCAATTTTTAATTTGCAGAAAACCTATTTATCACTACAAGAGCGGGTTACAAAGTTATTATAGAATCTGTCTTATCTTAAATCAAATACAAAATTGACTTGATTTCTTAAACTTTTTACGTTTCGTTTGTTACCAATTACACCCCATGTAACTGGTATTCTTCTATTTTGACGATTATGCCTTGGAGTAGCAAAGCCATTCATTACATCTGCCCCACGGCCTGCTTTTTCAAAAGAGCGTAGCACTGTACAGTACAGTACAGCACAGCAGCAGTAGAACTGACACCAAAGAAGAAAGAGATTCAACCTTTCATATTTCGTAATATACTATAATTTCACTAGAATTTCACTAGAATAACAAATCAATTTACTAAGATTGATATCGTGTCTTCGCTGTCTTCAGCAAGGTCTCTTGTTAAGCCTTCTGCAAAATCAGCATAACGAGCATTGAACAATAAATGGCAGAGCTGATGGTAAATATTGTAGATTGTTGCAGTGCACAAATCTGCCTCCGCGCAAATCATATTGCAGTGAACTTCGCTGAATGCTTTGGCGGTAGATAACATTCTCTCAAGATATTTAGCGTACAAGTTTTGCTGCCAACTCTTTTTTATCGAATGGGTAAGAATCATTTCTGCGTCAGAGGATGTTACAACAAACAGAATTAGAACCACCGAGTAGAAAATTTTCATTCTCAGTTGAACAATCAAGCTAACTTCGATCAACGTGCTTTGAAAGTTAGTTCAAACGATTGAGTTCTCCTGCTTGGAAGAATGAATTTCAGACGTGGAAAAACAAAGGAAAACCATGCAGTCTTTGAAAATACCCGAAGTCTGCTGTCAAGATAAATTACTTGCAGGAAACGCAGTTGCAAGGAGATAAGAATGGCGAAAAAATTAGCACTTTATTGTCCGCTTTTGATTCTAAACGGACAAATAATTGACATAAAACAAAGAAATTCAAGCAAAATTTCAGGTCAAAATCCACCAGTTTTCAAAATTTCCTAAACAACAGTGACTCATCTCAAAACTTTCAATTCTGTGCCAAAGTCCAGTTTGGTTAAACATAAATCATCTGCAGGGCAAGATGATATAAAAAACGTGCAAAAAAGCACGAAACAAAATGCGCTCAACTTTCAAAACATGCTTCGATGAGGTCACTACACCCTGACACGCAAAAGATAGGTACAACCGGGATAAAGATGTGTCCGAAGAAACCGAACGAAGTCTCCGGGAACCGGAATATGACCTACTTGCTCTTTTTCTATGAATGGAGCCATGATATTCTGATTTTTTCATTCATTTCTTGTAAATATCTCATGACCTTAGAGTTAAATTGTGATTATCGATCAAGCTTCATCAGCAATTATGAACCCTGCCTTTACAGAGGCGATTCGAAATTGGCTAGGCAGAACTAAAAGTATTTCAAACAAAAAACGAACAAATAAAGAAGAAATAAAGAACTTAGTTTAAATCAGAATGTGGAAGATGCAATAAATTGAGCAGAAATTTATATTCTTCAGTTTTAAGGTCGTGCAACCTTGTGAATTTTAACTGGTACCCAGAGCGTGCAGCCTGCCATTGAAAAAGATGCAGGGGATCCAAGATACCCAGAGAAAACAAACATATTGTAAGGAGAAGTTGAGCATGCACTGGAAACAATAGGCAAGCAGGGTGAGAATTTTATACTTGATTCAAGTCCAGAGGGTCATGTATCGCATGTGGATTGTAAAGTGATTGCTATTCAGATATGTTACTTGCCTTCTCATATACTAATTCAACATGTGGAAACTGATATCTAAATTTGTTTCGTATCCTACAGTCAGTTCGAGCATGAATAGACAGTTGTCGGCAGTAGCAGAGACTCCTCATACGATAGAGAAAACCTGTTTTACGATAGAGAAAACCTGTTTACTGTACGTAGGCATTACGGTGGGGATACTCACGAGCGTGCAAGTTTGTGCTAGGAAGGTTAACGCCGAGTTAGAGTGCTACATATTTCGGCCTTCTTCGATTTCTTAGGCATGCTACCTTGAACTGTCTTAATTTAGAAGTTATGCAGAAATAGCACGAGAAGGATTCATTCCATCCATTTTACCAACCCTTTATTGTACATTTCAACATCAGATGTAGCAATTTTCGACAAATATTTCTATTCATAGGGGGCTCTCTATCAAAACATCATGTCAAGCTTGTTATGAGAGCGTATTGGTATGAGGATGGCTATTTTCCACGAAGCATTGCCTAGACAAAGCGGAAATATCAACCGGAGTTTAAAGAAATGAGCAGGAAGGTTGAGCAGAATCAAACAATTATTCTTCATCGTCATCATGGTCGAAGAACAGTGAAGGTCATGAAATCATTGGGTGCAAATTTATTGTCAAAAGATTGTTACACCAGGCACAAACTGACAAACTGACTGGAGGCTCTAATTGATATGTTACCAATTTGCTGTGATATGGCCAAATGAGCACGGGTTCTTTCCCCAAAATATCATTGCATTTGATCTTGGTCCACACATCATGAACCATGACAAATATTTAACTGATTTTGAACTATTAAAGGTATTTCACGATGCTTTTTTAGGTTATATGGTCAAAATTAAAAATAATTTTGGGTGAATGTACTCAGGAGTAGATAAACGCAAAAAAATACATGCATACCAACGACAAGATTGGAATGCCCACAGTAAATCATTTAAATGTTTACAAAATTCAAAATTTCAAAATTGTTAACAACGGAGTGCAAGATAATTAATTATGAATGAAAAAAGTCCATGGTGTGCAACATTTCACTGTTTGAGTTGGAACCTATTTAAAAAATGAGTAGGAAATTAAAATTTTATTTTTGACTAGGGCAGATAAAACGAAGAGCCTGAATTTAACTACAGAGACAAAAACTTTCTTGCGGTAATGTATCTTTAATATGCATTTTTTATTAATCTGTATGGTTTACAAGATGAATACAATGTTTTACAGAGTTGAATAAGATCTGAAAATCACTTGTTTCACTTGCTCTCGAGCTCAAAGGTCGGAAAAACATGTTCAAGAATTAATATAAACAAAAAAGACTTTGTACATTGAGAAGTTGAATATAATTGCAACGATTCGAGCATAACTCTCCACAGGATGAAGTCGATATTTAATCATATAAATTTTTGGTCATTATTCATTATGTACATTCAGCTTAACTACATTGATTATCAAACATCGGAAAAACATCTTGTATTGAAACCGGTGTGTCCAGGTCGATTTTTATTTGCATGTTGAAAATTGAGATACATATAAAATAGAGCATTGTAAACTCACATCTAAAGTGTACCTTAGAATGATTCGTTGAATGCAGCACTCTCTTTGCCCTCGCAAACAACTGAGATCGGAATGAAAGCATGATCAGTGCCTGAGATGTGGTTCTAAGGAGAAAAAAGAATTATTCTCATTTAGCTGGTATGACTAATGTTAATGTTAGGGTTAAAAGTCAACAATGTTCAATTTGCAATACATTTTCTGTTACTTTAAGGGTGGCAGAACATCAATCCATGCAGATTGGTGCAGGTTTTAATTTGTGTTCATTAAGAAGCTTTGCCTTTTTACATACAAAGATCATCACTTAGGAACATTTACTAAATTAAATTATTTGCAAATATCTTTTTTATATATTATTTGTAGCGCCTATTTTAAAGCCAAGTTCACAAAACTAACTTCTACACAATTCCCCTAATAGAGATTTGGAGGTTGATTTGCATAATCCTGTTACAATTTGAGTAGAAGCTTTTATACACGAAGTACAACTATAGGCCTAGTTTATATGTGAGTGATGAATCTATAGATCAAATCGAACCCATATTCTAAACTGACCAATTTTATATTGTTAAATGAACTAAAGATCCTGTATTAATCAAGAGGTGATATATTTTAGCTCTAAATCCTCAAAAAACATACATGGCCATATGCCATAGCATTTCTTCGCTCATCGACACTTGCATTCTTTCCAATCCAGACAAAGCAATGATCAGCACGATCAAAGATGAACACTAGAAGAAGAGATTTATATTAACCAAGAAGTTTATTATACTTGATAATTGTACTTGTACTTGATAATGATAATTATACTTAATTATACTTGAAGTTTATTATAGATTTGTTGACCAGGAAGAGTCACTTTAAAACAAATGAAACAAAATTACATAAAAATAAACTACAAAGATTTGCCACAAACTTAAGCTCTAAATCTAAAATCATCAGAATGACTTTCAGAGGAAAGCTAGTGTTATTTGCAAAAAGTAGGTGCAAAAATCCCAACAAAAAGTTATTATTGAACAAAAATGACAAAGATAACTCTTTCTTGCATAGGAGAGATGCTTATAAAAACTGCTTGCTTTTTTTGAAAGGCAAGAATGAAATGTCAGAAGTGTATAAGCACACACAGAAAAAAGAGATTGTAAGAAGACTCACCATCATCTGAGCTGAAAAGAGATTTGTTGATATCCTTTCCAGCTGCAATTTCTTTGAATTCCATATTCCCTGCTGCATCCGAAAGCCTGTAGACAAAACAGCGGTTAAAGAATGACAAACCTGAATAATGATGTTTGGATTTTTAATTTGTATTTACAATTATACTTCAAAGTTAAATGCTGACGACAATATTGAAATTCATTTTCTGTTATGCCAAAATATACAAAATGTACACTTACTGGAACAATTTCCTATCTGATGGCTTGGGAGCTTGCCTCTGAAAATTTTTATTCAGATAAAAGTCAATGAAATCAAATTATTCATGCATATACCAATTAAATCTACATCAATACATAAAATATAATATAAAATTTGTTTTTAAAATGAAATTATACAAAGAAAATAAAAGTGTAAAAATGAATAGCAAATACAAGTGATGGTTTTTATTAAAAGGAAATGATGTTCATGACGCTTAACACAAAACTAGAGGAAAATCATTTATACTTTCTGGTTATTGGATGTTCTCATTTACATTGTGTGCACAGCAAGTTTACTGTCTTTAGGAACACTGTAAGTAACTTTCACTTCAAAGTTACATGAAAAAAGCATATTAAACAAACTTTCCACATACTTTTGCACTTGAACCATCTCTGAGCATCTTCAATGCCTTGTGATCTGAAGATGTCCTTTCCTCTTCTATAAATTGAAAACATGACATCAATTAAGTGACATTGTTATCTTGAATTGTAAGATTCTTCAATTAGCTTGAAAAAGCTATGCTCAAAGCAATTGAATTTGAAACCAACAAACAAACCTAATGACCTTATTATGTGTTTTTACTCTGATATGATACCAAGAATTAGAAAAGGGAGTGCACTCTCCTTGACTGGTTTATCTATTGTGAGAGCCCCTCCTTAAGAAAGTACCCTCCATACAAATATCAATTTTATGTATTCATTTATAATTTTCTGTTTTCTATCTTTTGTTTTCTTGCTATAAAATCTCAGTCACTTGTTGCATATTTAATGATGTTTATGTATGTATTGGAATTTCAAAATGAAATGAATGAACTAGCAACTTTCAAAATGGCATACCCAACACAACTGCAGTCTTCACTTTTCCACATCGATCTGACTGAAAATGTTAGAACATTGACAAATTAGATTAACAGTTGCACCAATACACACATACAAAACATAATTCTGATGGAAGGGATGAATAAATAGATAGCTAATAGTAAATGAACCATAACACCATTACATTGTGTAACTATTGTTGAGACTAACCCTAAGGCCTTTCACACAGAGCAGATTTTTGTTGCTAAAGACCAAGATTTTTCTCCCCAGCAGCCAAAATAGCTTTTGTACAAGGCTATTACACTTAGGATTTTTGTTTTTGAAGATGATTTTCTAAAATTTTACTTTGTTGCGGGTAAGGAAAGACAAAGATCCTGCTTTTACAAAAGAAACAAAACAATGATCTGACAATGCAGAGATCAAACACATATTTTACAAACTCACGCAAATCACAATTATCTTTTGGGCCACACACACAAACATTGAGAAAGTTGATAACACGAAAAGACATTATGCTGTGTGCAGGGAACCATATTCATTGTTTGGCACAAAAGGTTGGCATATGCAATAGGGTCAGGGGCATGTTGGCCTGCCAATACTTGGGAAATTACCCGGTAGAACTCTTAAAACTTTCCATGTAGACCTCTTTTGTCTTCCTTTTAAGCTTTTATCATTTGTAACATCAGTAGTGGTGGTGTCAGAGGGGGGCACAGGGCCTAAACTTGATTTTCCTAGCCCATAAAAATCCCTTGAATAGGGTTAAGAAGAACGAAAGAAATTGCAATTTTTCAAAGTGGAATATTGAAAAAAACTTTCCAATCAAAAATCAGACGTTTCCAGATGAAATATCAAGCATTTGGGACTAAGGAGAGGCCTAAATATGTAATTAATACATTTCTTTTGTCTTTTGACTTTGGTGTTTTAAAAGGCTATGAAATAAGACAACCTGACTGAGTTTTTTTCTATTTTCTGTTTTCACATCTATGTATTTGAATTTTATCATTGATTGGTCTTCATTTTCCTCTGCTCTTAAAAAGCCTTTCCAATTTGTGTATGTTGCAGAATAAAGTAATGAGAAGGCCAAAGCAGATACCTGTTTATCCGTTTTCATTAGAAATAGAGTAGTCTGAACAGTGTCTAACATTTAACATAGCAATGACAACTAACTACATGTTGACACCACATTTCCTATTGCTTAACTTCAACTTAACATAACTTCATCACAAAATTAAGCAAAGAGAGCAGCCACAAATGACTGTATTTCCAAAAAGATTCTTGAGCCATAATAGGTCTTAAATGATCAATGATCAGGCAGAGAGCTTGGGTCAAGTTCATTTAAATGAGAGACCTGGAATATTTGACTACTTGGTAATTGGAAAATAACATGCTAAGCTTAAGAATAGCTACCTTCAATTGTTGCACATACTGGGCAGCCCTGAACTTCTCGTCTTTATCTGCATCCTTTCCATTGAACTACAGGGAAAAAATGATTCTTCACTAATTGGGCTCCGTTGGAAAACAGTAAATTGTAATGTAAGAAAGATATCTACAAAAGCTATGTAAAAAATGCATAAGAAAACACATACATACCTGATACAACTCAAAGAAACCATCAATAATGAAAACATCTTCAGAGTTCAAATTTCCCCTCTTGGCTGCAATTTCCTTGATCACTATGTTTTTCTGACAATAAAAAAGCATACATATTTAGATATAACTGGAATAACTTTATGTGCTTAGTGTTTTGAAACACCTGAAACTAGCTATTGGCTATCTATAAATCCAACTGGGAAAATATCTGAAGGTATGCAATGAGGCACATTCCCCATTTTAAGATATGCTAGAGATATGTTGATTAGCTAATGCACATCAATTATATACATGACAAAACATTACATGAACCTTTTACCAAAAAACTTTATTTACATCTTAGCAATTTATCTGTTCAAGCTTCTTATGATATTTTAAGAGTGGCAAGAGCATAGGGCATCTAAGGAAGAAACAGAAATAAAAACCATGCATTGTTGACAAAAATTATCAAAGACAAAGATGGTTATAAAGCCAACTTGAAGTTATAAAGTACAATTGTTGAAATGTCCTGAAAACACTGCTCAAGCAAGATTACAAGTGGCCAGATAATACAGGCTTCCATCGGAAAGACTTGCAATTGCATTTACCCACCCTGGCGCATGCCCACTGCTTTCAAGGAATGCAAAATATCACATGCCTTCTTTTATAATGTGAGCAAAATTAATAACTATTGGTTTTGTGGGCTTTTGAGTCAAGTTAAAATGTTTAGACTTCCTTGGTCATGCCGCTTCAAAGTTTTTGAAAATAATCATTCCACTAATCTACAGTGGAATCTCTATATTATGAAACCGGATATGAGTATAACTAGCTTTCAAGTATGACGAAAAAATTTTGCCTCCTTGAATTCTGATTCAAATCCCGCATTTAACAAACTCTCTTAACAAAATCTGTTACAAACTTAATTGTAGGTCCCTTCATCATTATTTTCCTTCATATGACAAACTTTTCTAAAAAATTTCTTATTTATTTTGGTGTACGTATTCCCGGTGTATATATATATATCTATTGCCATCGGCAAAATATATATTAATTGGCAAACATGCACCTTTTATGATGCTGAAAATGGAGAAGAGATTTGTACAAAAGTTTACACCTTTTCAAGGCTTTGTGGCATTTCAGCAAACAAATCCAAACACAAGAAGACTATAAAAGACATTCTTGTCCCTGAATTTAAAGAGGAACATTAAGATTTTCATTTTCAATTGCTAATTTAGTCAAAGTAGTGGATTTGCTAATTATGTGATAAAAAGTAGCAAATTTGGGAATTTGTGGATTTCGTTAACTATCTTACCCTCAAACTTTTATGGAATCTAAGAAGGGGCTTGACACTCCCTTGCCCATACTCATATGAAACATAGGTTTCATAAGTCTTTTATGAAACCTATGGGTGCTAAAATTTGGTAGGAATTTTAGGCTAGAAAAGTGATTGCATACGATTCTCAGTAAGGCCAGTAAATAAAACATTAAGATAAAGACCATTCAAAACAACTCTAATTCCTTAATCAAGTAAAACTAACCAGGGTTGTTCCCTTGAAGTGAAGAAGTCTTGTCTTTGGAGAGTCTGGAACAACTCTTCTGAAACCACTGTCTGCACTACAAATTGCAAAATTGGAAAGGCAATATATATATATTTTAATCGCTCAATTAAAAAATAAAGAAAAGTCTTTTAACATGTAATCTTTATTCAGAAGTAAATTTTCGAAACTAAAATTAGCCTCTTTGAACGTATCATATCAAGAACATATCAGAGGCCTGGCCGTAAGACTTTTGACAGGGGAGCAGTGAACAGCTCTCCTAGTCGTATTCAGGTGAGCTATAAGAATAGAAAAACAAAGGAAAAATTGGTTTCAAGGAAAGCCAATTTGCTTTTTAGAACAATTTAGGAGAGCAATCTCTAGCTCCCCTCCAGCGTTTGAGGAGAGCCTGGAGGGGAGCAAGAGCTATGGCTCTCCTCAAATGGCCAGGCCTGATATCATGTTTTCTTTATGTGGTTATAAAGAACATCTTGAAGAACATCTCCTGAAGAGTGAGTTACTCACGAAACAGGCTTGTAGAGATAAACCATGTAGTTTTACTTTAACTTCAATCTATGATAAATATATATATATATTTTATTCTATTGTATAGCATGCAATGAAGGCTACAATGAGTTATTTATGAAATCTATAATGAGTTGACTTACCCTCCCTTGAGGATTTGGATTTGATCAAAGTAAGTCTTGAAAAGAGCTGATTCATGGTTCATCACTTCACGGTGCTGCACTGGTTTGTCATCCAGCTGATAAAAAATATATTATCATGTCAAGCTTTGATTGGAATTGCATGCTCATTTACCTGCTGGTGTATAATACATCTTCACCCTATAAATGTTACAGTAATGTAAATGCACCCTAAATAATATATTAGATGTTTAATATTGACTATCCAGTTAACCTCCTTCAGTTCTAGACAGCCCTGTCAATGATAAGCTTTCAAAATACTTCTAGCAAATTAGACTTTATCAAATTGATATCTTTTCTTATCATTTAGAGTAAAAAACTCACGAAAGTATCCAGCTCAACAGTTTTATATGCTGCTGTTCCATACTCATCTTGTGAGGATGATTTGCCAATCCAAAAGTGGACATCATAGAGCAGTTCCTGTATAAATATGGTAGAAGGAAACATTTTTCTCAGTGAAAGGAGGAGACACTTTTATGACATCATAAATCGGAGGGAGACATAATGAATAAATTAGAATCTTTTAATTTTCAGTCATGAAAAATAACACATAAAGAGGGTGGAAGATGATAGGCCTAGTGGTTATATACAGCTCTAAAGCTTCTCTAAAGCCTTTAAACGGTTGTGAGGATGGCTCAGTGCTTAGGGTCCCAGACTACAGATCCAAGGGTCTGGGGTTTGAGTCTTTGACATGACTAAACTTTCACCTCAAGCAAGTGGGTTGCCAGTGCTCTGCACCTTTGTCCTAGGAACCATGAGGTGTGGTCCCATCAAAAGTATGGACCAGTAGACTGTTAAATATTAAGCATAGTCTCTCACTTTCTAAAAAACTTCTTTAGATGCTAGGTAGAAACAAATACAAGTAAAACTGTAACCATTATATACTTTAATATCAATTTGCTACCATCCTTATCTAAAAAAAATTGATGAAGTGCTTCTCAAAGCCAGAGCCAAGACAAACTGTATCTTAAATATATATAAAATCTGAAGGGCATTTACAATCATTATAGATGCCATGCATTCATGAAATGGAAAACTAAATCTATCATTTATTAAACGAAATTTGCACAGAGGTTGTGTTCAATGGTACTTACATCAGAGTCAGGCTTCTTGTATGTGTTTAAAATGATGTAAGAGTCACCATCATAGAATTCACCATAATCCTCCTTAGGCCAGTCTGTGACCTTAAGACAGAAAAGGTATATAACTCACAAACAGATATAATATATACATACATAAACTATTTTGAAAAATAACTGAGGAAACAGAAGCAAAATGTCTTATGATAGTGTTTTCTTTGACTCTATAAATATATATATTTACAATATTAATACTTCTAACATCTTTAATTAGAGCCCCTCTGTGAAAGATCACCATTTTAAAACAGTTAATAATTTAATAAGCACTAACAAAGAATGAGTATCCTAATTCTCAAAAGAGTTATATACTCAGTAAGTGCAACATTCTTTAAATGATTTTTAAATGAGTCATTCCTCCAATAAGTGCACCATTTTTCATGAGTGCATCATTCTTAAAAGAGTGCATCGTTTTTTAAATGAGTCATTCCTCAAAAAAGCACACTATTTTTCAAATGAGTGCACCATTCCTCAAACGAGTGCGTCATTCCCCAAATGAGTGCACCATTCCTCAAATGAGTGCACCATTATTCAATGAGTGCACCATTATTCAAACGATTGTCCTGGGGCTTTCAGGTTTTACAATTTATATTCGACCAAAAATATGCATATTATGATCTACATGTGTCATATTATAATCTACCTGTGTATTGGTACTGCCAAACCCCCCCACCACCAGATTTGCACCATTCCCAGTAAGTAAATAACCTGCTTGCATGTTCTCACTATCTTAGGTTTGTTAAAATAACTGGTGTCAAAGTAGAAAAAATTCATCAAGAAACGTGTTAAATTGCAGGTTGCAGAAATTATTTGTGAACAGAGATTAAACCGAAAGCTTAGCAACAAAAATTTTACATACATAAAAGTTTGAATTTCAAGATGAATTTAACTGCTTCAAAACTAATTAAACAAACTTTCACAGGCAAAACTTTGCAATCAAACTCATTCAGATCAAATGCTGCCCATTGTATTTTGCGATTAAAAGAATAAACGACGTTCTTGGAAAATGAGTCATTACCACTGGCACACCTAAATCTCCTGGCAACAGAGTCTGCAGAGTCAAGTTAATAGGAAAAGCTTATCACGGTTGCTTCCTCTGAAAGCAGGTATTGGCTGTGTGATGCAGGGCTTGTCTCGATTATCTGCCCACGTAAATATCTCTTTGATATTTTGCAGGGTATATATGCAGCGTACTTTTTCATTTTTATTTAGTTATGGATTAACTATAGCCCTACCCTCGAAAGGCGGACATCGGAGCACTCTGTTTGAAGATAGATTTTCTCAAAACGGACGTCAGCACATAATGCATTAAAGTCTGTTTCGCAATACACCTAGTAAAATTATACCTGACCATTTCATATCTCATCCATAGTTGAAAACCCCTTGCCTTTGAAAAATTGACATTTAAAGGAAGCTTAAGCAAAAAAATACTAAGGGGCCATTTTGAGAATGAACAGCAGGTGAGTTCATACGCCCACCGTAGCAATGTTAATTTCAACCTTGTCCCATCGATTGTAGAAAAACAGCCCAATCGATTACTTTCTTGCACATAATTAATTTTCTTCGCCCTTAATAGGATACATAAGATTTTCAAAGGAACGATCCTTTGCTAGCTTGCATTTCCGATAAAAAGGCCTACAACCCTTACCTTGAATTTTACAATCCTCCAAATTTTGATTCCAACTTCTTGCCCAGCTCCTTGCCACGCTGGCTCTGATTCAGCTGAATCTTTCTTTACCTTCAAAGAAATAGAAACCATTAGACATTCGGAAAGAGTAGAGCAGGTTTCAAAAGAGTGATAATCTGACGATGTCCTCCATTTTGGTAATCAGGGACAAAATGAGAAAAGGCCTACCTTCTTTTCGGTATCTGAGCCAAACAAGGCAAGGTTAGAGTCCTTCCAGTCATACTTCTTTTGCTTCAGCATTTTCGTGTCTTTTTATGAGATGCAGGCAAAACTTTGCAGCAGAAATTTTGCAGAACCTCTCTAGACGGAAGATCCAAAGAGAAGAACACACCCAGTCCTCGGAACAAATAAGATATCAAAAACCAGGGGGTAAACACGATACTGAAAATTTCGTATTTTCCATTTGAGAAGTCCCAAGATAAAAAAATCCCGTTTTGCAAGAAACACTTGTCATAAACATGCAAAGCCTGCTGGGAGATGGATTGCTATTGTATTTTCTTGCAAGTTGGCTTTTTCATATATTGTGCCTCGACCCATCAATTTTGTGAAAAAAGCTAACGAGGGGCAACGCAAATCGAAACCAGAACAAGGTGACATTTGATTGAACATTTTTGGAGAAGTCTCTGGCGATTTAACACTCGTGCTCTGTTTATTTGAAGCATCAAATACAGTTTTGCCCAAAGAGGACTTCTCTGGTATTTGTTCATTTGTGATTTTCATTAACGAGGGTCTCCCAGGGGGGAGGGTACTTGTTCCCGTCTTCCCTTGGAGAAAAACAACCAATATTCCCGTTTTTCCGTTGCAAAATAGAACAAAAATGCTCTCTTCTTCCCTTAAACTAGTAATAGTGTTCCCATGCTCTTAGAGGAAAATGTAAGTTGTTCCTGTGTTCCTGTACTATTTGTTGCCATTTTCCCTTGTCCCCGAAAACCCCTGGGAGACCCTCATTAACGGGTTCGTTCTCAGGCGCTGAGAGCGGGAGGAAATAGGGTCAAAGGCCCGGCCGGGACCCTGACGAGCCCGTATAAATACGACACCATATTAAAAATGTTGCCTTGTTTAAAGACCTGTTTAAAGGTAATGTTTGTTTGTTTAAAGTGCAATGAAACGGGTGCCCTCGTCTATTTTCACAATTTTTTAGTAAAGCATCATAAATTAATGCAAGACAGCTAAATGTGTTAGGAATTTTCCATGACGTCATTCTTATTTCATGAAGGGGCGTTGCCCTAATTCACCAGGAATCTGAAGAGCGTGACGTCAGAAAGTTTTCTTAAAAGGTATTGCCTCCAAGTCCTGAGCCAAGCCGTTTCATGACCTTGCTCTGCGCATACTCCTTCTTCATAATATGAAACTGCCAAAGATTCGTTGAAATAAGAGCATATTTGAAATATAGTAATGTTTCATCGCTATTTATTGTTATTTGCGTCTTAAAATATTATGTAAAAGTACAAACACAGTCCTTGTTTCTCAGGGGCAACGCAAATCGTCATCGATTAAGAATGATTAAAGAAAAAATGTTCTCCAATGACTTTGTCGGAATTTGCTGAAACGTCAAAATACGGGTCGAATGAATATACACATTATGCCAAACTCTGGAAAAGTTTCTATATCATTCAGGTTGAGAAAATGACAGTAATGATAGAATTACTTTTGTAGTCGAATAAATGTAGTTATTTGGTTTTCAAGCACCCTGGCATTTACTGAATCGTGAAAAGCGCTATGAAGTCATAAGGTTCCAAAAGTTTGTATCAAGCAAACAGAAACAAAGATCTCTATGATCAAAACCAATTTATGTTTCTATGGAAATGCTACGTTACAGGAATATCAAGTATTAGACCGCAAGAGCTTGGCAGTGAAGCAGCCCCCTGTCTCAAAAGAGCCAAGACACCATTGTTTCTTAAACAATAGGCCTTTTTTAATGATTCTGTTTATTTTTTCCAAATAAGGAGGCTTTTCCGACAAAAAATAACTTCCAGTGAGACCTCTACGGCATTTTGTGCTTGCAATGCCTCGAATCCTCAACAATGCTAGAAATGATTTTTATGTGCAAGTGAAAAGCAGAATATCAAGTTCTATATTTTGATAACGGTGTAATACTGATAAATTTTGGTTAGGATTTTTGTTCATCGCTCACCAACACAACATTTTTCGCTTATGACGTAACTATGGTACAACATTTTCCTGAATGATGATCGATCCGTGTGTGTGAACATTGCCTGGCATCTTTGCCAGAGACGTAAGAGCTGGGGGCACGAGGCCCCCGTGAAAGGGAAGTTAACTGCAAAGGCAAGCCTTTGTTTATATCAAGGGTAAGGGATGACAACAGCCTTTTGTTTAAAACAATGGAAAGTCACTAGGGCTGGAGGGGCAATTGCCCCTTAGTTAGTATGTTAAAAGGGCCCTGCTCAAAGTTTTAAAAGATGTTCTTTCAGGAGAAGTGAGGAGTGATAGACTCAAAGTTTCATACGTAAAGTTTTATATATTTATAAGTATATGAATTTAACAGGTATAGTTTTATATGTTCATAAGTACATACAGTAAATTCTACACGTAGACTTTTATATATGTATAAATATTGAAATTTTACACGTTAAGTTTTATAAATCCCAGCTTATATATTTAGCTATCAAACTTATTTATTTCACTTTGGTACTCATTTTATTCGTTCACTGTATTATCGTCTTTTATAACACCTTACTTGTTATGCAGCATGTCCACAGAGTGTTGATATGCCCCACGCACTCATGACCATGGATCATTATCAAAGCTATGTTTTACTAGTTCAGTTTATTTTTAGTTTGATTCCCAATTTTCTCTAGAAACAAAGGAACATTTGATAATTTATACAATTAACCATAAGAAAGAAAATCAACAGATGACAAAGAAATGATGAGAAATTTAATAATGGAAGTACAATTTTGTATAGGGAGAGGAATTTCTTAAGTAGGAGCTTTTTAAGTATGTCAACTAACCGAAGTCAATTGTTGAACAAGATCTGAAATGAACAGCACGTAGATGCGATTGACATGAAATAAGTAAACATTATTTCATTTGACCTTGCATTTTATCAGACTAAAAAAGGAAATCTGACGGTTTATAGAGTGACAATTTACAAAAAAACGAAGAAAAAAAGGATGATATTATTGGAGAAACAGAAAGGACAGAAATGAGCACGATAAAAATAGAAACGCAAATTTTAATTTAAAAACGCGAAACTGAGAGTAACAATCGTAAGCTACAAAAGTTTAAAATATGATTATCTGTATAACGATTAATATGAGCTATAACATTACAATTGTATTTTGTTTTCCTTTACTTTTAAGAGAAGTTTAGAAATTAATTTTGAACTGAATAGAATTAACAATAAATTATAGACTAGAGCATCAACAAATAAGTTAGAAAATTGTGAAACAGGCAGAATAAAAAGCAGCAAATAATTTTGTCTAAGCAAAAATCAAGTTAATTATATTATTTATATGACTTGAACCGATAACATTTTAAACAATATGAAAAATTAGGATTAAGTATCAGAATGACGCTATAATATATACATAACTATGAAAGTTGTTAAAAGCTTGAAAATGTCCACCGGGAATAAAAGCTCAAAGATTGAAACTTGGGCTTCTCTTTAGTTTGTCTTATCTGTTCAAAGAGGCGACAGAGCCATGTAAAGTCCCTACAGCTCGTTTTAGAGCAAGAGCCTGGCCTTGAATTAGTGAAATCAGAATCTTGAAATGATTTGTATGGGAGAGTTAGAGAGTTTTATCCTAGAAAATCAAATATTTCTAACAAACTTGAGATCTTATATATTATTTAGCAGATTTCGGAAGCGATAATGCATCCCTATTCCGATGTTACTGAAATTGTATTGTTGTACTGTTGTCATTTGGTTGTTGTTGCTTCGATATATGAGGTAGAGTCTAGAGTTCTGTTGATTTTGCAGTATTGCGTGTTGTCAAGTCCTTTCATGTTGAAGAGGCCCTACGTGGCGTCGTGTCAAATATGAACGGTGTCGTGATTAGTTTCTCTAGCGATTTGTTGTTTTGTGTTTTTGGCGTTGTGTTGGGTCGTGTTAAGTTGCCTGTGATATAGTGGAGCAATATGATTGTAGTTCGTATTGTATCGTTATGCGAGTGGTGGGCTGTAGAATTAGAATGATAAGTTGTAGATGGTGGCGATATGGGTGGAAGTGATGTTGGTTTGTGTTTTGTGTGATCCGGACGTATTATGATGCACACAAGGTGGTGTGCGTAAGTTTGTGGATCGATGTATAGACGATCCAGAAAAGTTGTCAGGTAGCTACTGTTGTCCTGGTAGAAGGCTCTTGTAGCACCGGATGAAGTAGATTACTCGCTATGTTGTAGTTGGTGGCTTTGAATAGATTGCTTTAAATCAAATTCTGATGGTTATTATACGTACGATAGACGGGTTGTGTTGTCTGGATTGTTTAAAAGGCGAGAGTTTTCTCTGCTTTTGTACGTTGTCTCCTTTGTCTGTGCGGATTAGTAGGTATTTGCTCGGACGCTAGCTAGGTTGGTACTCGTGTTTGTTGATCGCACGTTGAATGTTGATTTTAAGGGAAAAAATGGTTGATACTCCGAAGGATGCCAACAGCTGTCAACATCCGAACCTAGGACGACTCAAGAACAATTATCAGCGAAAATGGAATAGATTCTCAAGTGTGACGTCACGAAAATACATTTAGAATTTTAGAATTTTGACCACATGACATAAAAGAACACAACGAAATACTCCCATATGTGCAAAATCAGTTAAATTTATCAAAAATCGGCTGAGCTATGGTAAATAGAAGATTAGAAATTTGCTAACGGATTACTGTTATTTTGGCTCAGTTCATAAATTTATGAACTGAGGCCAAATTACAGAGGTTTGATGGGGCCAGAGCTTGTGCTCATCTGGTCATAGCTCAACCAATTCTTGATACCTTTAACTGATTTTGCAGATTTAGAGGTATTTCGCGATACTTCTTCAGGATATAGCAATAAATTTCACAAATTCTAAAAATATACTTTTGTGACGTCATCACTTGACAACTCTATGGTTTTGCGTTATAAGAGACAATGCTGGGCAAACAACTCTCAAAAAGCTCGATTTTCGCCACTGAATGGTCGCTTGCGCATGCCACCTAGGTAATTACCAAAATGTGTATGGGATATGTCTGGAATATGATTATGTGGTCCAGGGGCGGATCTAGAAATTATTCTGAGGGGTGCTAAAACTTAAGGCTTGGTAACCAAGGGTGTTGCTATGCACAAACTCCGTACCCCCTGCTAATAAGCCATAATGAAATGAAAGTCTCCCATAAACTAAAAGCTTCAGCTTTTATGCCAAACGCAATTTGCAGCTCTCCCCCTCATATTCAATTAGGGTACAAAAGTATAGAAACTGTAGCCAAATATGATATCATTGCCCGCAGTGGCAAAAGGCCCGAGCCCACAAATTTCCAAAGCAAAGTTTAATTTTTGACTCTTTGCAGCCATTTATTAGAACTTGATCATGGCTGGTGGAATGAAGCCCTTGAACTTGAAGTGCAGTGCACGTGATTAGAGATAATAGAACAATAGAAAAAAGTCTGCCGTTTTGAGTATTTTTATGAATTTGAAATCTTTAGAGAAAAAAGTATTCATAGGAATATAAGTAGGAATAAGAAGAAAACCCCTTTTGGTCAAGAATAGTATGGGCAAGTTTTTGAAATGTTTTGTATGTAGTTCTTGAATGATTAACAAAAGAATAACAAGGGCTCGGGCAAGCTTTATCCTCTGAATATAAATCATACCTCATGGTCTATGAATAAGACGTGAAACACGCAGTTGAAACTTGAAACCGTTCTGTTATATAAACCAAAGCGTTTACAAGTTCTGCCGTTACAGCATCGAGCACCAGGTAAAGATCGTCAAAAGACCTACGAAATTGCAAATTTGCACTTCACCTAAGCATTCGTCGCGTGCTGTATCATAATTCAACTCCCCCTGGTCAACCTCAACTCCCCCTGTTCAAGCTCAACTCCCCCTGGTCATAAAACCACTATACATTTGACTGTAGATTGAAGCGAAGAAACTCCCCCTGGTTTGGTCGGTATTCTTTGATGTTTTGGATTTTGAAATCCATGGGTTCTCGCGCCAAAGTTTAGAACCCCTCGACCTGGCACCGTGATTGGCTAGATTCACTTCCACGGGTGCAGAAAATCGTATAATTTACAGGCCACGGGTTCCTCAAGTGGCTGGTTATAAGAGGAGACAATGCTTTCCGAGTCTGTAGAATGCTATACAGTACAACCAGGGGGAGTTTGATAACACTTCAATGCATGGACTGAAATAACAATGTTGAACAGTTGTGAGACGGGGCATTGAAGCGGATATAACAATTTCAGGAGATGTGCATACTTCTCGGTAAAAGAGATAATAAATGGTTTAAATAATTATAAACAAAATTGCGATAGAATAAACTTTAATCCCCAAAAAGTTTTTCCTCAAATCTGAGGGGTGCTCGAGCCCCCTTCGCACCCCTCTGGATCCGCCCCTGAGTGGTGAAGGTGATTGAACTAGACTTGAGTGTTAGAAAATGATTATAAATTTATTTTCGAGTTTGTTTAATTACGAACACTGTTACAGTTTACGGAAGAATCAGTTTAATGATGATTAAAGACTTGCAAATTATTTTTGCAAGTTATATAAAATTCAGGGGTTTCGATGCGAGCTGGAATATGGGGAGGGCAAGAGCAAACGAAAGACTTAAAATTAGATATTTTCAGAAAGTTTTCCGTCGAAAGTATTGTATGATACTTCGTTTCGCTGTTATTTATCGTGCCTAGAATGAATTGAAATTTTTTGCTTTTCCTGGTATTTTTGCATGCTTTGCAATAATCCTCGCAAGATTCCACCATATCGAAAATTCAACTCAACTGGGACTTTTCTTCGGGTAAATACGAAAACGAGACTGTTCATCACTTTTATGCTGGGCAGGGTCTTGTCCTAATGATTTACAAATATATAAAAGATTATATTCTGCGTTTCAAATAGAATGGACAGCTACGGTGTCATTGCAAACCAACCAGTCGTCATCGATAATGTATGTATAAGTAATTTTATTTCTTGGAGGTTGGCAAGATGATGAAGTCCATTTATCATTGTTGTGATGCTGACAAGGGCCTCGAGGATTCAAATTAAAAAGGCTCAAAAATCCTCATTAAAGTTATAAAATTGTATGGATTCTCTACATCAAACACAGCAAAGCGACCATTATGATATTCAATGTCAAATTTAGAATTAATTCAATTGGTAAGAGCCTTCAATTGTGTAGTATTGAGGTGATCAAATTAATTTTGACAGTGTTTTAAATCGTGCAGGGCTCTGGTGTTATTAAAGCTGGATTCGCCGGTGATCAAGTTCCAAAATGCAATTTCCCCAGTTTGTGAGTAGCTCTATATTATGCCATATATTGCAAATTTGAGTCTGAATTCCTATATTTCAACCAAAAAATGTTTCATTATTAGCAGGATATTTTTTGTTTATTCTATTGTTATTCAATAGTAGTTGAGTAACTACCATTTTCTAATATTATCACTTACATTTCTAATTCTCTATAAATTTTCTCTATAAACTGGACTGATACAATAGAGACAGGGTAAAGCATGAAAAATGTTTGAATGACAGCTTTCTTGACTGTTGTTTATTTCCTCAAATCAATATCTGATTTAAGAATGTAAGTTTTTAATGAAAAATATTTATCATCGTGTTCTTTCGGAACCTTATTTTGACGTTTTATGCTCTGAGGAGTGTCTGACGAGAAAGCTTTTAGTATGTCGTAAAATGTTTGCTTTTTTCAAAGCCATTTTGAAAAATATTTTATAGAATGCCACTGGGCATCAATATTTTTAAAACATGAGAACTTCCATTGTATTGCTATGCATTGGTACCATATAGATTTGTGCTACATTAAGTACCGGTGAAGCAGGGCAACTGAAAATTAATGCCACCAAATTTTTTTAAAACCCAAATTTTCAAATGCTAGAAAAATTTTATTTTACACTGATGGACTTTCAAGATAACAAAAAAGATAACAAATCCTTGATATTGTTTGAGCATTACTATACATCCACAACATATCATGTTCAGTTTTGATCTCCTTTGTCATCAAAAAATGAGATATTCACTTTCTTCTCCTTACCCTCTACATTCAAGAAATTAGAATTTATGGGCTAAACTGATGATTCTAATGGCTGTTCATAATTTCTCTCGATTATTTCTAACCCTACTGTTAGGTTTTGTGATCCAAATCATTGCAAACTCACTGTCAACTGTTTTTATCTCCACCAAAATTTTTTGAGTTTTCACAGAAATATAAATATAAAAAATATGACTGAAGTTTTTGGCACCAAATTTTAGGTATTTAATGTATGACAATGCCAGTGGGTCTAAGTCCTGAAAAAATGACCCACACTAACCCTTGATTGATATGGTTTTGCTACAGTTCCAACAGAAAGAGTTAACTAAGGCTTTATCAAAGACATTAAGGAGCCAAAAACTTACCAACAGTATTATACCTCTCATTACATGTTTACAGAGAAACACACTGATCAATATTAATAAGCACTTGCTTACACTGTAGGGCTTAACACCAAGAAAATACTAAATCAGTACTCTTCAGTTCATCTAACCTGAATTGATTTAATATTTCTATTTATATTTTTATATAATTCAATATATGATATAAGTGCCTTATACCTATAAGTTTTGAGGATGGCTCAGTTGTTAGAGGCGCTGACAACAGACACAAGGGTCTCTGGTTCTAGTCCCTGAAATTACCAAACTTTCACCCAGAGTATGGAGAGTCACCAGCTCTCTGTAATTCCAGGCATAGGAATCATGAGGTGTGGTCACATTGAGAGGAAGGACCAGGACACTGCTTGTGCTCGATAAGCACAAGCTTTTCAGAGTCCTAAAACTACCTTCAGATGCTGGGTAGAAACAGATACAATTAAATACAAATTACATATTGTGAGCACTTGTCAATATTTTAGATTGATAATTGATTTCCCTTCCTAATAGCATTGGGAGACCAAAACATGTGAGAGTAATGGCTGGTGCATTAGAAGGTGATATATTTATTGGAAAAAAAGCAGAGGTAGATATGTAGTTTTGATTTCAATTCTATTGACAAACTGCTATAATAAACCCTTTCAGTAGAGAATAAAAAAGCTAAAATAAATATTGGCATTGACAAAAAAACTATCAAAGACAATGAAAGTATAAATATTAAGATTAAGATACCATTTATACTTTTTTGGACTTTTTTACAAAGTTTTCAATGAAACATTTTTGTGAAATAAGTAAATAGGAGTTATTTTTTGTTTTTATTTCCAGGAATACAGAGGACTGCTTAACATTCGGTATCCCATGGAGGTAAATTGAAATAATTTAAAGACATATTACAAATGCAGATTCAAATTGTTTAGAAATAGCTCATTCTGACACATCAAACACACACAATTTGCCAAACAATGTAACACTTCCAGTTATTCTGTGATCTTTATGCCATGTTAGAATGATGTCAATCAAGCCACAAATATATCCATCATCCAATGGTTACCTATTTTCATGGGGTAATATGTGTGTTGTTTGACTCAGAAGAACAGCACAAAGAATGCAAAAGCCATCACAGGCAAAATCATGACTAATCTTTTGTTTGTCTTTATTGGTTGTCAATTTTCAGACTTTCCAGGCCCCTACCAAGTCACTTTTTCATGTTGTGTGTTTTTAGGACAAAGTATTTCAAAGGACATTAAATACTAAAGTCTTTTACTTAGATGTACAATACTGATTTCTATAGTAATGCTCATCTCTTCATTCCTGAGGATTATTACAGATTTTTCAGTTTTGTGTATAAATGATTTAAAAACTTTTGTGTATAAGAATTTGTCATTTCTGCTTATCTTTTTCTTCAATCTTTTCAAGCATGGAATAATAGAAGACTGGAATGATATGGAGAGAATCTGGCAGGTATTGAGTTCCGCAATAGCCATTCATCAACTATTTTTCTTTAAAGATTGGCTATGTAATTTCTGTTTTGAAAGGCTAAACATGCAGCTGTCTTCCTTTTCAAGTTTTAAATATCACGACATTTTGCTGATTCTTCTCCAATGATTGGTTATTCTGTTTCTCATAATAGCATTACACGTTTTTGACTTGCATTCTCATTGATCCAACGTTATTTCTCTGTTCTAGTATATTTACTCAAAAGACCAGCTGCAAACATTTTCTGAAGAGGTAACCATTTTCTAACAGTATGCTGCTTAACTCACATTTTCTTAGTTTTTTTATTTACCTTTTTGCAAACCATAACATCTTTTATACCTGTTACCAGTTTTGATGGTTTATTTCATTTTTCAGCATCCAGTACTGTTAACAGAGGCCCCTCTGAATCCAAGAAGAAACAGAGAAAAAGCTACAGAGGTGTTTTAAATGTTATTGTTATTTTTCGTGGATGTTTACAGACTGATAAAGATGTAATGCTTTATAACTGATGTGACCTTCTTCATTGCATATTATGTAATTTTCAAAGGGGTAGCCGTATGAAGAACTGTTCTTAAAAAAGGTTCCTCAAAGAATATTAAGTTAAAATTAATATTTGTGATTAATATGAGTTGAAAAATATTACAGTTTAGAGCATGTAATGTAAATAATGCTTTCAAAAAAGGTTGGTAGATCTGTGTTTTAATTATATGAAAAGTTTCATGCTAGCAAATTTTTTCCTGTGAATTGATTATGAAAATTTTATATGATCTAAAGCTATCAGGCTCATATTCACAAAATATCACTTTTTACATGAACTATATGTGATCGTTTTTGTGCTTGTTTCTAGATCTTTTTTGAAACATTCAATGTTCCAGCTCTCTTTGTATCAATACAAGCAGTCCTTAGTTTGTAAGTACCTGGGATTAAATTTTATTTTGCTGGCCTTATTTGTCGTACAGCCATCTTTAAGTTTTAGAAAGTGACTTAAATTTAAGATTTAAAGATGCTATTATCAGATTTATTTTATTGATGTATCAACCTTTTATTGTGTCTTTATCATTTGTTGGGCTTCTTTGTTAGTTTTAGTTTGTGTAGCTAGCAAATGTTTTCTTTTCCAGGTATGCTACTGGTAGGACAACTGGAGTTGTATTAGATTCTGGTGATGGTGTTACACATGCAGTCCCCATATTTGAAGGATTTGCAATGCCCCATTCAATCATGAGGGTAGATTTAGCAGGAAGGTAATAAGATATGTACCTAGTAGCTTTATCTTTAATCTAGCGTCAGTTGCAGACCAAGAGAACTATGCAACTACGAGCAATTATGCCTTTTTTCTAGCTTTCTTTGCACACAGTCATTAAAATGATAGGTGTGATGGTGGGTGATTGGTTAGGGATGCAGACAACAAATCTAATTGTCTGTGGTTTGAGTCACCAACTAAACTAAAATTTCACTTAAAGTTTGGAGAGTTGTCAGCGCCCTGTAATTCCAGCATATGAATCTTGATGTGTGACCATATCAAGTCGATGGAGCAGGTTCTACCCTCTCAGCTATCTATAAACTCCCTTCGAAGTTTTGCTTTCTAATATGTACCTCTAATTTAAGTAGTATTCTGCATTGGATTAACTGTTGGCTGCATAATCTTATAAATAAAATGGTTAGTTTTAATAAGATCAATTTGATGACAAGCAGGCTTGTTTAACATCTTATTTAGTGTATTTTTAAACTAGGCTTTTCTTCTTTTTATCGTACAAAAGCAAATAACCTAACTGTGTTACCTTATTTATTTTTTACAGAGATGTTACCAGGTACTTGAAACTTCTGCTAAGAAGAGAAGGCTGGAACTTCCACACCACAGCTGAGCAGGAAATAGTCAAAACAGTGAAAGAGGTATGAGAAGGATATGGAGTTTTTGGTTTCCCAATTAACTTTATTTAAGCAAGAAGCATCAAGTAGACTCCTGCTTGTCTTTTTGGATGAGAATTTCTATATCCAGCATCCAATTCTGTAGGCAATTTTCTTTGCGGATTCTCGTATTAAAATTACAGTGTTCCCTCTTATTATAATGATAACATTTTTGAACTATTGCTTATTTAGAGAGTCTGTTTCTTGTCACTAAATCCACAAAAAGAAGATTCGATAGAGGCTGAAAAATCTGCATATGTTTTGCCAGATGGAAATATACTGGAGGTTCGTCGTTTTCTTTCATTGTTATTTTGTATTATTTTCGCATTTTGCTTGCGCTAACATGTTTACAGGCTCTAAGTCTTATGTTCTCTTAAAGCCATATTTGGTTTTGATCAGTTTAAATGTCATAGGTAGATATGACAGGTGGCAAACTATATGTTTAGTTACAAATTTGTTTTTTGAATCAATCTTTGTAACCCATGGTACACTATTCCCATGCAAGTTTTAAATGTGGCTATTCAAGAATTGAGCTTAAAAGATTGCACAGTTCAGATTTGCACAATTCCCTTTTTTGGATTTAGGAAACGAGTATTGAAAATCTCCAAATTTTTCTTAAATCATGAGAACTTGATCCCAAGGCTTAAAACAGCAGTATGGATACAGTGACATCAGTGAGTTCAAAGTTGCTGTCAGTACAGTAAAAGGTGCTCACATCACAATCATAGAATGCTTAGCCCCGAGGTGTTTGTTATAGTTGAGGTTTCGTTGTTACTTTCACAAAGATAATCCAGTCGTAAAATTGCCAAGGGGTGGGAAGGGGGGTGGGGTAGTGGATAATGTGAACGAGGTTCCAGTCATATACTAGCTGGCGTGCTGTATGTAATAAAATAAAACTGTGTATTTAAGTAAACTGTACTACGAAAAATTAACGAATTTATTAATAGCGTTTCGAGCATAGCCCGTTATCAAGTATGAGGTTCCAGTCAGTTAACTGATAATTACAAGGTTAATGTTTAAACACAAACCACTCATTTAAAACTTCTGAATATAAATCTGTGATAAACTATGTCATAAAAGAGGCGCACGATCTTGCTACAAAGCCCCATTCGTAAATTTATCCCATCAAAAACAGTTCTATCGCTTCTCTAACGCCAGTTTGTTGTGCCTGCGCAATTAAGTTGTGTATATCCCTCGCGCGTACAAAAACTTCTAGGTATCAATCCGGAATGAAAAATTCCACGGAACGTCTCAAAATTCAATTATCCGGTTTTGTCCTTTCATATTTGACGAGAATTTGAGCCAGCAAGACCGTAAAGTAGAAGAAGTAGGCTATCAGAAATTGACTTCCGTTAATTCTTTCATATCTGTCTATGCTTTTGGAAATAACCACTCTTTTTATGATTTTGGAATACAGCTTAAAGTCACCCAGACATGTCTAACTTTATTTAGTGAATAAGTTAAGACACGTAGGTAATCATAAGCAGTGTTAAAATCATGATAAGATTAAATTATCATAATTAGGTATCTTTGTTTAGAGAAATTGAGAGTTCCCTCTCTAATGTATGTAGAACTTTGCCACGAATTTATTTCAATTTAACTAGGCTTAAACCACTGGCAAATGATAGCTATTCCTGCTCAACTTAGTTAAGACAATATCTCAGTAGAATTTAATATTGTTTATCCCCGAAATATCAACGTCAGTTTTTATTCTTATAAACTATCATTCGACAGGTTGGGCCTGCACGATACAGAGCACCAGAACTATTGTTTCGTCCAGATCTCATCGGTGAAGAATTCGAAGGCCTGCATCAGGTAACGAATGACTTCAAGTATTCGTTATTATTGTGTTATCTTTCAGCAAATATTGTAATGTTATTTGCTTGTCAGATGCCATTGCTATGAAGAAGACATGTCTCCATGGCGTAGTTTCAGTGCTGTTAAAATTAGTTCAAAGTTTTTTGAACTTACCAATTCTGTATCTCAGAGATCATTGTAGAATTTCATTTAATTTGTTGTCATCTCCCAAGGGATTGTGTGCTATAAGAAAGAAGAATCATTGAATCAATCAAACTCAATCGCGATTTACTATTTCGATAAATCAAGAAAGTTTGAAAAGTTTTGAGATAAGAAAATGGAGTCATTCTTCTCTAAGGAATGTGGCGATGATTTACTGCTATCTTGAGTAGATGTTAACTGCAAATTGCATCCTTGTGTTGGTCGACGAGGGAGCGACAGAATTATTTACCCCGGTGACCTGCTTCATTTATACAAACTGTTGTTTCTATGGTTTCTCTTGCTGGTCTGTTCAAGGTCTTCAAGGTCTGCTCAAGTTCAAATATTACAGTGATAATTAACACTTCATCTTTGTACCAAGCCTTTGGTCCTTCAGAAACAATACCAATTCTGACTTTTCGTCTTGAAAATGGCTTTGAAAAAGGCAAACATTTGAATAAGCTAAAGTTTTTTTTTTGACACTCTTCGGAGTTGAAAACATCAGAACATAGATCGAAAATTCTACGCTCGGAAATATATATACTCAGTTGTGGATCGAAATAGGCCAATCAGAAGCGCGAGCACATGACTGTTGAGGTTGACCAAGCAGTGCCGCTTGCCTATTGACTTTTCGTCTTAGAACTCAAAGAACTTTTAGGAATTATGATAAGATTTTTATGCTAAAAAGGATGTGTTCAGACCCAGAAATGCAAGGAAAAATATTTTGTTCTAAGGCCCTGCTACTGTAACGGGTTTTGCTATGTGATGTGTAATGGTATAAACTGCTAATTGTGTATTTTTAAGTAGTTTAATTTGCATTTTCGTTAATTTTCAGGTGCTTCATTACTCCATACGAAAATCTGACATGGATCTGAGAAAAACCCTCTACTCAAATATTGTCCTTTCTGGGGGATCAACGCTGTTCAAAGGTAAACTTTGTTTTTTACTCTGCAGTCTTTAATTGCTTCCAAATATAATGTTAAAAACTATGAAAACACTTTTTGATTTTCCAGTTTAAAAAGAACATTTGATATCTGCTTCCTATCCTTGTCAATCAATTTTGGGTACTGCGGTTCAACTTTAGAACATACCCCGATTCCCCAGTAGTTTTCACGTATTATGCAGGCATAAAATTTCCGCATAGCCTGTTTGGGCCCTTGCCGCACCTACCGCCCTCCGACGCTTCTGCTTATTTCTCTAATGCATATGAAATTTCTTTACCTTGTCTCAGCGCGTATTATGAAAATCCTAATCAATTGTAGTTCTCATTCAATCAATTTATTCACTTCATAACCTCTGTAATCAAAAGGTTTTGGTGACCGCCTGCTGCATGAGATCAAGAAGCTTGCTCCAAAAGACATCAAAATAAGAGTATGTATTCTGATTTATGCTTCTATTTATGCTACTTAAGAATGCGATTTTTGAACATTTATCTAGATTGTCAAACATGAAAATTACTGTTTACCGGTCAGTCATGAAGTGCGCGATTCCGTATAAGTAGAGCTGTCAAAGCAAATCAACAGAACACTTTTTTGGCGTATATAACAGGGCGGCTATTTGTTGCTACTCTGAGTTTCAGGCTTCATGCCATCATCAAGCAATTTAAAAGGATAATCAGTTTCTTATTCTGAATGGGAATTTTAGTGTATTTACGTCTACACATTCCCAGAACTTCTTGATTTTGAAAGAACTTGCTGTCCGCACCTTACTAGTTTCAGTCATATTACTTTCATAGGAATAATTATGTATTATTTATGAATAATTCTGTACAATTACTGTTAATATTTCATTTATTTCTTATTTTTCAGATATCAGCACCACAAGAAAGACTGTATTCAACTTGGATAGGGTAAGTCTGATCGACATTTACTGGCTAAATACAGAATTCAGCAAACACCAATAGAAAATATTGTCAGGCTGTTCGATTATGCGACTTAAACTGTAGCATGAATTTTGTTGTTGATTTTTATGTTAATGTTGCCAACAATTTCTTACCTTACTTGAGTTGCAGAACATGACTTAATTTCATTTAGAGGCGATCCTTCATTATAATTCATGAACTGAAGCCAATTGTATTTTTACTGATGGTTTAATCCTATATTAAGGCCCAACATTTTCATAGGAACTATTTCGCCTGCTGTGCTACAATATACAGCCATTTTGCAATTTTGTCCGGAGAAAATGATGTCTGGAGAGAGGCAAAATTCATATTGAGACATCTTTAAGTTGTAATGTTTGGGAGTAAAATTAAAATAGACAGGGGATGCTATTTGCCAGTATTTTTCTGTATTGTTATTGGGGCTTTTTGCCAGTTTTCCATTCTTGTGCACAGGACTATCCAGAGATAAATACAATAATATCATACAATGCAGGCACGCTGATTCGAAAAATAATGTAATTGGTGGATGGGAGGGAGGAACTCACAGTTCTGAAGGGAAGATGGAAAGGTTTAACATGGGAAGCGTAGAGAAAATAGTATTCTTGATCTTGTGTAAATGATACTGCGATCACTTGATTTGAACGTTTCAACGACTTTCACTTGTAGTCTGTGCTTTTAAGCCGTCCAAGAATGAAATACTTTGCTTTCAGGTATTACAATCTTTAATTTTTTTGCAGTGGCTCCATTCTAGCCTCTCTAGACACTTTTAAGAAGATGTGGGTATCCAAGAAAGAATACGATGAAGAAGGAGTTCGTGCAATTCACAGGAAGACATTCTAGGACTTGACTATCTATTCTAGCTATTAGATTCGCTTTCATATGTCTAACAGAAGAAGAGCCTTATACGGACTTAGCATTGCCATAAGGAAGTGAACCCCAAGATGAAACTGTCAAAATGTCAATCATATATACTTCGATGTCGTTATAAATCCTGCATAGAAATGCACTGAACTTAGGTGAATCGCGTATCTCAGGAGGACGTTTAAGGTTACCACTTGCAAAATTCGATTTTTAAACTAAAGTTCCTCTTCTGAGTTTCTTATTCTTATTTTTAATTTAGATAGTATGTTGCATCCTCATATTTAGCAGAATTAAGTTTTGGCAAAATTTGCAGCGTTGAAAATCAGTTTCAAATGTTCCAGAAATTTATAAGTGCTCTTCTAGAAGCAGTCTTTTGGTTAACCCTGGTCCTTAGTATTGTATTAACACTGGTACTGAAAAGCAAACTATTAAATTTAGACCCAGTTAACCCTCTTTCTGTATTTAAGTAATACAGTTTCTTCCCACCCATGCTATGGTTAAATTGATTTTGTGCAGCTATCGTCGAATATTTGAGTGTCTGTAATTATAAATAGAATTGTTGAAGGCGTCTTATAGTCTCAAAGGAAATCGCTGATTTTGCCCCAGCAAGGGAAATATTATGTATCAGTGTATGTCCCTAGCTGCATGTTAGTTAAAACATTTCATCTTCTATATTACACCTGTGACGCAAATCTTACATCTGGGAGTATTTTATTGCCCTTTGATTTTAGAGTATGTGTACCAGATCAGTAGATCGCCGATCATAAGCACTTCAATTCACTTTCGTGGAGATTTACGGCTGATTGTTTTGGAAACTGGACCGTAACCAGACTAAAAATTTCTTAAAAAGGAGATCTCTTGTTCAACAATTCTAGTATATTTCTAGTACAAAACCCTGGCAATTTTCCCTAAAAGCACCAAGGCAAGAACTTGTGTGTCCACAAAAATAACACATTCACCTTCTATACAAAAGTTTTGCCTTCAATAGAAAACAAACTTAAGTCACAGACCTCATGTTATTAACTAACGTTTACGTGCCTCCGTAATCTGATCTAAAGGCTACCTTCATTATTTATTGTACTTTATTTTTATATGATGCTCGTTATCTGATTAGTATTCACTCTTGTATTTACTGCTAACGGTCAAGGAGATGGCATTCAATTTATCTTCACAGATGTAAATCTCAATATCGAGTAATTCTGGCTGGAGTGTATCATAACGCAGTGGCTCGCTAGAAATACACAGAGGTGTTGGCGGAAATTGAGATTCGAACCAAGTAGACTTTGAATAGATGTCCCTTAAGGAATTCTAAAAAAGGCTGAAAGGTTCTCTGTTTAAAAAGCGAATTTTGCTGCTAATAGCTCATTTACACGCTTATCGAGTGTGTGAGCAAGGGGCAATTGTCCCTGGGCCCGTAAACAAAGAGGGGTTCGCTGGTAATTCAACTGCTTCTATTTAGAATATGACCCTTAATAACATGGTTATCACAAATCATATCTGTACTGGGAAAGTTTAGCAATGCGTTGGAAATGTAATTGTAAAGTCAATGAAGAAAGTTCTATGCATTTTGAATCGACAGTATAGCCATGTTAGGACTGGGCCTGGGATATTTTCAAGGATTGCAAAATTGAAGTGTTCTGTATTGGACGAGACATGCACTGCTTTCCGGTATGAGTAAGGCATTTTTTCATGAATTGTTTTCGATGGCTTAATTTTATTGACAAAAGTTAAACAGGAAGATAGGAGAGTAATGTACCATTTTCAGAACCATCAAATTACCAAGTTTTCTGTGGATGTGTCCGCACCAATGCACCCCCCTCAGAAAACACCATTTCTGTCACTGTCATTGCAAACTGATGTAAAAGCTATTAACATCCATATATTATATCTCTTTTAAACTAATACATAAATTCACGTTATTTTGGGTTATACCCTTCTCCTCCCGAAAGTCCTGAAAGTCTCTTTGGCATCTGATGTTAATTTGAAACGCTTCCTTTCCTCAAGGGCGCCCCCGCAGTATCACTAATCGTCTAATGGCGCGATTTTCGGTCCTTGGTCAAGGATATTACTTCTAGCTGTCCGTGGTTTGCTGTGCCTTTCAGATATTGCAGACATGAGTGAAAATAAGATAAATGTTCTTAAACGGAAAACAACGGTAGGTAGATGATATCTTGCAAAGCCCATTGTCACTGTCTTCAGTTGCTTTTATGGCCTAGGCAGGAACAACCTAGTCAGCCTATTATCATGCCACATAAACAAACTAGGCAAGCCATAAAAATTTAAATATGCAACTCTTATTGTTCCAGTTCTTAATTGCTCTGCAAAATGCTTTATCGTTTTTTATACAGCAACTTTCAATTTTTTTCGTCAATTCTCCGAATCGTGTCTTTTTAAAGAAAGTTATTTGTGGTTCTTTGCTTCGTGACATGGTAGATAGTGACATCACCTTCACCATTATCACTTTATTTAAGTCAGGGTTTTCCCCTTTTTCAAGGGGCTACTGACTTTCCTCCCATGACTTGGTACAACTTCTCTACTTTACTCAGTCATTCGCATCCTCAAATTTCACACCAACTTTACGGCACTGCTTTTCCATCATTCTTTTCCGACTCAACTTGGGTCGCCCTCTTCCTCTATTGCCCTCTTCCTCTATCGCCCTCAACCTCAAAATTCAATGCCTCTTTCACACATTCATCATCACTCTTTCTCAAAACATGGCGCAACCATCTTAAACTTCCTTGTCTAACAGTTTCTACAATGGTATCCTTCAGTCTTAATCTTTCCATCAACTCTGTTGTGTTTATTCTATCAGCCAGTTTATCACCACACATCTTTCAAACCATACCTCTTTCTGCTCTTCTCAAAATATCTTCTTCAACTGATCTTATCACTCATGTTTTGATCCGTATGTCATGACAGGTCTCACGCATGTCCTGTAGATTCTTCCTTTGAGGTTCCAAGTGTACCATTTCCTACACAACATAGAAGACATAGTGGTCACTCTTCTCTTCTTGTTGCAGCCAGCTCACTCCCCCCCCCCACCACCACCATTTTTAGTGTCACCCAAGTAACGAAAACTATCCACTTTCTCTAACTCACTCAGGAGGCCATCTGCTGCTGGGTCCTGTTCTTCAATTCCTCCACTGCTGCAAACTCTGCATTCAAATTGGCCAGACATCCTGTCAGTCACTCTCTTGGCATTTGCACAACGTGCATGAATCCATTTCTGACAAGTCTTATTTACAGAAAACAATTAATCTTAGCTCTTTTACCGCATACACCTCATGGATCAACTTTCGCCTCTACTGCCACCCCTTTTCCAGCTCCCGACACTCCAGAATCTTTGTTTTGCCAAGATTCACCTTCAATCTTTTCCCTTTGAAAGCTGACTTCCAACTGTTAAATTGTGCTTCCAACTCTTCCATTGTCTCAGACATCAGAACGAGATCATCTGCATACAGCAGTTCATGTTTTTTTCAGTAAATATTGTGCAAATGTTGATTAGGATGTTCTTGTTATATAAGGCCATCTCCTCTCCTGTCTCATTCTCATGTGATTTTAATTTATTATAAAAATATGTATCTGTTTCAAAATTGCACCTATTCTATAAAGCACCAGAGTTGCCTGATGCTCACATTGAGCATGAAACTCAGCAAAGCAACTCAGAACCATCCTGTTCTATACACTGGAAGGGTGAACAGCTCTGCCTATACAGCATCAAGCACTTAATGAAAGACCCATGATTTTCAACATGACATTTAGATTTAATTTGGGCTGTTTTCTTTAAAAAAATGTATAAAAGTAATATGATCAGTAATCTCTTACCTTTACTTTGTTAGATGATCAGAATAGAACGTCATCACAACTGCAGAAAAAAACATTTATCAGTGGCTGCTGTTGTTCAGATTCTTAATTCATATCATAAAATGTTGGAGAGAGCTCAATCAAAGCAGAATTTGATTGCTCAGTGGGGACCACCAGTGAAAGTATCAAAGGATCTGGAGCAAAAAGATGGAACTCTTTTTGTAAAAGATATGAGAAGGGAGCTAGGCCTATTGCAGAGAATTTTAAGTGTAAACATGGGTAAGCTATGAACATTTTGTTTTGTAAACAGTACTAATTGGCTTCTCAAGATTTCTATTTTGGGATATTTATGCATAATACAAGGTCTTGTCTGTCCACATTCATATACACAGTGGTGGTCCTGTCTGTCTGAGACTCAAACTATCGCAAACTGTCTCAGATTCATTGGGACCTTGGTCTATAAGCATAATTAACTCCCCAATGCATATAGAATGACCATGGTTTGAGAAGGAAGACATTCTCAAATTATTTGAAATGTTACAATATTGTTCAAGATCTTAACATGGTGTTTCCCAGTCTTTGTAATATGAAAATAGGCCTCATGGGGCGTTTCGCACGTCTTGACCACTTTGCAATTTTTAAGAAGTTTTGTGGCAAATTCTTTGTTTTGCATGTGCGATTATTTGCACACCTTGGATAATTTGTGCGTGTGTGGAGGCATGCGCATGCAATCATATTGCAAAGACTGATTTCCCCAGGATAGGTCATTACCATTAGTTTGCAGATGCCGATAATTATGTTCATGTATATGTGCATTAATTGTCATCAGTAATCATATGTCTTTATAAACTTGCTAGTCTGCCAGACAAACAGCATAAGATACAATGCTGATGTACACAATAATTGAAGTAGTGTTCGTAAGTCTTACAACCTGATCTTATTGAAAATACTTTTTAACAGTATTGCTCCTACTGTTTTAAATCTATTAAGTAGTGGATTAGAGAAAGAAAACCACAGGAGATTTTTTCTACCAAAACATCAATATAAAAAGGCAGCCTTTTTAATTATAATTCCCAAAAGTATGGATTTTTGTGATAATTCAATGAAACACCAAAGACATCCTCAGATGGTAAAAATCTACAAATTGAGGGGTCAATTCGATGATTTACGGTAGCAATGGGGACTTATTTGTAGAGGGGGCTTATTGACAATTTGAAGTTATAAGGTGGGCGCTTTTTGAGTGGGGCTATTTCAAGGGGGGCCAATTTGAGGATTTACAGTATGTTCAAGGAAAAACCTTGCCATGTATTTTCTAACAACAATTCCATCCCAAACAAAAGATCCAAACTTATTTTTGAATGCCAACATCTGACAATAGGACCATTAGCTAGATAAGAAAACATTTCCTAGTAAAACCTGTAATCACATATTTAAGTATTTTGTAAGCAATGAAAAACAATTTTGTCATATCTTGGGTTTCATACTTTCCCAGCCTTTGGTATGTGATCACAAAGGTGCTGAAAATAAATAAGTACTAGCCTTCAAGGTACTAGACAAGATGTTAATGAGTAAATGAGACTACAATGTCCTCATTTTGGTGTTTGTAACTGTGCAATTATTGTCAGTTCAAAAGTATCAAGGATTAAGATTAATCAAGTCAAAATATGGACCCCTTTTGGTCACTTTTTCACTAACGAAACCTATCAGAATGTTATCTGACCTTTTTCTTTGGAAGTGGGCATCTGAAGGCCAGGATAATCTCCCTCAAAGCCTATAATGATAGTTTTTTTAGCGAAAAAACGACCAAAAAGGGTCCATCTTTCAACATGATTTCTCCCATACACCCAAACGTCTACCTTCGTTTTTCTGACTGGCATAATGATGTAGTTTAGTATTATGAAGAGTCCATCCCAAGCACACAAAAAATTTGTACAGATCGACCCCAGTGTATGGATTAGCACGCTTCCTAGGCCAGTTTAGAACAACTGCAGGAAATCTCCCATACACCCCAACGTCTACCTTCGTTTTTCTGACTGGCATAATGATGTAGTTAAGTATTATGAAGAGTCCATCCCAAGCACACAAAAAATTTGTACAGATCGACCCCAGTGTATGGATTAGCAGGCTTCCTAGGCCAGTTTAGAACAACTGCTTTAAATCAAGCAGTTCATGGTCAAAGTTCTTACAGTTTATGGAGAGTCGACTTTGGCAAGATACATTTTGTGAGATCAATTGCTTGTCTACAGAAATGATTCTGCAAGCTCATTGATGATATCAAGGGAAAGACCTGAAAATGTTTCAATGCAGTCAATCCTTAGTTCTCCATTTTTCACTCCTTATCAGCAAATGCTAGGTGAAAATTGCTTTTGTTCAGAGTGTGTTCATTTTACATAGGAAATGTTGATCCTATATTTACAAACGTATTGCAAAACTTAATATAAATTTATATTATACTTATACTATACCAGTATAAGTATTAGATAACATATCAGTGGTAGGCCAATATTTTATCACCAAACTTTGGCAAAGATGAGAAGAAAATTGGCCACCAATCATCCATCACCAGCTCTTGGTACACTGAACTGACACACACAAGTCATTTGTTTTGTTACCCATGTAACTTTTTTTCAACTTAATCTTAATGGTTTTTTATTTTCATAGGCAATGTGTTAAAAAAGAGTACAGAAGTTGGAAGGGCTGACAATAATGAAAATACTGAGAATGAATACAAAGAAAGTTGCTACCAGACAAGATCTTCTAGAAACAAGGACAATAAAACATATGATGGCAGTCTTTTTGATGATTCAGAATCTAGTAATGATGATGATGGTGATGCTGATTATCAGGTCAAATCAAAGAAAAAGTCATTTAAAGGCTGGTTGGGAAGAAAATTTACACATGGAAAGGATGAGGTTCTAACAAAAAAAGCAAATGATGATGGTTTGTCAAAGAGGGAAAATAAGCAATTTATCAAAATAGATGATGATGAAGAAGAAGTAACCAATCGTCTAGAAGTAAACACACCAGAATTTGGTGCCAACGCAGAAGAAAACGAACCACAAGATACCACGATAGAGAAAGAGAATAGAGAAAAATCAGCTGCGTCAAAATTCACAAATTATCTGAAAAGCTTTAAAATTTCTATGATTAAAAGAAAACATAAAAGAGATAATGAAAGGTATGTTTACATTAATTACCAACATTTTTGTCTGCGTCAACAGAAAATATTGTCTGTTGGCTCATACTAACACTCATAGCCAAGATTTGAATAACGTTTGTGGTACTCTTTAAATTTTAAGAATAGAAATTCGCAAAATAGGTCTACATCTGGTTAATGCAGGAGGTTAAATTCCAAAGTTAATGCAGGAGATTAAATGCAGAAGAAAAAAGGTCAATGCAGGAGATTAAATTCCATATTTAGATAAATTGAACTGTAGAAAGGGGACATTTCTCTAGGTTTGCTTGCATTCTTACTTGGGAAACATAAGCTTGGTCATAACCATCTAAGATACGCACCGTTTTAATTCCTTATTACACAAAAACTGCCCAACTTGATTTAGCGAAGCGACGATGGCTGAGTGTCCTGGTAAACCAGAGGAGGCCAATACTGAAAAGGGAGAAGATGAAGGGCTGCCGGCTGCTCCAACAAGAAAAAAAAGAAAGAGAGAGCAAAAATTGGTGAGCTGTCCTATGTGTGATGGAATGTTTGTGGAGAGTGAGATAAACGATCATGCATTTACTTGCAATGGGGAACCTCCAGAAGCAGCCAGATCAACTGTTCCACGTGATCCACTGTAAGATATCTGTATATTTCTTCATCCTTATTTTGTAATTCTTCTTCAAAAGTTAGAAACTTGCCTTTGTATCGCTTATTGTTCCGGGTTTCGAATGCAATTTTGCTGCCGGCCCCAAGAAATTGTCTGCTATTTTAAGATGCCATATTTCCCTTGAATTTCCTTTAAGCTGAACAAAACACGTGTCCGTCAATAAGGATTCTACTGTTTTCATATACAAGGACTGTCAAGGAAATATTCAATTAACATACTGTCTTCGTATCTGACTATCTATCAGAAGGTTCTATAGTGACAATAGGTTTACGAACTAAAGATTATTTAAATACTCTATGTACAGTCCCGGATGACATATACATCCCAGTGTTCTCGAGTAGCAACCAGCATTTATGCTGGCATAAAAGGAATGCCAGGAGACACTCGTTCTATGAAACATCCTATCGTAGAACTGTACACTAACTATGCTGTTGGTTTAAAGGTTGGAACAAAGTCTCGACTACATTCCACTGCAACCGGAAGAGCGGCCAGATTCCGGTGATTATTTATTGTCTTTTGCTGTGTCACGTCCATCCATCCATCCATCCATCCATCCATCCATCCATCCATCCATCCATCCATCCATCCATCCATCCATCCATCCATCCATCCATCCATCCATCCATCCATCCATCTATCTATCTATCTATCTATCTATCTACTGTACATTAACCTATCAATAGGTATTACGTACAATGGTTAGTATGTTAGTATAATTAAGTTAGAGAGAATAAAATGAGGTCAAAATAAATATGATTAATAAATATTTTGGCAGTGTGACCCCATGAAGAACTTGAATGAAGGTAATTTTGTAGGTTTACTGCAAATTTTACCAGGAGGGTGAGGGCGATATTCACACCGTCCCCACGTCCTTTATTGTGCACGTTCTAAGATGGTCCTCGGTCTTAGACTGGCAGTAAATAGAAGAGGCTACAGGAGAAAAATTAGGGAAGCAAAGGCTTCTAGATGTAGACGTGATCATCACTGCTGATCGTGACAGGCTGACCAAGTTTATGTCTTAAGCATTTGGAGAGACAATTTATTTATGCATATATGAAACAGATTTCATCATTGAACTACCTACATTTATTTTGATTAGGAAATTCACGCAAACCAATCGAAAACAGTGATGGATTTAGTGAATGGAAAAATGCTTGCAAGAGGGTTGTTGTCAGCGAAACTGGACGCCATGTTGAATCGTTTGAAATCAATCATGAAAAGTTATTCGAGTCGATAGCACAAGAATCTGAGCAAATAGAAAAGGATGACATACAAGCTTTTGAGACAAAGAAAAGTAAGATTTTGATACACGCTTTTTTATTACAATAGTCGTTACCCCTCCATTTACCTCCCTTTTTGCATCCCGATTCTCGGTTGAACCGGCTCTGTTGTCCAAAACAATACCACTTTTGACAAGAGCAAGCCTTGGGGAGGCGAATGAGCCGTCGCTCTTACACTTCTTTCATGTTTTAGTACGGTCTCTAGCTACTTTTCTTTCACCAACTCTCTTTACGGTTTTGCCACGATAAAAAGTAGTTCCTGTATCATGAAATTGTCCTCTGTATGAAAACACAAAACTTTGGGACTTATGTTCACAATTTTTAGCTTTTTGCTGAAAGATCTGCTTCGGAAGACCACTTCTAAGCATGAAAGGTACAGCTTTGATATCCCTTGTTTTGAAAAATATTGTTTACATTTAAGAGCCAAGGAGACAGATGAAGCTACAGAAGCCTGCAAGCCACAATGATGTACAATATGAATCTCGTGCTGATCGAATGAAGCAAAGAAATGTGGATTCTAATTGGATGTCTGACGACTCTGAGGATTCCGGTGACAAAAGCGAATTGTTGAACCAGTACTTGGGTGTAAAAAAGACGGACAAGTCAAGGAACGGAGGCAGGGGTCCAAGAGGGGCTAAAAGGAGACGCGCAAAGCCACGCCTTGATGAGGAAGATAGTCTCGATGAAAGTGAAAACTGCGAAAAATGTTTTCTTTGCTCGACTATTGTCGTAAAAGCAAAGTATCCAAGCCATGTAATGAAGTGCATTGCTGCGGCTGAAAGGGGGGAAAATGTCGCAAGAAAAGCAGGTAATTCCGACATTTCTTACTTCTTCATATCTGCTATGATCTTTTTTAGTGTTTGATCTTACATTATGTTGTTTATTTGTAGATGATATTGTTTGTCATATCTTAAGTTGCCAACCCCTCCTATTTAGGGGCACCTTCAGATAATGCGACAGGCCATTCTCAAGAACCACAGAATGACGAAATGAATGGTGGGAAAAATAGGTAAGTGCCAGGATTATAACATTTTCATCATTTTGTACCAGCAGGACATTTATGTCCCCAGTAGCACTCTGTGTCAAATTACTGGGTCTGAAAGTCTGCACTGATGAATTCAGCGATTTAAATTTGCATATAAAGAACATGTGTCCATTTTAGATTTACTGATAGCAGAGAGTCATTTTTTAATCGAATTTGTATCGTGCCTTTCATTCAACAGTATTGACTCTTTATCTCTTTGCATACTTCGATTTTTTCGATTTGCCTTGAAATGTTTAAGTCTTAAAAACACTTTTAGTGTTTTTGTTAGGGCTTTTTATGTTAGTGCGTTACACTTGGCATTGTGTTTAGATGTTTTCTGTGAAGAAAGGACAAAATGCAAGATATTTTTAACAGTTCTTGGTTTCATTTTCTTTAAGGCTGAAGCGGCAATTAGGTAATCGAACATCTTGGGCACAGTATGACAAAGTAGATCGGGGAGAAAGCAACCAACAAGATTTTGTTGACATCGAGGAAGATAATGAAAAACATGAAAATGAAGACGACTCTCCTATCAAATCTTTCAAGCCAGTTGGGGAGACCAGTTTGTTCAACTTTGATAACCAGTTTAAGAACAACATGCCAAAAAGAAGAGTGAAATTGTCAAGAAATGTCGCTTTGAAGAACGGAAACCGATAACTTGCGATCGTTGATTTTTGAAGCTTGGACATCAATAACTAATAAATATTCCCTTTATTTACGAACAGTACTTTAGTAGTTCATTTGTCTATTATCTGATCTACCATAAGACCAAGAAATCGAAGTTCCTAGAGATTTTGCTTGCCGAGAGGCCGATAAATCTTACCTTTCTATGACTGGATATCATGGCGGTGTCTGCAATGGGAGGGTAAGAGGCGTGACCCATGAGGCCACGCCCCATTTCTCCTCATTTTATTGCATTATACCCGGCATGGTCTCCTTACGCAAATTTTAAAAATTGAGATATGAATTTACCCATCGATCAAATTTTAAAAAAGTCTTATGGAAAGTTTTCCTTATTTCCTAGTAGCATTCATATTGCCCTATTGACCATGTTGTGGATGGCATATTGTTTCAGATTATTTTGTATGGAATGTAACGTTCCTATATAAAGACGAAAGCCGCATATATGAACCTACTTTTTTAAAACCAGCCCTTTTTCGTTCTTGCATTAAAAATAAACATTTGTGAAATAATGATGAGGGGTTATACTCGGCCCGAATACTCGGCCCGAAAAAATTAGTGGATACAACATGCACCTAGCAGCATACCCTTCCCTCTATAACGCGTATAAATGCTTGATGACACTTAGCTGCACCCAAGTTTCCTTTGAAAGATTATTCAGCGCTACTGATAATTTCAAAAGAAGATAGAACTTTCCACTTGATTACGAGCAAGTCATTGGCCAGTTTGCTGATCCATTTGCACTTCTTCGAAAAGAGTTGAAACTCTGAAAATTTAAATAAGTTTTGATTTTGATTCTCAACTCTACATGGGATTTTAAAGCCTGTTTTCACGAGAGGAAACGTATGGATCCAATTGGGTCCTAATTTACGAATTAAAGTCAATATACAGCTGCTGTTTAGCGTATTGCTTTATTATCAATTTTTATTGAATCAATCGTATTCTAAGCCACATTTTTAGTGGGTGTGACTCAATTTTTCCCGCCGCTCCCTAAACCGGGTCCTTGAGTTTTCTAGCCACCCTGCGATTTTGACGCCAGACCGCCCCTGAGTGTGGTTTTGAAATAGTTTAAAAATATCAATGATTATATAAAATCAACAATTGGTTACCATATTTAGATTCTGTTATTAATATCCAAGCATTGAATTATGACCTATTTTCGGCTTTTTCTAGAGTTTGGCCTAGATATTTCATAGCAGTTTCTGTAAACAAACAAAGAAAAAGTAACTAAATCACATCTTGATTTGTACAAATGTACAAATGTATTAAGAAATTTATGCATTGAGTGGCTAAACATTGTTGCTGGATCCGTTTTGAAACAGATCAATCAATATTTTCTGGAATTTCGACGAGACAGAGAAAACCACAGCAAGCACCGCGACTGTAAATACTTGGAATTTGCGAACGACGGCTTTTTTTTCCAATATTAACATCAATTCATACATTTAAGTGCAATATAAGGCCACTAACCGAATTTCACATCGATATTCGAAAGAGAAGTGAACGAAATCAATCCTTACTTTTACCAAATTTATAAAGGCTCGGTATGGAGCATGTTCCTTTTTGCCACTATCCAAAAAGTTGCGTGACCATGACTTCTTCACGATTCGGTGAAAGATATACGAAATTCATGGCGAACGAGAGCCGCACTTTGTGACGTCACAATGTCACCAAACCGATTCGGTATTTGTCGTTTTTTTCTTGGAAAGGTGCAACTTTAAAGCCTTATAACTTCTAAACTAATTGGAATTTCGCAAAAACAACGACTTTGTCTAAATACACGCACCAAATGCTATTTTTTAGTCAATAAAAAAAATTTTTTTGGCTGGAGAGGCCCTTTAAGGAGCCGATAAAACATTGCAAGAAGTAGTGGAACGTACAGACAGTGATGTTGTACAAAAAATTTGTTAAGGCCAATTAGATGACAAATTCATTTATTAAATATTTTATTATGCACAACCGTATCAGCCTACTTTGGCGTCAACAGCAATCTTTTTAGACTAAACGATTTTTTTGTTTAGTCTAAACGTTGTAGACTAAACGATAAGTGAGAATCTGTTACATAATCATTGTAAAAAAGCCTTTAAAAAGAGGAGCTTATATTTTTTAGATTTCAGGCTGTAGGTTTTAACTTGGGCTGGTTTCTTATATACGGTTTTTTTCTGTTCAGTCAGTGCATCTTACCAGTTTTAGCTGCAGTCTGTTTTCAAGGTACCATTTAATTTCCAAATCAACTTGAATTTTTCAGAAGACTTTTTTATCAATGTTAAATGTTTGTAGATTCTTGTTCTCATTAATAATTTGATGGCAATAGAAACTGAAGTGCATAATGTCTATGATTTGTAAAGGCAAACTTGTATCTTGCTAGTAATTCGACAAGAATCCATCTTTAACTCACGCAAGCATCGCAGGTACACAGTTACGCTTACCAAGTTTCCTTATTTAAGGGCATAGATTCGGTCCGATTAGTCAAAACAAGGTCATTCAGACAACAGAACAGAAGGTGGTGGAACAAAAGGGAAGGAAGGTGACTAAGTTTATACAAAAGGCTCACGGTAAACTAATATATTGAAGGTAGAGGTATTTCGCTGGCATTTGGTCCTTATTCAGTATGCATTGAAATCATCACTCCAATTTACTTAAAAAGAATTAGCGAGTAATCTGCAATTTAGTTCTCTGTATCTATATCCTTGAGGAAAAGAGAGGCAATGCCCCAGGCGAGCAAGTAGTTTTAAAGTTGCAGAAAAAGGGGAAAAAGCCTTGGCCCCCTACTTTTGCTAGCCTTGCCCCCACTTTTAAAATCGTGGCGTAGGCCCTGTGAAGTCTGCAGGCAATATTGACTATTTTCAGAGAATGAGGAAGGTCTTTAGAGGCGACTCAAGAAACAAAGCAAGGAAACAAAAAAAGATTGATTGGCAATAAATCAGAAGAAAACAACGGCTATGTAAAACAAATAAGGGGAGAAACACCTAAGATTGGGTATGAAAAAATAAATGAAATAATTGACAAAGAATCGAAGTACAAAAAACAACCAATGACGACAAAGTTGAAACGGAAAAGAAATAAACAGAATTATGGCAGGATGCCATAGATTGTAGTGCTCGTAGCCCCAACACCTTCACCCCCACCCCCACTTTCCATTAAAGCCACAGAGATGTCTTAAATGTACAGAAACCATTATATCGAGCATACAGAAGCATGCGCTAGGGGAAGGGGGCGCCACGGCGTCCCCGTTAATAGTAACCCAAAGTTTAACTTAGATATGTAGCCACATGTCTTCAAACTTAGCGATCTGTTCACACAAATTAAGCATTGACAAACAGTTTCAGCTTCTCCGTTGGCACTAATTATACTCATGGCCAATATGAAGTGGAATTACCCGTGGTATGTAAACTGGTATCGCAAGGACCAGCAGCTATAGCTCCTTGCTATTCTTGTCATTCTAATAAAAGTACGGTTGGCTTGTAGACTGGAGATGATAAACACGAAAAAATCCTAGGCTAACCTAACCATATAACACAGTGATAAGTGATAAGGTACAGGGCAACAAATTCATACGAAATAACCATAATTACCCATTGTAGTCTTTCAAAACAGAGAATTCCAAAAAGTATCTTCAATCGTCCACAGATGCAGGCCTTTTTTATTTACACTGCTTGTTTTGCTGCCGGACTGAACGAGGCCCTCTGCAACGTGGCAAGAAACGAATTATAATTTAGGCCAACAAGTCACTGCAAGACGTAAATTAAGAATTCTGTTGGGAATTCTGACGTTTATGTATCTGCAATCTCTTGAGAGAGCAACTATACCTACAGCGTCCCTTGAGCCTTATACATTGAATAACAGAGCGCACGGTTAAGGAGAGACAAGTCCTTAACCATATAACACAGTGCAGAAGTCCTCCCAATTTCTGTAATCGTAAATCATAACGGATAAGGCAACAAAACTGCAAATTTTAGATAACAAAAAACAATTTTGACATTGCAAAACCAAATTTGGAGATTTCAAAAAGTTTTTTAAGATTACATTAGAAAAATTTTGAGTTTTCAAAACGAAAATTTGAGATTACAAAACAAAACAGACAGATTCTTTTTATCACGACAAGACATATAGATTTTCACGGCATGCATCCTAATCTATTTTTCATTTTGATTCGTATCCACGTATATCACTTTTGGTTGTAATCCAACGTTTCACGCTTTACTAACCGTTCGTCGAAAATCTTTTCAGACTGTATAGTTGGAGAGGTGATGATAGTGATGGCAGAGTTTACATCAAAAAATCGGCAACATTTTGTGGAGACCTTTCTCATTCCAACAATGACACTTAACTTTGAAAAAATATTCTATGAGCACATGGAACAGGTCAGATGCACAAAAATGTAATTGTATCATTAAAGAACGTACGCATCAAAAAACCGCATCAACATTGGTACAAAATTGCAAAATACACGAAAACAGGCTTACATAAAGTACTTCAGTCTAGGTCAACTCATTTTACATTGAGATAAAAGGGCATTGAACCAATTTAATACAGTGGAGCAGACTGGCTTTACTAGCCCTTTGCAGAAGATCGAATTTTTACAAGCTGCTACGGTTTCAAACATAGCCTTACTCTGTCAATTCAAAACTTACTGTTCAAGCTAACGATTTTCGAGCTGGCAAAAATTAACAGGAAACCCTGAAAACAAACTTAACAAAATTTTGAAGCCCATAAATACAAAACTTGATAAAAATTACATTCAAAATTTGGATGATGCTACGAGGCCCCTTGTTACATCATCGGTTAAAATGGGGTGTAAACCTTGTTTTTCCTGTGCATTGATCCTTTCTATTAAGCAATTATTGTGTCCATCTTTTGTAGGAGTGCAACAGCAGTGTGGATTCAAAAGGGGAATAGTTGTTTTTCTATTTGATTTACCGTTCTTAAAATGCACCCTTACTGCATATCTCTTTTTCCGCTTTAAGGCAATCGACAGATATAAAGTGACTTAAGCCACCCGTCAATCAATATCAGCCAATCAAAAGGTTATGAGTGGAATCACACTCACTGATTGGTCAATTCTTAACTGAAAGATGGCTTAAACCCCTTCAGTGTCTGTAGATTGCCTGTAATATCGACAACTTGCTAGGAATTGTTTTGTAAGACAGTTAATAAACACTACAGGAAGTAGAAAGTATAAACTCGATATTTAGATGCGATGGTAATGAAGATGACAAATGAAGGAGGCTTGGATAGCAACCGACTACGGTCTGTTGAAAATTCCAACACGTTGTCAACGACATTGGGTAAAATGGTATGGGAAACTATCTGAACTGTTAGCTTACCTTCACTGGAACTATCGTGACATTAGTTATATATTATGCACTGGAGCAATTGATATATTAGAGCAACGTAAACTGCAGTGGCCAGGACTAAGAGATAGTATATTCAAATATAATACTGGCACTGCTGGCCGATCTAATTACGCCTACTTAAACGAGTTCATGGTGAATGACATCGAGTTTGGGGGGGGGGGTCAAACAAAGGGAAGTAATAGCATTGCATTGGGAGAAGGATGCAGAATATTTCAGAATGTCCAATCCGGTGCCTTTGCTTCTTACTGATCATGCTGTCTATTACAATAACAAAGTGATTTATTGAATTCCTCGTAAAGCCTTTAACTGTCTGGCTGGATCTGGCTGATCAAATCATCGCATATCTTAGTGAGCTCTTCGTTTTCTTTTACCTGCAAAAAGATATTTAATGTTCATAACTTCATGCTACAAAAGTATAAATAAATGTTTACTTGTTTGGTACTGTTTGGAGAGAAGAGAAATTACTTTTAAATATGATATGGCATCGTAGTACAATAAAAACAGTCAGAGAGCTGAATAAATGCGAGAAAATTAAAAACTAAGAGGTTCCACAAGGATCTCTCGCTACACCTATACTTCTAACCATCCCTGTAGGAATTTCTTTCTTTCAGGCATTATATTCTACAGGTGGTGAAAATTCGAACAAAATTTACTTAATCTTAAAGCTATTTCATACGGCCAGCTGAAACAGATATACGATACAAGTTTCAAAGATCGAAATCATCTTACACTCGTGGAATGGTGACCTAGAGGTCGGTGGGGCGATACCTCTCCTGGTTGAAATTGATGCTGTTACCGACAATTCCATATATCTCATGTGTTTTCTGCTAAATGCTACTATAGTACTGAGAAAGATCGAACAATTTTTTGGAATTTTTGTCCTGCATCCACGACCCAAACCTTTTAGAATCTAATTGTAATGATGCCCTGCTTTAACAGCTAATATAAAAAAATTAAAATAGTAATTTGAATTGACTGACCTTCTGCTCTAATGAATTCTCGAGGTAGTTGTTTCTCGATTGTAACTTCTTCAGCGCTGCTTGCAGGCCTGCTAAATCCACTTCTTTTGATTTCCTCACCTTGTCGATTTCGAAATTCGCTCTGCAAACAAATTTTGATATTAAAAGGAGTTTGAAAGGGTGGTCACGTGATTTACAATCGCAAAAGGAATATTCACTTTCCCTTCTACATCAAGACATCTTTTTCACTTCTATTATTGCTCATTGGGAGGAAGAGCAAAAAATATTCTTCGGGATGGCAAAGGTATTTTTCGTCAATCTTGAATGCTCAATTTTCTAAATTTCAAGCAGGTCATTTTCGATACCAGAGAGTTACGGAAGAACCTTGCGTGAAAATCTTCACATCCAATTGTCGTAACTACAGGAAGAAGATTTTCTTGTTGAGCATCGAAAGAAAAGCCAATCACTAGAAAGTCTTCCGTACCATCAGTGCTAAAACTCTTACGGCATGTTGGGTTTACCGTACCCTTCAAATATCTGTTTGAGTTTATAAAAAAATAAAATCTCCTCAGACCGAACCTAGTTTGAGTAAGAACAGATTTGACTGTTGGGTCACGAAACTGGGAAATTTGATTTTGGAGGGGCGAATGATTGACAATGGCTTACGGTGCTCTAACATATAATCCACGTAGACCAATTCAATGGACCCTTAATATCGATAGGTAAATTTCCCTTTATTGGGAAAAGACTGTGACTGCAGAGATATTTTAGAAGCATATGTCATTAAGTACTTCTATTTGCTTTGACTTTGATTCGCTACTTTGCCGTTTCTGTTTATATTGTCAGCTAACCAGCATTCATCTTTCTTAAAACCAACTGCCGAAGCGCTACGGGTTCTTGATAAAACGTATAAACGAATATCAGTTAAAAGGATACTATTAAAAAATGATGTTAGTTAAATACCCCTAGCATCGTGATATGGGATCATTCCTATTTCGTGTAGCTAAATTTTCAGAACAGATATTTTATTTAGTGGAAATGGCACCTGTAAATGCTTCTATAGAAGAAAAGGGACAGCTTTGAGCACTGCCCCCTGGATCAACTATGACATTTTGAGATCTCATTGCAAGAAAGCTGAACTTACTGTTCCATCTTTGATTCTGCCTGTTTTCTCAAGCTTTGGTACCTCTCTTCTGATGCTTTCAGCTTTCTCTCGTAATCTTCAAACGTTTCTTTTAGCGATGCTTCATTTTGCCTGTAGGTGTCAATCACACTTTTCATCTTCTCCATTCGCTTATAAGCATCAAACATGGAGCTTTCAGCTGCATTCAAATCTGCCTGAAGCTGTAAAAGAAAAGGAAATTACTTTTGACTTTGTCAAAAAGAGAACTTTTCAAAGTAATCGATTTGCATATATAGAGAGCACACAATTGTCCTCTGTTGTTCGTAAAGAAAGTAAGATTTACAATAAACTGGTTAAAAAACTTCTATATACACCCAAAGTGTATCTTTAAAGTAAGTGGGTTTAAGATCGACAGCTGTACGACATCCAGGTTTCTTGAAATCATGGTAATGATTTGTTGGTAAGACCCTGAATCAATAAAGAGTGCCAAACAACGTCCATAGCTTTATAAAAACACGATCCCATGAAGATGAACCAGGCAATAGACAGTTTGTGGAGCCTCATTTGTTTGTGGGGCAAATTTTTTCTGACACAACAAAATACAAGTTTGTTCAGTATGATAAATGAGCTAATTTTTTTTTTAACCAAATGATTACAAAAAATACTTACTTGTTCTTTCTCTTTTATCAGCTCTGACACCGTGTCTTGCTTCAATAGGGTATCTTTTTGGGTTGTTTCTATAAACGAAGAGCATTTCGTAATTTTTATTTCACATCGTCAAAGACAAGACAATTCATTGAAATCGTAAAGCATAGAAACACGATAAACTAAGTTTTTCCATTACTCAGCAAGATTCAATCTCAAAATGCACGAGCCGATCCAGCCTAAAAATTGGCACCTTACATTCTGTTTTTACATCAATTTATCCGCGGAGATTTAAAGTTTTTGATAGAGTTTCTGAGTTCTCGAAAAATTTCGGGTTCAGCTTGCCAACAGAGGTACCCTGAGTAGTAAATAGCTCCAGGAAGAGGCTTTCATATATTTGCAAATTGATAAAAAAAAGCATTCTAGGAGGCATAGCAAGGTACAGACAGGAAAATTTTACAGTTAAAACATCATAAAGTTTTATATTTACATCTAAATAAGAAGAGAAGAAGGGGGAAATAGCATTGAAAATAATGAAGTACACGAAAAACTTTACCAGATAGTTGAATCAAAGTTTTTTCGTATTCATCCACAACCTTCCTGCAAAAAAATGCCAAAATTTTGATAGTCTCTGCTATTTTGTGACATCTTCAATTCAGAATATGGGGGCATCCCTTAAATTCGTACATTTACTGGGTTGGGGGGGGGGAGAATTAGGCTAAAACAAAGCTAATGAGAGAGGGAAGTGAAGTTCCACGAAATGCTAGTGGAAATTTAAAAAAAATGTTATGGCAAATTCATATTAAATGAACAAAAACTATAATTAATCTACAAATCACAAACACATGCAAAAGTCATTGGTCAAACTCTAGCTAAAGGTTCACTCAGCCTCCATTGTCTATGTCTTTGATCGTTATTTATTCATCATATTGTACCGCACGCATTTTAGTATATTGATAGACGAGATACATTGGAAACCCTTGTACATGGGGGAAGGAGTAGTCAATCGTTAAGCGTATACACATGTACCGCGGGAGAGGAGGGACCGGACTCATTGCAGGGACATACTTCATATAAGCCCCCTCCGCTTGATCCATTTTGTACTACCAACTCTAAGGGCATTTTTAGCATACTTTGCGAGACCAATCTCGGTATTGCTACTTAACCTATGATGAAGATGATGTCTAAAAGCGAGGGGAGTTGATCTAGGGAAATAAACTTCAAATCTATATTCCAAGAAAAAATATCATTGAAAAATAAACAAAGGGAAGAAAACAAACCTCATAGCATCAACCTCTGCGCGTAAACTTTCTTGCTTTTCCCTTGCATCTTGTTCTATCAGTTCGCGCATTGCAATTTCCTCTTTCAGCTATGATGAGACAGAATATTCTATACTAACAACATTTAACAGTAAAAGAATATTCAAAATTTGGTACCAAGTTGACCGATCATCTGGGTAGCCTCCCGAATGGAAGATACCTTCTCAAAGCAACCAGATAGCAATAGGGTAAACATTCATGTCAACAGACACAGGAAACGAAAATGAATGACAAGGACACCTTAATCAGGTTGCAACAAAAGGATTAGAAAATTAAATAGAAAAAAGTGCCTTGAGATGGGAATTGGTTGATTTGACACAAGGCTTTGCAAATCACTAGCAAAGAGCTATTGGGTGAGCTACATAATAGGCACATTCTAGAAAATAGAAGTCAATGTTGATGATACGAGAAGCTGCAGTGGTTCATATTCGAAGTATCCTTTGAAGATTTGAAAAAATCTGTGGTCCAGATTTGCAAGATACCCACAAACTGCATGAAGGCAACAATGCCTGCAAAAGTACTTGAAACACCCAGCAATTTACATTGCATATTATATCTTTCATTCCTTTTCCGAAAAAAAACACCAGTTCCGCCTCCTTCCCCCTAGAACAAAGTTGATAATTCGGAAAAAATTCATAAAAGAAGCGCAAAAGAAAGTGCTTTCTAGAATCCTAACCCGTTTCATAGTAAACCAACATTGTTCCGTTGGGGAGAGGGGGATGATTAAACAGCCGGCAATATTCTTTTTGCAGGCTTCACAGCAATTGGCTGAACTGATATGACCGGGCTTTGCACAGGATTGTTTCTCGCTCATTACTTAGCAAACACCTCTGTACACAGAACATGCAGGGCAGCTGTAGTATTCTTTACTAAGTTCATTTTGACCTTGGAAACTGACGTCAGTGTTCCAAGACTTTTGGCAGGCATTGTACATGCCTAGTGACTCTCTTAATAGGAAACAAGTTCTGTACGATAGCACAAAACACTGAAATGGCAAGGAATATTCTGACCAGACTACTCTCTTATTATCATACTTGGAAACACAATCAAGAAGATTCACTATTCACAAAACCAGCTGATTTTTATAGTCACTTTCTGATGTGAAAAAGACGCCAATCTTGCATGCTTTCTTAATGTAGTAAAGATAGAACTAACCTGAGCCTCCGTTTGGTTCACTTTTTTTCTCCACGTCGCCTCTCTTGCAACCATATCTTTTTCTGTGTACAGCAAGGGCTGTAAAAAAGAAAATAAATCCTGTATCAATAATCGAACTGATTATTTAATACACGCTAACACATGCTGAAGAATATCCTCGTAGTGGGGGCAGTTGTGATGAGGCATTAGGACCTGTAAAAATAGTCAGATAAAATTAGCTACTGAAACAAGTTCATCTTTCAAAGCAGTAAGCATCTTGGCAAATTACCGCTCGAATTCAACGATCGTCCCTTTTACAGTCGATAGGTATTCATACTTTAAACATCTCAAATTTGTTATTCGCAGAGCAAGAAGCATCGTAAGCATAGTTGTTACGTGGAAATATCGCTATGTTCGTTCGTCGAAGAATCACTACGTTGTCATCTGTGACAGAAATCATAAGCGGAACTTTGTTTTCATAAGCTTATTGGTTAATAAACAGCTCAAGAAACTTGCAGAAAGAAGATGTATGCTTAATGAATATAACTCCTGCAAACCAATGACTTCTCAGCTTGCCTTTGGATCATGTTTCACTCCAAACGCTAGATCGCGATAATATCCAAAGCAGAACAAAAAGTCGTTTTCCTGATAGCAAGTAAAGGCTTTTTACTCGCACTAAGAAGATTCGTGTAGCAGCTGATTGCAAGCCATTGCTATATTTATCTGAATATCAGTTCTCAATACTGTCTTTTCCTTTCTCTTGTTTTCCATCATTTCTTGTTCATCTCTTACTCGACTCTTTCATTCCTTTTATGTCATCGTCTCTTTATTCACCTAACTAATGCTATCTTTGATTTCGTTCCTTTCAATACTAATCTTCCCTCCCTCATCTCTGATTTACCCCAAAGCAATTACATTTTTACCTCCCCTTCTGAAAGGCCTGGGTATTTCAATTAAATAATGTATGCACGAAACTCTAAGCAACACGACATCAATAAAACATATCATTCTGTATTGATAACACGGGGCGATTCTATACACCGCAGTTCATTGTTATTGATTTATGACTGGACATCTAACAGACGAGCAGGTGAAGGGATACTTAAACTATGTAGTGAAATGTGTTCTGTCTTGTTGAAAATATCTGGATACTATTAATTTTGTTCTAATGCCCGCGCAAACACGAGCCTTAAAAAGTGAAAACCCTTTTAATAAAGGATTTTACATTGGCTTGCCCAGAACAGGAATGAAAATACGTCAATGCAAACATATAGAATTAATTTAGCCTAATATTGAGATTATTTTGACTATGTTTTTCCTAAAACATGACGTGGGGCTTAATACTTTAACAGCAGGTTAGGCGAAAGATAGAAATTGAAGTGGCAGAAATGCATCTATGCATATGCGTTCCTCGTTACTAATATACTTACATTGACGGTAGTTATGAGACAAAAGAGGGAGTGTCACTTCGCTTAACACCTCCAAGATTTTGGCGAAAGCAAGGAAAAAACCGTCACAAGCCATTGTAGAATCCAATGGCTTAACTATGAGCATTCTTTCCAAAAAATAACCATTTCATTAAAATAAATTCACCTCTGTACGATTCATGTTGAGCCAGCCGTTTAAATCGAACTCCGTCTCGACCTCGTCCGTTACGACACCAACGCTTCGCGACTGCCGCAGAACTTCCCGCCCGTCGGGGCTTTCTCTCGAAACAACGGTGTCCTTATCTGAAGAACGCGAAACCTTTAGATTTGAGTCGCTATTCTGGTTACGACTCTCGTTCTCCTTTCCGACGCCGTCACTACTATTGGTATGGTCCTTGGCGCGTAGGCCTAACAGAATTTTGAATAGTGCAAAACAGCCGGCAATATTCTTTTTGCAGGCTTCACAGCAATTGGCTGAACTGATATGACCGGGCTTTGCACAGGATTGTTTCTCGCTCATTACTTAGCAAACACCTCTGTACACAGAACATGCAGGGCAGCTGTAGTATTCTTTACTAAGTTTATTAACCTTTTTATTTTGATCCGAAAAGAAAACTTTGATTGTGATCCATTATCATGCAAATCATGGTGGCCTAATTTATTGATCTCATGGGCAGGTGACATAGAATCAGTGAGTATGAACCGCGGGACGATATCTCTTACTGGTTACGTGGTCTTTTAAGCCCTACGAAATGTTATTACGATTAATTATTCAAAAATTGCAAGCACAGTAAAGAGGGCTTGGACGCAAAGAAAAGATGGCGGTCCAATCGCGAAACTGTAGCTTGCTGGATTACACAATGCCAATCTTCAGCATGATGAAGAGAACACAGCCCTTTGTGTTAAGATAAATATCATTGCCTTTTTTAAGACAATTTTATCCTGAACAAGGCGTTATATTGGAACTTCTAGTCTCACGTTTTTTGCGGTGGTAATGCATCTATCATAAAGTATCTCTTCAAATCTATGCGACAAATGGTAAAACAGACCCTATCAATTAAACGTTTTTCAATAGTTTTCAAAATAAAAATCAACGCAAATAATATCGTACGGACCAAATTTGTATACCTTATTTGACAATAATAACTGACAGCAGTTCAAATGAGAATTTTCATGAAATAGCTATGAAAATAAGCAAAAAATCATAAAATAATAAAAAAAACTTGTCTAGTTCAAATATAAAACCTCACAAGAGCGCACGGAAAAAGCAATATGGCCCTTAATAGACAATCCTCGTATGCCAATCCTTTTTTCGAAATGACATGATAAAGCGGTTTTATTGGGCATAATACTTCTTTTCGTCTAACACAACTTTGAGGCGGTCTCAAGTTTTCATGCTGCAAAGAGTGTTGGACAAAAATGATTACTTCAGTATTACATGTTTCCGCCATTTCGTGCCATTTTGACATTTCTCCTGACCCTCCTTTGTACATACCCTCCCCCCCGGGGGGGGGGGGGGGGGCAGCGGTTGCAGTGGCTCCTCTTGTCCTCGCGAAATTGAGCATTTTTCCTCGTTTTACTATTGTTTTGCCCTTTTATTGGCGCTTTGCCCCCTTTACCCCCTTTGACGTAGGCTTCCCTGTCCTCTCCTTCTTCCATCCCCTCTTGCAAAATGCTTGCTTAACGTTACTAAGTTACCTCTTGCCAGTGGGCGGATCATAATACATCAGTAAACAGGTGGGCTGGTCAGCTGATAACATAGTCTGATTACGACCGACTTTGTTTATCTAGGACAAATATTTAGTGTTCAAGATACAATACGCGACACCTGGACTAGGACTGTCTCTTCTGTACATGGTTTCAAAACTGCAGAATGAGGCTCCTTTGATAAATTTGCACCGGATTATTGTTGTTTATGGGTCTTATTGAATTTGGAAGCTTTAAGCCAGGTTTAAACGGCTTCCCTTCACCAAATTTGAATTAAAGCATTAGTTTTTTATTCAGATTCATTAAATCGAAAACGAGCGCCTTCACAGAAGGATTTTTTTGAATTAGAATACATAACCTGCCATAAGTATCTCAATTCAAGCCAGACGCGAGATGATGGGGAAACAGAATCTTATTCTTTTTCCACTGCACAAATCAAACAAAGTAGAACAGATTCGACTTTTTCAAAAACGAACGCGAAATCTGATATGATCTTAGGCATTCGATTTTGCCGATTCAATGACTTTGACCGGGAAAACCCAGCTCTAATGGTACCTGAGTCAATAAATTTACCTTAATCGAGGATGAAGCTGAAAGTGAAACTAACACTTACATTTACACAACTGCCGTTGTCACACTAAAAAATTCCATGAAAACATCGTTTTCAACTGACTTAAAAGCTTTTATTTGCATACTTTATATAAGCTATAAATGAGCAAAATAACCTATTTTACGAGGAAATTAATCTACTCGTAAAACTACCGAATCTACTAAAATATCAAGCTTTGACTGAAAATTGCTTGCTGGAAATAAAACGCTGTTACACAGCCAATTTCTAAACATTTCTTTTTTAAACATTTCTTCTTTATCGAAGAGAAGAATTTCGTTGAGTTGCGGCAGATAATTTTTGTACACACGCCTTTAAGGCTACCGAGATACATAACAAGGGCATCATATATAAACTATAGTCAAGAAAAAACTGGGATAGAAGCACTTACATCAACAAGACCAATATTGGTAACTCTCCTTGGATTCACTGGTAGCCCAGGAGTTTCCACAGCAAATGGTTGCTGAAAATCAAAATGAAGGCATAGCATTGTAAACGACATCATTATAGTTGTGTCATTAACAATTTGACATGTGTACAGTGTTCTTCTAAAACTGGCTTTCTAATCTTTTGCTTTTTGATTTGCAATATGAAAGTTTCTAAATTCAGTCTGTCCTAAATTCAGTTCATACGTGCGATGGGATGCTACATTCTTTTTTTATATTTTGGCAGAAAATTACAGTCCTTTTATATTACCCTTCAAATGACACTAAATATCAAGATGTAATTATTGGGCAGATTTCTTAAGTATATATGTTAGAGACTACAAGGATAAAGAAAGACGAAATACGATGATAATAATGGATGATGTAAATATTTGAGTTTTTTTTAAGAACTATGAAAAAAGAGGTCTTAATTCTACAACGAGATTCTCACTCCAAACAAGAAAACCGGCTCCTCCGCATAGTAGTGAACGAAATAACAAAATAAACAGATATCAACGTCTAATATTACATATGATTAATTGTGATTGGTAATGATTAATTATGATTGATGTGATCAATTATGATGATGAAGACGATCGTATTTATGATGATTAGAATGATAACGTGTAAATTTTCATCGCTTTTACACTGACCTTCTCTATTCTTTCAGGTGATTTTTGGATCATAGATTGTTCTGTATCATCAAACGTCAATTTCGATATCTCATAACCTCCCTCCATTGTTGAATCCATTCCCAGTATTTTATCAGCTCTGTAATAAAATCAGTATTAAAAGAATCGAAAATTCACGCAAATATAGGAAATCTAAAAACTGGTATGCATATAGACTTTCAATCAAATACCATCCATCCCGGCCACCCTCTACTTCCATTTTGCATCCAAAATTTCAAAAATAGCCTTCTTGGCAAGCAAAAATTTAAGCACTGCCCTAAACTTTCGACTAAATATTTTGACAGGATTTCAAGGGTGCCCTCGATGTCAGCAACCTCGTGGCGGTCTGCCTCACAGCCACACATCTATACGATAAAATTTTGTTGATATAAGTTATGCTAGTACCAGATTTTTATCAAAAATGGTCGGAATTTGCCTTAAAACTTTTATATTTGAAGATATATTTTGACGAACAAATGAAGGGTCAAAATTTTACCCTGACGTAAGCAATAGCTTGTCTTGGCCTAGGCTATCTGTCCTGCCGAGCTACCTCATTTTAAAAAAAACTTTCTTGTACCTTGAATGAATTTTTTTATTGTATCAAAATCGATTCAGCTTTGTATTTTATTGAGTTGAAAATGTTCAGATTGAAGTGGACACCAAAATGACTCTATGCAATGCTAGTTTATAAATAGAACTTACTGCTCTTTGAGTGCCGATAAACCATTGGACTTTGAGCGGCCTGGAAATTTTGAAAGGAAAGCTAGGAGATGTTACAATGAAAAAGATATGTCATAAATTGAGCCTAAAGAATATCAGGATATATATAAAAAGCGACCTTTAGAGTTGATACAAGAAGGTCACTTGCTCATAGTTGTTCACATATAAATTGTAGCAGCATAGAACATAATACTCAAAACCATTTCACAAAAATTATATGTTTTGCACTCTCTTACTTCTTTTTCACTTCAACTTGCAATATTCATACTTGCTGGCATTTCCAAAGTTACAGTTCTGGAATTTTGTAAATAGTCAACAAAATCTCACCTAAACTGTCAATGGATAAATGTAAGCAAAGAAACGTGATGATGATCGAAACAGTGAACCTAAGCATGAGCACATACAAGGGAAGGCAAACCTTGCTTGATAGGTGTTCCATCTTTCATAAGGGGATCAAATCGCTGGTACAGTGACTGTCTTGCTAAGGCTGCCTGGCGTGCCTATTAATCAAAGAATCAAGTCAAACAACAAATATTCAGAAACTGGCAAAAGTTTCACTTTATCTGAAAGTCCTTTTGATTATCTCGTAAAAAGCTGCCCAGTATTAAGCATGGGTGTTCCAACAAACAAAATACAGGGCTCACTCCGGTTCAACGTGGAAATGTCAAGTTTCAAGTATACGAAGCACAGCAATCAGGGATTACGTAGCATTATCTATCATCACGAAAATAAAAGCAATGCCACAAATTCTCAGTTTAGCACCTCCCCCCCCCCCCCACTTCCCGAGGGGCCTTTAAATAAGGATAATTTGAATGGGACTAACTTGATTGTTGGGCATAATGGGACGCATAATGGTTATCTGAAAGTTATTAAGCTAGTTTAAGAGCTTTTTCACATTTCTAAATTTAATTTGAAAAACGAAACAATCTGAAAATCAATTTTGATAAAAAAACGTTGTGAAAATGCTTAAATCATTTTTGGTCTTCGTTCTTCGTTGAATAGGTGATTCATCTTAGACTTAGATCATATATTGTATAAGTATTTTCGCTTTAACCATATAACATCTGTCTCTCATTTAAAAACTAAGGAGTTACCATCTTATCTTTGTCACTTTCTCCAAACTGTTCCAGAAAATCCAAATTGTCTATGAATTCACCTGGATATAAACAAATAAAATATTTGAGGGTTGCATTTTTTGGAGGGGATTGCAATGGAAAGTATTTGAAATAAAAAATTCAGGAATGCACGAACAAAGCCCTGTACGGAAATAAACTAACGAGAGCAACATATAGACTTTGCGAAATCAATTTTAGCTATGTACATATACAGTATTAAGTTTCATATTTTAGATAAAATTAAACCCATTGGATAACAACAGACTATATTAACATTGGTTTGGGGGCTTCTGAATTGTGACATTATAAAAGTGTTCATCATCAATTTTATTTTTTTGGATTCCATGAAAATCGAAATGCGTGATAAAGCATGCAGTTTTGGCTGGCCTTTTTACAAAGAGTCTGCACATGAGTTTTGAAGTTAAGTTTTGTATCTAGTGTAACTCCCCACTTTCTTCTATAACCGCCATTCTTACATTTAATTTCATCTTTTCTTTTTTTTTCGCCAAAAATCATAAAATGATATTTGTCCGCATTTAATTTCATATAGTTTTCAGGATTCCAGGTTGATAGTTGGATGGCATCTTGTTCTAGTCCGCCAATGACATTTTTGACCTCAGAGTCGCATATGTAGATAGTGGTATCGTCTGCATAGTTGCATATTTCGGCTCTATTATTAATATACACGTTAAATAAAAAAGGCCCTAGCACTGATCCTTGTGGGACTCCTTTATGAACTACTTTCCAAGTGCTAAACGACCCATTAATTTTAACTCGTTGTCTCCTTTGTGACAAATAGCTGTGAATCATGAGCAGGGCACCTCTACCAAAACCATAGGCATCCAATTTTGCTTTCAATAATTCATGGTCTATGCAGTCGAAGGCTTTGGATAGATCCATTAATAAAGCACCTGCAATGCCTCCCTTGTCTAGGGTCATTTTACAGGTTTCCAAAAATCTTAGTAGAGCGTGCTGTGTATTGTAGCCTTTCCTGAAGCCACAAAGCAAAGATGACAGAAAATTCCCAGCGAAGGGCATTACCTGGTCGTATAATAGTCGTTCAAAGATTTTTGAACTCGCTGGCAACACAGCAATTGGCCTGTAATTCTTTTTACAGAAAGAATCATCCTTTTTCAAAAGTGAAGAAATATCTCCATCTTTTAGCTTGTTAGGAAAATATTTTTCTGATAGGCACAAATTTAAAGTATCTGTCAGGTAAGGTAGAAAGATATCTGAGTCTTGTTTCAGACTTTACCTGGGACACTCTCTAAAGGATTGATTGTTTACATCCACTACTGAAAAGGGTGTCAATTCAAAAATCTGAGAATGATTTAAGTTCTCTTGTATTCTTTTAATACTTGGATGCTAGGGATGTCCCTTGCAAGAGGTTTCTATTGTAAGAAGTGGATGTTATGCGTTATATTTGCTTACCTACATGGTTATGAAACTATATCATTATCACTATAAATTACAAATGCTATTTCTCCATAATCAACATCTTTCCCAAAACATTTTCCCTTAAGTATTTCAGTTGCTATCGGAAAAAGCTCCAAGTGAATTTGTGCATCTGTCCGTTTCCTCTCATTGTCCACATCTTTTCCTTTTTTGAATAATATTTAATTTTCCCTATAAGCTACAGCAAGCTTAAGCGGGATAAAAGGATGCCCTTGAATATAAAAACAAATTTCCCTTTGGTACATACTTATTCAGCATTTTCAACCTCGTTGAACATTAGACATAATAAGGTGATATCAGCTTTTCTTTTTGCCTAAGTATTCATTCTTGCAAATTATGCCCAAATTATTTATCTGTTTTTATTCTAAAAGAATCCCTGCTGCTAGCAGTGACAGAATCAAACGCGAATCAGATGTAAGCACAAAAATGCGCATAGTTCATTGCCTTGGGTTAAGTATTCAACAAGAAAAGTTGTTAGTCAGGGAGATTTCTCAGGATCTCTCAGGAAGATAAAAGATCCCTTGGAAGGAAAGCTTTTCAAATCATAGTGGAAAACTAATATCTTGAGCTCTTCTTATAATACTGATACTAGCATTTCCTTTCAATGCTGAAGGGAAATGGGGAACTTAGATGAACGGATTGTGAACACAGAACAAACAAAAATTCTACTTACTCGTGCTCATAGCTTTGAATTCATCATCACCCAGTAACCCTGTTTTATCAAATGAATCCAGTGTTTGGTTGCTGCTAGAATCGTTCCTGATATCTGAATCCCTTACAGTAAAATCAGTATCAAAAGTTACCCCTTTTTGCCGAACTTTAGTGCTGGTCGGTTCGTCACTACCATTCAAAGGTGGGTCTTCCTGTGGTCCGATGTTCAAACTCGAATCCGGTTTCTCATTTGGGAGGGAATTGTTGTTATCAGGAACCGGGTCTAGTTCGGTCTTATCAACGGACAAATCAACCGTTGTGTTAAGTACAGGAGCATTTGTTGAAGTATTTGTATCGAGATCAGTGGCTTCGGTAACTTGGGGCTCAATCCCGCCAATATCCTCAACTTGATCATCAAAATGTAGCTGGTAATTTGATGAATTTTGGTCGCGACGTTTAACCGGACCGTCAGCTATAAAATCATCGTCGTCATCATCAGGAACTTCATCCTTGATCTTGAAGCTGATTTCCGAATCAAAATCACTCTTTGATTGATTTGATTCTATGAGAATTAAATCACAAACATCACTAAAATTATTGATAGATCCTAAACAAGAGACAAGAGACAAAAATTGGTTGATGAATGAGTAAACAGGGGCCAGGGAATCCACCAAAATCAGAGGAATCATGAAATTTTCCCCGAAACTTGTATATGAAATCTTATATTTACTTGAACTTGAATTATCCAGCAAATTAAACAAACGGCTATGGTTTAAGGCGTGAATTAATTTAATCTGCTTATGATTTGATTAAGATTTTGAAAGAATGCCACGAGATTGTTTCCAAGCCTTTAAGACCTGCTTTTGACTACGTATCGAAAATACCGGGTCTCTATATAGGCCTTCACTTCCGTTTTCCACTCTTATCATTTCTGGTTCATTCACTGAGGCTCCTATAGAGGGTGCAAGAGGGGGCAAGCCCATATGTCCATTTTTCTCAACCCACCTCCCTCTGTACAGACTCTTTCGCTTTGCGGGTGACTATCCCTATCCCCTGTATCAACGTACCCACGCCTGCGAGCGTGAAAAGGGACATCGAGACTGTGCAGCCTCTTTGCTGGAGTTAAAGGGTGCTCTTCATATATGTTGATGAGCTTCTGTTTGATCCAAGATGATCTTTAGCCCTTGTTTGATCTTAAGAGCCTGCTATAGATGCAAACCAATCAAGCCCACTTTCGGTTCTAAAGGGAATCATCATGTATTTGTTCATGGACATGCAACATCCGATCAAGTGCTTTTTAAACAACTTTTTCCCGTGTTTATATTCATACCTGCTATCTAAAGCAGAGAGATGGACAAGTTTTTCAGCGTAAAGACAAAGAATCCCCTTTTATTGGGACAAATGTCGAATAATTAATGCGTGGTGACCAGTTGGTCAGTTTTTAGTTCTTCTCGTACCTTTTATCAGTGACTTTTTGGTGTTTGGCTTACGGGCCTCAAAAGTGGCACACATCGGTGATAATTAAGAAAGAATTAGAAAGAGCTGGAAGTTAAGCAAGGGACGGGGATACTTTACGAAAAACAGATTTAAAGAGAGGTTAACCACTTTTACGTTCAGTTCAAAATGCCAAATTTGAACGTCTAAAGAAAGGTGTAGTATGGAAGTGTCATCCAAAGCATAGCCGAAATATGCAGAACCCGCAAAGTAAAATAGTCAACATACCTTTGATTAAAAGGGAATCTGAGGCACCAACCTCGTCAGTGGGAACTTCCGTTGGCGGCAATTTTATGGGCGATTTGACGGGTGACGCTTTTTTGCCGCGCGGTTTTATTGGTAAACTATCAAAATCATCCACGATGAAGTCGTCCATCATAAGTTTTTCATTCTTTTTCTTCTTTCTAAAAGAAACAGTGATAGAATTGCAGTTATGATGATATCAAACTGTCAAACTGTAACCTAATTTCAGAAAATCTAAATAGAATCTCCCCTATACAAAAAAACCGGTACATACATCGACAGCACTCTTCCAATAGTACAGTAGTGTCCTGCATATAAGAAACAACTTTTTTGATTTCAGGTCTGATGCGTTTTTATAAAATAAGATATACACTTAAAATCATGGTAATTCTTTTTATACAAAAAACCATATTATACTATTAATCATCTACTCAGACACCATCTCAATAATTGTGATAAAAAAACCATAATATTTTGAGTTGTATTTATAAATTTTCACTTGTAGGAAAAGCTACAATTATTCCAGAAAAGTGTTTCTTTTGCTTAGTTTGCATTCAAAATTCTTTTTCATTTGACCAGGCTCAGTTGGAGAGGATACACCCCCAACTTCTCTGAAGGAACGATCTTGTATTCCGTCTGAATTCGAAGATAAGATGTTGAGGGAGGGAACATTTTTTAGAAAAGTATATTTGACATGGCTCTATGATTTTGAAACTTCCTTTACGTAACCAAATGTTTGGTTACATAAAGGCAGTTTCATAGTTATTGGCAATTGTCTGAAATTAGCGTTCCCAATTTGTAAAAGGGACTTTCTTGACAGAACAAAGGGGGTGGCCTAGATTTTTTAACTTGGTCCCCCTCCTCCCAAAGCTTTTCGCTGGCGCCGCCATTGAATGGAATGTGCTTTACTGCACTTAAAACCCCAATTTGAAAACTGGGGTATCATCAGCCTTAATCATAAAAAGGGCCTTGCAGCGAAACGCTCCATAGAGAGGCCAACTAAGCGATTACAGCAACAGACCGCTGTAGGGAGGCGCGACAAGCCTACATATACTACGTATACAAGACTTTGATACGTTCGGGCGAAATTATTGGGATGGTTTACAATATAAACAATCCTGCTACCATTTGGTGAGATAAGAAACATAACAAATAAAAAATAAGAAAATAAACCTACCAACTCAGTGCTGTGTGCGGATTTGGCAGTTACCACAAACATTAACTTGGTTACACAAAATTTAAGCTTGGCGACTTCGACATAAATATTCATTCGATCAAAAACAAAGGACCTATGAAAAGGGTTTTAGCACACGTTCTTTGACACAAACTGAGTTTAAGCCTTCTTGGGTTTTCTGGTAGCTTTAATGCAGTTTTAAGCGCAGTGTTGACTGAGCAGGTTCCTAAACATATCGTCTTGCTGAAATCCTTTACCAATTCAGCAGACATCTGGCTTTCTACTGGGTCACTTAATCAATGCAGCCGATATCTCTCTCCTATTATGGAAGCTAAAACTTAATTTTCTGAGTGTAGTTATCAAGTGCCTTTGTAAGAAGACGTTGGTGAAGCCCTGATCTTATGCGCACCCCTCTCCCTGGTCTTGTCTAAACGCTTTCTTTACAGCTCACACAAAATCGTCTTTTTACTGTGCAAAATACTATATCCTGATTGATGAAATGCTAGGGAAATAACTTAGGCAACAACTCCGGGGTTGCAACATGATAAACCATAACTCAACGATTTTGTTTACCCTTTGCATCAAAAGATATTATGTTAACAAACATCATCAATCACATCCCCCAACAGTAAAACCATCTAACGTCGCTTTCTAAAGAAAAACAGTATTGAAAGTTGTACCACCAAACCACTGTTAAGAGGCTGTAGTACTATAACCCGAATTACTCCTGGCTTCTCATTTATTATTTATCAGCCATTAGATCTACTGGCTTAATATTCAGAATATGATAAGAAGTTCCTTAATAGAAACACTTTGGTTGGATTGTGAGATTCGTGCGAAAAATCCTCATGCCTTCGATAAACAATTCTAACGACAATGAACGTTTAATAAACGAGTAAGTGCAACTAACTAAAGCCTTCAACGAAACAATATTGCGACCGGTTATGTTTTAAAACAATAACAGTACTGGTTGTTGAAACATAAGCAAAACGAATAATTGTCATTTTGAGTTTAGAAAATAACGGAAACATCTTAATTGGAAAAAAATACCAGAAGATGGAAAATCTTCACGAATGGGACGAAAGCATTCGAGCTTTTACGCTGAAGTGAAACGTGGTCCATGTATTGCGTATGACGTGACGTAAGACATGATGTAGGACGCAAGACGAGAGGTTAGACGCAAGACGAGATGTAAGACGCAATCAGTGTGATCAGATCTAGCATAATATAATAATGCTTTCAGCATAATATTGACCAAAAATCGTCATTTAGCATAAAATCTAGCATAATTTGGAATCTAGCATAACTCTGGCATAATTTTGATAGTTTTTAAAAAATCGCTGTTTCCATTGATCTGTTGTCTATCACCACCAAATGGAAACACTTTACACAAGAATGTGTGACTTTCCACTTTCAATGTTTAGCCAGTTGCTTGGAACGGTTGGCAGCCAAATATTTTATAGTTGGCAGCCAAATTCAGCCAGCTAAATTCAGTACACAAAAAAGCTAAATTTTTGACAATTGTGGGGAGTGATAGTGTAATCAAAATTTGCTTTGTAGGTTACAAAGCTTTCATTTACTTTTATCTTACATTGTCTGTTATCTTTTATGTTGTTTCATGTTTCTTTATTTGCAATTTTGAAATCATTCTAAAACAAATTTGAATATCGTCTATGTAAAAAATTTATTTTCCTTTGCATTTTTTGTGATTTTTTGCAACATGCTGCCAGAATTCTGCCAACTTTTGCTTCTTCGGCCAAATCAATTTATGACGGTCAAGGGGTTGAGAAATTTGGATGTCAAAACCATTGATTTAAATTACTTTTTTGTGTAGAAAATATGGCAATTTTGAGTACACTGTGTTTTAGATTGGGGGTCAAAAAGGCCAAATGGAAACTTTGGTCACTTTTGATATTCTAAGCATCCTCTAGTCTCTTTTACAAGCAGGGGTGCCTTGATTTGAAATTTAGCATAATTTTTGCAAATCTAGCATTATTTTATGACAAATTTGGCATAATTCCAAAATTGAGATCTGGTCACACTGGACGCAATAGTGTACCTCGTCGACGTGGGAACTCTTTGAGTGAAATGCAGAAGCCCCTAGCTTAGCAAAATTGCCTAAACAGCCTTGCAAAATTTAATGTCGCTGTTTTTCTACATTGAGTAGCAGGTTAATGGCTTGAATATAGCAGTATGCTGTGGCATGTACAGGACGGTTCTAAGTCGCATTAACTGTACAAGACGATTCTAAGGCACTACGGCTAGAGAACAATTGCTAATGAGTGGCGACTTTGGACCGTCCTGTTCTAAGCAAAAAAACCTGTACAGCTCTATTTAGACGGTATCAAACACTCTGCAATAGAAATGGTCAATAGAAATCTTCAGTATACTGACTAAAGAAAGACGAATTATGCAAAAAATTATAACAGCCCATCTCATGGGATATGATAAGCAGAGGCCTATCTCTCATAGTAACGAGGATTCCAATAAAGGTAGGGAACAAAACAAACACAGGGGACAAGAGACTTAATACTTCTGCTTTCTGTGAACAGAACGTAAGGTCTATTTCCGTTGTTATGACAAAAAGGGAAGTCCAGAACTGAAAATCGACTAAGTGATTGTATAAAAGTTGCACAAAAGCAGAGAATTGTGTACCATACACATAAAGGCAGTTTACATGCTTGAAATATTTTATAAAAAAACCGCAAATTCAAAAAATAAACATAGCTTCATTCAATTTGAATTGAAAACGTTTTCGAGGTTTTTGTACCAATAAACAATAATTGATAAAGAAAGCAGTTTAAGACTGCAACTACTCCTTACTGTAAAATATGTTATCAAAAACCAACCAACCGTAGAATATTGCGACAGGTAACGCAGCATATGATATTGCCCATGTCAAGCAGAATACGATGTTTCCATAATGACAAATTGTTTACTCTGCCACTAGGCCTAAATCACTGCGCGACTTCCAAGTGCCATTTCGTACAACAACAAAAACAGCAATAACGGGCCTATGTTGATTCAAAACTAAAACTAAGCTTTGAACACGATTCCATCATGTTCGTAGATGTGCAGGACGGCGGTTTTCCCTAACAGGCCTATTAATTATTAACGGCGATTAAGGAATTTGAATAACTCTTCAGGCCACTCAAGATGAATTCCATTTATTAAGAAAGCTGGAATCAAACCGAAATCAACATTCCATTAAATGAATGGATTTGAAAGGAAGCTTGTGAATAAGTAAACAAGAAAATAGGTTTTACTCGCCGTTGTTAGTGGCTAAAGCTATGGAACTTTCAAGGAAATCTCAAAGTTTATCACTGCTTCACATCATACATTTTCTTAGCTTTCTTTAATAACAGATATCTACAATCTAGGGATTGCTAAAGACGAATGGACTTTCACCGCCGAAGGTCATGAACACGCAGTTGTAGCAAATTTTCAACGACAACCCCGCCCCCTAAAACAATCGTACTAGTTATGGTCTTACGAGCCCAACGCTGCACTGTTAGCCGTCTTCATCGCGGCAGCAGATAGCGACGAGGGGAAACCTGATGACGTCATTTTAGTTTTGATACCACCTGTCGTTTTGGCTTCCTAAGAAATGTTAAGTACAATTCAAATTCAGCTTCTTGAAAGATAAGAGTGTTTTAGTGTTTTATACCTTAGCCAAAGGGGGTATGGGGAAATCTACCGCCTTGCCCATCCCCGCGCCTTCGCAGGCATGTGGTCAGATAATTTTACAACTCAAACAACGGTATTCTGAAAATATAATGATATGAAGAATTTTGATCAGAAAATATAATGATCTGAAAATAAAAATCGTTTCACATAGACAATTTTGCGAAATGCCAATTAATAATACATTATAAATATGATTAGAATACAAAAGAAACGATTTTTATCAGCTACTGTCGCGCTTTAAATTAAGTAATAGATAGCGCTTCAAATGAAGGAACTAATTTCAGTTCAATAAGATTAAAAAATCCTAAAAAGTTGATTAGATGAAACATTAACAAAAAATTTTTTCCTAATAAACTTTCTAGTATTATGGAAAACATAAAAGGAAAATTAGATATTTTTCTTATCCCAGAAACAATGATAGACGAATCTTTTTTCCCAACATCTCAGTTTTCTGCCGAGGGGTCTAGGAAGACGTTTAGACGCGACAGAAAAATTGGAGCTGGAGGATTACTATTTTAGCTAAAGAATTGAGAAATCTCAACCCAGCAAAAAGTACAGAAACTATTCCCGTTGAAGTTTATTTAAAAAAACATAGATGGATAATAATTATTGGAATTTATCATCCCTCCTAAACAAAAAGACCATTATAATCTGATGAAGGTGCCTACAAGTATAATCCGCCAAAATGCTTTGACTTGTTCTTAACTAACAAGAAATACAGCTATATAAATAGGGCTCCATATGAAAAAGGTTTGTCTGACCATCATAAACTAACCTTAACTGTACTAAAAACTGAATTCGTAAAATCTGAACCAAATTCTATTTCATACAGATGCTATAAACCTTTTCTGCCGGTCAATTTAACGAGGACCTTTAATTTAATTTAGATAAAATACCCAAAGAAAATGTATCGTACGATGTTTTCAATCAAACGCTGATCTCGAAAAACATGCCTTTCCAAAGCAATAGTTAGTGAGAGCAAATAATGAGCCTTTCATGAATAAAGATATAAGAAAACTGATAATGCCAAGATCTAAGGCAAAAAGAGAGTTCAACAAAAAATAAAAAACCAGGGAGATGTACAAAAAGGTCAGAAATAGATGTGCTAAATTAATTAGAAGCACTGAAAGAAATTAGCACTAAAAAAATTATATGTAAAATCCATTTAGAATAGCAAAAAATTCTGCAAAGCTATCCAGCCATTATTAAATGATATAAATATCATAACCAAAAAAAATCATGATACAGACAGGGTATCTATGAATCTTGCACAGTCCATAAATGTGGCAGCATTTGTGGACTGGGGAATGGGCTACATCATGTTTAAAAATCAAACTGCCCAAATAAAATTTAATTGAACAATAGGTCAATATTTATTGTGAATCAAGACAGTGCCAAGACATAAAGTGATTAAAATTTTTAAGTCATAAGACAAGTAAGGTTGCCTTTTCACTTTTGAACTCTGTGAACATTGACGCTGAAAATTCTGTCTTTTAAAATCTTTAACTATATGAGTGGTTAGCTGTCACTCATTGGTCAAAATCTAGATTTGACCAATTACACCTTTTCCTAGATTTGAACATTTGAGCTAAACCTGTATATGAAACTTGCCAACTGGTAGGTCATTATCTAATGGATAAACCATAAACTACGAGTGATACTTTTAAGGAGTGTTGGACAAAAGTACTTTATATGGTGGACAAAATTTTGTTTCTGTGTTATGTTTTACAGTACCTGAGAACTATTTATGATTACTGCTAATATGACCTTGCCATATGACATGATCCAGTGACAAGAATTTTGTTATATACTGACAGTGGCAGATTTAAAGGGGGCAACTAGGGGCAGTTGCCCCCCCTTGCTGAGTTGAACCAAGTCCGGTGCCCCGTTTTGGAAATGGTTTGGCACAATAATTGTTAAAATTTCCTTTAGAAGGTGAATAGAGAGCCTTCTGTCAGTAGTTAAGGTCTGAAATTGTTGTATATAGCATACTCTCATCACCAATTTCTGAAAATTTTTCAGCGACCCCAATACTAAAAGCCCCTCCTTCAAAATTGTTCACTAGAAAACTCAACTCAAGAAAACTACCAAATTAATATTTACGAGTATTCATAGCAATTGTAAATTCAGGAGTTGGTGGGAGTTAACTGTACAGGTAAGCGGGTGACAATGACCTAACTGACTAATACGAAGGATGAAGTAATTGAATGGAGTAAAAACTTTTTAGCAAAAGAAATGAGAGCAATAATGTATGATTTTCGCAAAATCTATCTGACCTTTCAGGTATTTCCAAACTTTTTTTTGAAGATCTGCTTCTGCTATTTCCAATAATTTCTGACTATTTACACATATCACAGGTAGCAAATTATCTCCAGAAAGATTTTCAGAAAGGTTTTTGATGCCACAAAATTTGAAGCGTCATTGGGGCTGAAGCACTGAAGTGTCAGAGGAAAAGTGCTTAAGATTGTTATGTTGCCATTATTTTGTGCTATCTTGAAAGATTTCTAGTTCAATATATTGTGCAATGGATTGTCTAAATTCTTCAAAATCTTTATGATCAAGAAGTTCCAAGAAACTTACTCAATTTACAGTCTTCAAACTGATCAACTACGCCAAAATCAAGTGGGGGTTGGAAAATCAAGTGTGGTTTTCCTTATTCAAATTTAAAGTTAAATGAATGCACCCAGAAACATCAATAAGGTTAACCTTCATTTCACTCTTGAAATGTTCAAACTCAGGTCATGACAACTTCAAAAACATGATGTCCTCTTTTCAATCAAACTGGGGTCGGTTTGCCCTGCAGCTTTTCCTGCATTCCCAAATACTGGAGACTCCGGCTCACTGCGGGAGACTTGGCAATTATGAGCATGCTTTTTGTGAAGATTTGTGAAGTTTTTGATTAAGTCAGTGGCCCAATATATAACTAAAGAAATAGTGATCAAAGGTTACAGACTATGAATAGGCTTGGACACATTAAAAAAGAGCATACTAAAATTTTGCTTCAGAATAATAATGGTTAATGAACCTGTCACCTTATAATCACATTAAGCATTAAAACTGAGAGTATTTACTTAAGGTTACGGTAAACGTTTTCTGGATGAAAACATCATTTTTTCGATTTTTTCACATTCAAGTAGCCGAACTTTCAAGGCACACAATGATACCAAATTTGAAACAAACAGAAATTTTGAAAATGGAAAAAATCCCATGTAAACGAGTGTATCTTGCAAGTGCGATCAGTAAAATCCCGTTTTCTCCGGACTCCAAATTCCTCTACATGAAGGTACGAAAAAGCTATTATGTACCCAAGGAACCAATCGAATGGCTCGAAAATTTGCACACGGCCAGGGCAGACGTTGGGCAAACAAAGTATGTCTCAAAATTTCTTTATTTTCTCTGGTCCGTCTTTTATACCCAAATACAGCTGCCGGAGGGTGGAAAAATTATTTGCCAATTTTTGACAGGGTATAGTTTCAAGAAGAGGAGGAATTTAAAAAATCTGAGACACACTTTGGTAGCTTAGGACCTGCACTTCCTGCTGGTCTAAGTCAGATTTTGTTACCTCAAACGCAAGGGTACATAATAGCTTTTGAAGGTGGTACACATTTTGACCAGTAAATTCGCATGGAAAATAACATTTAACATTATTTGCCAATAATTTTTATCTGGCTAGATATGCCATAATCTTGTGCATCAAATGATATATAGTTTATCCAGATTCCTTGAGCCGTTTGGCCTTTAGGAAGGAAAAACCAATTTTCGTGTTCAAAACGTTTACCGTAACCTTAAAGCTCTTGTTCTACACAACACATCAACTACAGTTTTCTCAACAAGACATCTAGCAGAATGATTACCAGGAAGCTTTAATATATTTTTATGTTATCAAACAAAATCAAATCTTGAGTAAAACAACAGCAAATTATTTTATCCATACTCTTCGACGTAGGGAAAAACATGAAGTCACTGGGTCCCAACTGCATATGGTATTTATGTAAAAAACAATTCAACATTTTAAACAGAAGTAAACTTTGGAATGGAAGACCGTCTCGCAATTAGTTGACATGCAAAAGATGTAGACAAAAAAGGATGGTTGCTAGATCATTACTCCAATTCACAATATAGCTACCACAAACAATGTGATATAGGCTTCCAAGGTTAAAGGTTTAAACCGACGAATCAAAGAAAAACAACAAGAGTGCTGCTGATAGATTTGTTCAGATTCCTAACAGCCTTTCAGTTACCAAAATGAATGAAATTGTGGCCATTTCATTGTGGATTACCATAGAGGACCAGTTCATGTGTAGCCTTAGAGCTAAGAGTATCAAGCTCTATAGTCCAACAATTTCTGAAAGATGGTGAAAGTGTCTATTACGTTAGCTGCTCAAGAAGTGGCAACACAGGAGAGAATGTTGATTATCTTTGATGACTTTATTGCAAGAGTAGATGGAACTACAGCTTCAAAACTGTGAAGAGCCCTATGTAAATTTAATGGACTAAATCTAGCTTGAAGTTCTGTGAAGCATTTTACACCATGTGAGTCACTGACTGCAAATGTTTATTTATGATCTGATCTTATTTTTGCAAGTAGTTTGTATATAAATTTGCCAAGCAATTTTTATTGCTGAACACCTTCCTCAAAAGAATTTGATTCAAGAAATTCATTTGAAAAACAGCAGGAAATAGGAACTTGGAAAACTTGTTGCTATGGAAACAGCTAGATCATATTGAAAGGAATTGCTAAGAGAAAATGAAATTTCATAAAGAGCAGGGAATTTGTCAAACATAAATGAATGCTGACGGTTTTCATGTGAGGTGAAGAAGCGGCATAGATGCCCAAACAATCTTATATGGTAAAGAATTTTCTACCCCCAGTTCATTGAGGAGCCTCTCACTACTTGTACCTTATATACGTCTACATAGAGCCCCTTCTGATATTATATAGCTTGCACAGTGGAGGCTCGTGCATTGGGGCTAGAGGGGTTCCAGCCCCACCAAAGATTTCCAAAAATAAGTTTTAAGATTTATTTACTACAATAAAGCAAATTTCCATTATAATTTTAGCAATGTTTACTAATTTTGTGGCTTCAATTTTCTTAATAAGCCCATTCTCTAGTTCATTTAGGCCCAACTGCCTGTGTTTCTTTTGAAAACTAGACAAAAACAAGTATCATAAACT